TGGAACTCGGTGCGGATGCACTGAGAATGCACTGAGGACCACTAATCGATGCCGACATGGAGGTAAAAAAATAAGGAGAATTACGAGTATTATTATTGTTAAAATGAAATATTTGAACGGATGTTCCGTTAGTATACTCAGTACGAATGCACTTGTTGTGATGTAATTAGTTAGGTAGTTAAACTTTAGCTATCTCTGTTTATTTAATGGCTAAAGAAATGCTAAGTAGTTTATTAAAGAGTGTTTACCTAATCTACAAGATTTTTAATTCCAAACTTATGTTGACGATATCTAATAAGGAAAATTCACCTGTTCTATTGGCTTGTCCAACCACAGGACGTACATACGGGAACGCCAAACTGGCCAAAAATTCGAGCTTCTGCAATCTCAAGCCCATTTCTCATTTGAGACTTAGGATATCACTTTCTTGTTTGAGACTGGTAGTAACCTTTTTCCTAGCTCCGTCGCCCTATCCGTTATCGCTACCCCAATAGATCTTTTTAAATTTTGCGCCAGTAAACGATTACATTTCCAGGGAGAGATAGGGTCAAACATGCTGCCGAACGTAAAATAAAATAGAAAACCTTTAGCAGTTATTTTGTCATTGTGATTGATATTTCTTTTATCTACGGGTGTAAAAATAAATATATATAAAGAAATATACATACCTACATATAAATCAATTTATTTACTATAGTATGGTACTATGATAACAGGTAACCCTTCGATAAAAACACTAACACGTTACATCATATCAACCCGTAAAGTTCTAGAAAACAGACGTCTAAAGCCTACCTAGGTTAGGACATACCTAATCCAAGTCTATTATAAAGAACTTTCCGAAAGTTTCGTGATTTCTTACTTGCCGTGAATCCTTGATTAATCTCATCACTTCTATTCATGTATATAATTATGAGTAATTCAGGCTTCAATTTAAACTGAAGCCTGTTCTCAATATCTATAAAGGGAAATGGTTAAGGAATTCCACAGTTTATTTACTCCAAAAAAACTAAGGATTACACATTTGTACATATAACAAATTATGCGCTACTTCTATATCTTACAAATTATTGTCAGTGTTATACCAGAAATTTTTAATGCGCATATTTTGTGAGATGCTGCAAAACGCTGTCTTGTCTACTTGTCACAAGTTTATCAAATTGCAGTTTTATGTGGTAATGTGGCATATCGGTACCTTAAAACCATGAATCGTACGTTACGTGAAATGGAAAATTGTGGAAACCGCAGCGGAGGATACACTACACAAGACAAACCATGTGGAACACATCGCGAAAAGAGGCTACTTACAGGGATTATTGAAAGTCTTATCTCGTCTTAAGGATTTAATTACATGGTCATAGAAGCAGTAAATTGTAATACCAGGGAAGAATTGAAATCCAGAACAGCTAAGACGGTTTGTTATTATTTACGGTTATTAATGCGTGGCTTTTGTCTCGATCCTAAAATTAGCTTCCTTGTCTTTTAGACCAGAAATATGCTTTAATGAACGCCTTAGAAGGCAGTTACATGGTTGTCTTTCATAGAGAAAACAAAACAAAATATAAATGAATGCCGTTTCGACAGAGGGTTTTTCCAAAAAATGTGCGCCAGAGACGAGGGGTAAAGGACAGACATTAACTCTGAAAGCGAAAAGTGCTCGAATTCGTAAATAGATAGACAGATTTCTAGACGACGTTAGAGACATTTTCTTATCTAGGTTTATGTTGACATAAAACAAGTTACGTCATAGTTACGTAAAGTTAATTTCTTTTGAAAATTTCATCTTCAATATTATGTCCTAGCTATTGCCCACGGCTCGGCCCACGTGATGCGAGCGAGTAACGAAGGCTGCTAAAAAAGTAGCCTTTGTTACTAATAATGTAGCTTTCTATAGTTAAAAGTCTATCCAGATAACAGGTACTTAGAATATCAATCAATTAACCTATCACAGTCCACATACAGGTCCAGACCGTCACTGTCTAAATCTGAGAACACAATGCTTGCAAAAACTTTCACACACATTTGAAGTCATTCTAATTTGTCTACTTAACTTTAGTATAAGAACAGTTGAAGTTAATACTTCTTGTAAATATACTTTTTTCTGAATGATTTTTGTTGATCTTTTTTACGTTTTTTTATTCTCATAAAAACCTTAGAGCTGGATGCGAGAAGCCCAAAATCGATCTAAGTGGCGTGCAATGGCTGATGATGAAAAACCTTAGAACCTTACACAAAAATATGAACCTTCTAAATGATGTAGCCATATTGCAATAAACAACAAAGTGTACAAAGAGATTTAGATAAGGAGTCATATTTAATAGGTTACACATTGTTTTTATGATCTTTTCATCTACTAATGGGTCATTTAATACCACAAGATACACACAGAATAGTATAATAGTTTGTTCTCCTGGTATTTAGTGGAAAACCAAGGAGTTGAAGTTTTAAGTTGGCGCAGAAACCAATTATCAGGCTTAGCACTTGGTAAAAATTCATAGATTCAGTAAAAATATTAAAAACTGGTCTTAAAGGACTACTGAAAACTGTAATGACTAATAAAAGGCAGCGTTTTTGGTACAGCATCGTGGATACCAGCTAGTATTTATTAAAAAGATAAAAATATTCACACAGGCAAAATATTATATTAAAAATAATGTGTAAGTTATTCATTGTCTCGCCGACTTAATCCTATACATTTATGTGTTTGTGCTGCATTTTTGTTTAATCGAGTTTCAAATCACAATAATTCTAAAGAAACAGTTCTAAAGAAGTTTCATTTCAATAAACCTGTGAGCCCAAGCTAGTCAGAGCCTGTACTATGTTAACCAGACTGCTGATAAATATACTTATATGTTTCTAAATTCATACATATTATAGATAAATTATATGCAAACACAGATCAAATGATCATGCTCATCACACAATTAATTGTCCTAGGTGGGAATCAACTTATGGCCTTTGGGTTAGAAGTCATGGTCACTAACCAATCAACCATGATCTAATATTTTAAGACAATTCCCGACAATTGACCATTTTTCAGAAGACAATGATGTTGAAAAATTAAGGATTAACAAGAGTGTATTTTCATTGTTGCATATTAATTTCTGTTTTTCTCTTTTTTTCTCTTTATAATAACAACATGTTATTGCACCACTAAATGTCATAATTTCAGTGAATTGTTACAACCTCTTTAAAAATTTATTAACAGGAACAAAAATACTTATTTCAACATTTCTGTTTCATTTTTTAAAACATCATGAACATAAAACTAGCACAGCAACAGCAAACATAATTTTACTTTACTTTTTTTTTTATGGGAGCCCCTACAAACAAGGAATCATCTACAACACCTCCTCTTCAACCCTACAAACACCTCATGGAATGTGACTTAAACAATTTTATATTTTTATAGGGTAGTCGCAGAGTGTGTCCTGTATCAAATTCCATTAGGATTAGTAGACATGGAAATTATTCCTACTTTTAAATTATATTCATATGATGAAATGATTGGTTTTAGTCACAATGATTTCACCTGTGATTGTGATATGTTCATAGACAAAGATAAATGCCATTAAAATCAATCAAACTTGTGTTTATCTGATTATTATTAGGTTTTAGACCTTAGTCTGGCGCTAGAATAATAATAAGCCACAATGGTTTAGTAAATTAGTCACAGGTGCGATTATATGATCTATATGTCATATGATTTTTGACAGATGATTGTATTTTTTTTTAATAATTTATTATAATAAAAATAAATAAATCATTTCCTCAAAAAACGTAATATATTTTCAACTACCGATATTTATACCGATGCCAATGGCCACTCGATGGCATCTCAATAGCGTGTCAGTGGTCTGACAGTGGCTTGGCGTGAACATTAAATAGCAGAATTGAGGCCCTGAGCATATCAGAATTAGGTATGTATTAAGATTAAGTATTAGTAATTAAGTAAGTATTAAGATTAAGAAATTAGGTATGTATTAAGTATTAAGATATTCAGTACATCATAGAACAAGAGATATTGGTAATAATAATCATACAGCATTAAGTAAATACAAAAACGATTTGTTAAAAATTATAATGAGAAGAACTATTTTATTATTTGCTAGGTCGCCATGTATTTTAAACAATAATTCAACTAACAAGTTTAAGATTTTGGCTTATTTTAAAACTTTTCTAAGAGAAAAAGTTGTTTTATCTCAATTAAACATGCAAGCCTATGCAAGTATTCAAGGTGTGCAACGTGCGTCCATGACGTAATGACACAAAACGTTAAAAAACAATAAAATTAGAATGTTGCAATATAAACATACGGCACTCTTATAAGTATATAAATCAAATAAACTGCACTCACCAACTTCTATTGTTATTGTGGCTTTTAAAAACACGAACTCCAGAGAATACCTGTAGCACAAAGAACACAAAACTAACAAAACACTACACTCGAACTTTATTATTGTATAAACTAAGGACGGAAACCAGAATTAATGAAAATGAAATGAACAACTCACATAACAACACAATGCACTCTGATTTTCGCGTAATATTAAATTTGACAGCTCAACCTCAAACATTTTATCTACACTGACGTAGTGTTGCATTCCAATAATCTCAAAGACCTTTACTTGTATTCTGTTAAACTCTGACACTATTTTACAAATAGAACAATTTTACCAAATAAAAAAATTTATTCATTTCGTAATGAAAATTTTACAACAACTTGAATGGCTTGGCTTAAATGTATTTTCCTTAGTCGATTTTTTAAATGTTTTGCTCTTTTAAACAATTTAACCTAGGGTTTAGATAAATGCGGCCTTACTAGGAACTAAAATAAATAACAACACCGTTATCATTTAGTCTCCGATGGAATGAAAGTTTTCTATCTATATTACAGGTACTTCAGAAATAGGCTCAATTACAAAATTTAATAGAAGTAAATTTCATGGCAATACTATTATTGATTTCATTTAGAGTTACGTACTAGTTAAAAATTCGAGATGGCTGCGTTGAACGTCACACTGTTATTATTATTAACATTTGGTTTTAATAGTATACTGAGAAATAGTGCCAATCAAACTCCAGTGGCATTTACTTTCAAAGAATATCAATACAAGGATTCTCCTAAAAATGTGGGTTTGACTAAGTAATCTTTCCTAAAATATTGAACAACACAAATATAAGGCTCTACTTATATTCTGCGGTAGCATAATTTGTTTAGTAAATACAAAATATACTTAAATGTTTCTATTTCCCTTTCAGGAAATGACATTTAGAGAATTTGAAACAGCATGCGAACAAAGTGGTGCTTGTAATCATATGTCAGGATTGCTAAAAACACGCTGTGTACGGGAATGTGTTTCACCTTCGTGTTATAAAGAACTATATCAGAATGATCCGGTAACTAATATCTAAATAAAATTATTCAAAAAATTCTGAAGATCCAATTGGCGGTCTATTTTGTTATTATTTATTTATATTTTATTTTAGTTTTAGATTGAGGATTACAATGTTTGGTCTAAAAGGATAACACAGTATAACATAACACTCCACTTTTCAGCTTGAAGAGGGTGAAATAGACGTGAGATTAATATCTTTTAAGGGCTGCTTTATCCAAAGAAGCGGACGCACAAGAAATTGATTCGGCCCAAACGTAGCATCGTCATTAGTTCTGTTTGCAAATAAAATTAACAAAATCCATAAAAAAGCGCGCTTTATTATGTTTGTAAGTATTTAGAAAAAATATATGGACGCCATTTATGTTTTCATAGTTTTTGGAACTGGCCAAGATAAAGATAAAGTACACAGGGAATAAATTTAATTTATCTTCCTTTTCAGCTTCTGAAAACCGCTGCCAGTGACGAAGTTACATTTATAAACAGGGTGCTAAAAGCTTCATAATTTTTGTAATCATTCAAATAAATGAAGAGTATATTATTTGTTTTTATCTAATTATTTTTAATAATTTCAGTTTAATATACAAATTCAAATATACTTCTACACTTATTTAAAAAATCATATAAAGTAGTAGTAGAAGAAGTTTAAAATAACTAGCAAAAACAAACGGTTCACTGAAACTTTGTAAGGATTATCCTAAGTTTACGAGTTATGAGAAGCAAGTGATGATGATAAATAAGTAAACCTATGATTGATCTAAACCCAGACTTTACTTTTCTAATTTTGACTATCCTTAAGATACTGCAGAATAAGCAGGCATTTTTATTCCTTTTTTTTTGGCGGCACGCTAATTCTCGAAAGTTGTAAGTCCATAACCTTTTGTACCCTCTCCCCACCCCCTGCCATCGTGTTTTGAAGAAAAAATGGAAGACAATTATTTTTTTTATTGTATAAAAACGTATTGTTGCTAATGCTGTTGATCGAAAACTCTCTAAAAAAAATTTAGTCTTGCCAAATTCTACGTGTTCAGAACAGGAAACGTTATTTGACGGGACGAAACAAATTTTTAGTGATTTTTAATTTAGAGAGTTTTCGAACAACAAAATTAGCACCAATGTCTTCGGAAATAAAACGTAAACTTATATTTAGATGAGAAACAATATAAAAATTTCCAAATTTTCATCATAAATATGTTTGCGCTTACGAACTTTGCTGTTTTAGACCGTGGCAAAATGATGACTGGATTCATGGTTACTTAAATAACCATGAATCCACATACTTCTAAGATATTTAGTGGTAGAGCTTTGAACTTAGTAAACAATATCTATGAAACTGTTTTCACTAAAAGAGAAGCTGAAAGAAAGCAGAAGAGCCATTATAAAGTTTATTTGCAAAAATTCTATCTCGCATTCGCTCGTTGTAACTCCTAAGGTATGGACAGTATCTCTTTGTCTACTAAATAATCGCGAAATGCCCGGATAATATTTCGTTCATTCAAATTGAACTTTTTTGTAAACGTACGAATCTCTTTTTCTGGAAACGTAATGTTTTTAGGGTTCCGTACCTCAAAAGATAAAAAAGGAACTCTTATAAGATCACTTTCTTGTCCGTGTGTCACTACCGATTTTCTCAGGAACAGGTAGACATAGCAAGTTGAAATTTATACCAGATACTAAGGTCTATGGTCCCTATTAGGTGTGTAAAAATCAAGATCCGGAGCCAACACGATAAAAAGATATGGACAAATTTCGATTTTCGCGAAAACTTGTAAGTACCAAAATTTACCTTAATTTTCAACTTTTTTTATTTTTCAGAATTTTCTCTTTACTTGTGCTATAAGACCTTGCTTTTAACTAAAATTGACAATTCTAGGTTAACCGGCAGAACTCTATAAGTTTTGGATCGAAAACCTATATGGTAGTTGATCTAGAATCACGAAATTTGGCAAAAAGAAACGTCTTATAGCACAAATAAAGGTATAACTCCAAAAACTAAAAAAAGTTAAAAATTAAGATACATTTTGGTACTTACAAATTTTCGCGAAAATCTGGGTAGGTACGGAACCCTCGGCAGGCACGAGTTCGACTCGTACCTGTCCGGTTTTTTTTCAACTTCATTTGGCAATTTTTCGGGTATGAGAATATCGCAAGCTTGAACGATATCTTTATCACTCGATTCTAGTAAACGATATTTCAGAACTGCCAATTAAGAATAAAACGTCTCTGGATCTACGGGTCTCTATATATTTCTTCTGCTTTCGTTGTGTATCTCCACTCCAAAAAATGACAGTTTATTCATGGCTTCCAAAGCCTTTTGCCGTACGGCAGCAATTCTTCGTCCAAATTTTTGAACCACATTTTCAATTTTCTGATTAGCACTCATTAGGCCTGTATCACGATATTGCTAATCTAAACTTAGCTCACTTAGCTTTTGAACATTAGCGCCAATCGCCAAAAGGACAAACGCCGTGCTAGTGATTTTCTTCAAAAGTCCGCTGAATGTACTTTTTTTTTATTTTTATCTCTGTTATCAGAACTGGCATTGTTAAAATGTTCAACTAATACAACATAACGGTTTCATGTAGCTGAAACCGAACGAAAACTAGAAGCTACCCATCTTGTACTCAAAATTCGTTCTATTTTTAAAAGTTCTTCCTCTAACAGATGAGTACAAGTTTTAAAATCTTTGGAATTTTTCAGGGAACAATATAACCTATCCATGAACCCTTTAAGTTTATTAATTTCTTCGATACACTTGACTAGACGATGACAGTGCCAAACTGTTATGGATGGAAATTAACATGACGCATGACTTTCGCAACTCCATTCCATCTACCAAGCATAACAGCAGCACCATTACAGGAAAGAGAAATTAAATGATCTTTAAGATACTGCTTGGTCATTCCACAACGCTAAAGGCAATTCATAAGGGAGCTGAAAATGTTCGCTGCTTTAACACCTTCCTTTAACTCGACTAGATCCAAAAATCAGTTCACGGGGAAATTCATCTCATGGTTAGGTAAACAAGTTCGCACATTTTTTGGTTCTCGTGTATCACCGTTATCTCAAAATTAAACTACTCTTTAGAAACTTGAACGACCGTTTTTCTTAAATCAAAATTTGAAAGTACCTTTTTGCAAACTTTAGAACCTAGTTTCTGATCTTTAACACACAGCCAATCACATTTCTTGCAAAATTCGTTTTTTTAAACGAGGTTCCAAACATCAGGGTAGTCATGATTTGAATTACTGGAGCTTAAAGGCTGGTTTAAATCGATTTTTGTTGAAGCCGTTCGAAGGTCAATTAAGTCAGTTGCGGCATACGTTGTTGCATCGTCGGAATTCGGCATCACATTAACAGAAGGTTCACTTGCCGGGTTTGAAATACTTTTACTTTTTAAAGTGCTATAAACTGGGAAAAGAAACTGTCATATGCTTCATGAAAAATTAATAAACTGAAAATATTACAACATTAAAAATGTTCAAAAACTGCACATCATTTACGAGAGTTCAACGCGAGAGAATTCTACTTGAGTGAGGTAACGACGTTAAAGAAACAATGCGTTGAATTACGTAGTACGTACACAAACACATATTGCACGGTTACAAACAAGTCTCAACTTCAAAATCCAAAAAAAAAAATTTAGTTTACCAAAGTTTATGTTTTTTATGGCAATTTTCCAATATTTTTTAAATTTCCTTTGGGGGCATTGTGTGTTCCCACAAAAAAGCCCTGATAATAAGTAAGACTGATTTGACAAAAATGAAATCAGAAAATGGAAAAAGGCAGTCGAATAATTCGTTCTTGGTTAAAATTCGGCAACCAAATACCGCACGGGTCTCGGGTACCAGTAGCCGGGGAACCAGGTTTACCCTAGAAAGGAAATCCCTGGTACCCCAACGTACCTCGAGCCATCCATGGCGTGTACCATACCATGCCGGCGATCATACAAGGAATAGGAAATAGGTAAATTATAACGATATTATAACGACTAAAGTTTGTCAAAAAGCAGTTGGTGAGCTACGTTTAATTGTTTTTGCTATTTATTTGAGAACAGTAATTCAAATTTTTAATAATTAAGTTCGTACATTAAAATCCTAGTTTAGTTAAAAGTGTTTGCTTTACCAATAAAGCAAGGCGCATCCTGTTATTTCACCTTATTCATGTAGGTATTTTGATTAGTTTTGATATTATTCTCTGATTAAGACTTATACCGTTTACTGCGCCACAGAGAATGAGAGTACCGTAAAATGTAAGTCTTAAGAAACTTAATTAAACTTTTACAAGACAGTGGTTTAAAATAGTTAGTCATAAGTACACCTTAACATAATCATACTTATTTACAATTATTGCCCTTGAGTAATTAGAGAGGTAAAGTTAAAATTAGTCATTAAATTTATTTAAGAATCGATACAGATTAGTAAGTTAATCGAACTACCGGCTTACATTATCTGGTTTATACACACTGGTACAACTCTACTAAGAAATAAGTTGTTCCATTTGGATTCGTGAGAGGCAGTCAGTCTAGAGAAATTTATCAAAATGGCATCTTTGTGCAGACAAATTGTTAGAGGAAATGCTTTGAAAAGTGTCTTGTTCTCCACTGCCAGGCGGGGCTATGCCGACAGAAGTAAGAATATGTGATACGTATAGATTTTTAAGACCACTGTCTCTGTCACTTTAGTTACGTAATGTCAAAAATCTCGTACTTAAATCTGATTTAAAAAATATATGTATATGAATATAACATTTGCCTAATAGCTGAAAATGTATTCTTTGAAAATATTTATTACAATAAAATTTTAATTCTTATTGGATACGCCCTGAAATAAATATTCGTCTAAATGTCATATGATGGTCACATTTTATTGATTATTTTTGTTATTGTTCATTGATCGTGAATAAAAAATTTAGACTTGTAAGTTTTCAGCTTGATATTTAGTTAAACAAATTCTCAAAAACAATATTCATCAATACTTTTGATACTGAAACACTAACTAAATTTTTAGGTTATCTATCTTATCATTATATCGATAAATACTGGCTATAATACACACACACACACACACATAGAATTAGAATTCAAATTGTACTTCTGATTATTCATAGATAAATTATTTTGGTGTAGTAGCTTACTTATTTGTCATTATATTCTGTTCTTTTAGCCTCAGACCCCTTCTGAAGAAGATTTAAGTATAATGAGTAAGAACAGGTCAGGCAAAGCTGTAGTCCAGTGTTAGTTATTTAAAATGAAACTTGTTACCTGAACCGATACTATAGACTATATATATCTTCACTCGTATTTTACTGCCTGTTCAGCTGTTAACTGTAATAATTTGATTAATATATGCAAAGTGAGGTCAATTATATAAATACACCAACTGTACCCTGCCATGCTTTGCGCGGGCACAACAAGAAATGAGTAACAAAAATGAAGTAATATATAGATTAAAACAATCTTTGAAGCAGGTTGTATATTGTATCAAAATTGCAGCACATTGACGCAGAACTTTTTGAAGTTTTAAAGCGTACATAAACCAACTTAATGTTTATATATATATAGATAAAAGCAAATTGATATGCACTTAGTTTTCTAGTGAATAATTACAAAATCTCAAAACTATTTGCCCTGTGAGAAGGTAATTAAGCTATGAGAGACAATATTATCAGTTGGAGACATCAGTTTAGTATGGATCTTGTGACTGGGACCAATTAAGGGGGCTAAATTTACATGAAAAACTTAGATTCCTAAATCTGAACAGATTTTGATCAGTTGCTGTCAGTTTTTATATTTTTAATTAACATTAGTATTTATATATGTAATGGAATCTTCGAGTGTGATTTAGATCCACTTTAAAACTGTCAAATCACATTGAAACGTTGCATGCTTATCAAGGATCGTTGACAAATCAATATTGTAAATAGTTTGTCCTATTATCCTGATCAGGATCAAGTTTTACCATACCAAAAAATATGGTAGTATCTTTTGCCACGTAAACTAAGGTATGTGCTAAAGCATATGTGATAAAGTTACTTGTTACTTTTTGTCTTCACACCTTCACTGCTGAATAACACATATCTTGTATTTATAGGACCTTTGCCAGTGCTGAAAACACACACTGGCATTTTTTCAATCCACAAGTCCTGCCCGCACAATGGTTGTTTTCCGTACAGCAGTACTAAAAACACACATGTTGTGTTCAAAACACAACTGTTGTGATGCGTGAAAACATATGTTTGAGTGTATAAATGTTTTTTATTATCATTTATTTTGTCCAATATGTGATCTACGAATAAATATGAAACTAATTTATCTTTAAAATATAATATTAATTACGAAAAACATGAAACATCAAACAAAAAGAAAACCTAACTAATAATAATAATATTTATAATTAAGGGTTTTTTTTCTTTCAATGTACATATTAAATAGTTTAATTTTTTTTCTCTGGAGTGGAAAAGCTTTGGTCTTGAAATTAAACGAAAGAAGCTTGAGAAGCCCATGTGGCAGGACAACCTGAAGATTTAGATAATAATTAACTTGACTTTAATATTATATTCTAAAAATATTGTCATTCCATTTTTACTTTATTACCATTTACCACAGAGTTCTTATTTTTATCCAGTGATGCCCGACCCCTTGGAACATGCTACTGGAATGGAGCGCAAAGAACTTCTGGCCATGCAGGCAGGCAATGATGACCCCTTCAACATGAAAATCCTGAAGAAATCTGCAGGCACCCGTGATAACCCTACCCTTGTGCCTTCCTGCTTCGACGCACGTATTGTTGGTTGTATATGTAAGTGTATTACTTATAGTACTATAACACCACCCCATCACTCTATGTAACTACAGCAACAGTTAAGTTCAATGTTCACAAAGACAGATGTAAAAGGAAAGATGGATATTCCATTATATACTGAATTTAATTACTTTAAATGTACTTCCTAATGTGATACAAAGTAAAAAACAAAAGCAAATCCAAACATTGTTGGATTGGCAATATCAGTTTCAACTCATAATGTTTGTCACAATGCCTGCTTGACTAAATAAAAGATTGCAAAATCCATACAATTTTTTATATATATATATCTTGAGTAATATTGTTATTAATAACTATCACACCAATATTAAAAAGGCGAAAGTTTGTGTGTAGAATATTAGTTACTTCTTCACGCACAAATGGCTCAACCAATTTTGATAAAGGTAGCTGGCACCCTGAATTGGTTACTTTTATTCTGAAAAAATAAATGGAGCTTGATTAAGCGCGGGTAATATTTAAATATTCTTCTATTAACATTAATTATAATAATATTGAATTTTACAATAAAGTTCTTTGTAGGTGACGATAATTATTATGGGAATAGCAGTGCATTACACCTTGGGGTTCGTCCAATCCAGTAACAATTATCCCACTTATTATCTAATGTGTCTCTGTATAAATCCCCCTAATTCCACCATTTGAATTTAGAAACAGTTCATTTTCTGTTCACTCTTTTTATTTCCAGGTGAGGAGCATGCCACCGCTGTCACATGGCTCTGGTTACACAAGGTAATTAACATCTACATTTTATACTAGTAATAACTTTTTATGGCTATTGGTATTGTATCATACAATGCACCATAAAAAATGATTGTAAAAACTGCTTGACAAACTAGAGAACACAGTAAAAGAACATATACTTTTTGTCAACACAACTAGTCTTTGGAACAAATCTCTGCCCTCTGTCTCTGTACAACCTTCAAGAAAAGAGTGTACTCCTTCCTTAGAAGCCAGCAACGCGCTGTGTTGCAGGCGTTCATGGGCGTAGTCACTTTCCATCAGGTGACCCATCTTGTTTGCCACCTGTATCATTAAATATAATCTACAGAGCGAACTATAATATAGCTCTCTGCAATGGTGCTGGTACTAAAGTGAGAATGAGATAAAAACTGCCAAGTGTAAAACGAACAGTATTATGATCTATCGTTTCTGACATACAGCTGAGCCACATTTATCTGAATCTGTCGTGGATCCGAAAAAGACTCGTCTTTCAACGCCTACCCGCGTCAACTTGTATACTCATCTATTGATTTTCACTTTCCGAGCTCCAAACCATCGAAACATTCCTTATTTTAATTCTTATCCATGCACCTTTTTTCAACTTTGATGTGGTCTCATGGTATATTTTACTTCTGTTGCAGGATCACCCTCGCCGTTGCGAATGTGGACACTGGTACAAACTTGTCGAGAAGCCGTTTGCATAAATACTATAATCTAGATTTTTAGTAGTGGTAACACAATAATGCGCATTGAAATGTATGGTTCAAGTATTGCCATATATAAACGACCTTGCGATAGTTTCAACTTAATTACCAAATCGACAAATCATTAAATAATCGTAAGCGTAAACAGTGTTTTATTTTGCCTTGCGTACGATACCATTGTTGGGTTATTCACTGTAGTTCAATAAATAATTTAATTAAAATAACTGACATTTTATTTTTAATGTTGTTTATGGCAGAAGTTAATTGCCTTTTGACAAAACAGTGCACTTCCATTATTCAGTGGTTTATTAATAGTCGCCCTTTCACTTGTGTTAAACAACACATTTAGTTTTCGTGTGGCCAAGGCTAGGTATGCTCGAGTAGTACTTAATATAACTCAAAAATTATAGTAGCTTTTTAAGCATTCAGGTACGTTCCTATGAACGTCAGATGTAGTTTCATACAGATATATGGGCTATTCAATAAATATGAACTATTAGTTTATGAGACCTCTATCTACGAGTACACCATAAACAAAAACAAAATTGTGAATGCAGAAGGTATACAGTTTTACTATTTTTAAATGTCTTTCTGTATTCGTCGGGCATTCACATTACCTGACATCCAACTGTCAACAAAAATGCATGACTAAAATTAATAGTATGTTAACCATTGATATAATAAACATACATACATAGATGAGTAATTACCGCCTCAAATCGTTGCTACTGCACATCTATCCACAGCCATATGCGTAGTAGGGATGTTAAAAAATAATCGATTTTTATTGAAATCGATTATTATTTTCTTATAATCGATTTTTTATTCTCGATTTAAATAGTAATGATAATCGATTTTTAGTAAATCGATTATATAAATTACGTGTTTAAATCGATTTTCAGAAACAGCTCGCATCTATGCGACGAATGAAAAAATCTTGCAGTATGTTTCAATTTTAAAAACGCCATCTATGCGTTGGATCAAAAATCTCTGCTCCGTCCGAAAGATTATTTTCCAAAGCGGGAAATGTGGTCAGGAAAACACGAAACCGTATTTTAGGAAAGAGACTATCAAAATTATTGTTTTTAAACTGCTTACTTACCTGAAAATTTATGGTAATAATTATTTTAAATTTTATTATTGTTTAATCCTAGTCAAATGTAAAATAGGACTGCACATTTGTGGAAATAATTATTTTTAATTTTATTATTGTTTAAACTTGCAGATTAACGAAAGATTGTTTTTTATTTTAGTTTTAGAAACCATAACGTAGTTGTTCAGGATTGATAATGATCCTTTTAAGTATTTTATTTTAATACTAGTCAAATGTAAAATAGGACTGCATGGACATTTGTGACAATAATTATTATTTAAACTTAAAGATTAACGAATGATTTGTAATTTAGTTTAGTTTTTGAGACTATAGAGTAACCAAAGCCAAAACCTCCTTTCTAAGGAGAGGCCTACGTCCAGCAGTGGACTATCAAAGACTGTTGATGAAGAGTAGTCGTTTAGTTTTTTAATTCTCATTTTAAGTGTTTTATTTTAAAACTAGTCAAATAAAAAATTCTCATCATTTCATTTTTAATATAATGAATAAAACGTTTCATAGTACTAAAATGAGTATCAATAATGCTATTTAGTTTCCTAATTCCCTACTTTGAAATTTTTCGAATAAGTTATTTTTTTATTCATATAATTTTATTTTATTTTTAATCTGATAAATAGTTAATATGAATCTCTTAGGTATATTATTGGAATGTGGAAAGCATATACTTTTAAATAATACAAAAAAATCGATTATTTATTTTTATTAAAATCGATTTTTGGCAAATCGATTAATTTTTAATATAGAAAAATCGATTTTTATTTAATCGATTCTTTTCCATTAATCTCACATCCCTAATGCGTAGCAAATGTCAATTCAGTGTTCAATGTGGCGTCAACCGAGTTGAACATAGCGACACATGACATTAACAATCGCAAAAATGGGTAAATGCGTAGTGAAAGAATACGATTCAAGGTCACAAAACCATAATAAATCATGCAGAATTACTTTTCACGTGTAAGTTTATGGTTTTTGTATTGATAATATCGTAATTAAGGCTATAATTGAAATAAAACATTGATAATTGGAATTTAGAATCAGTGTTACCATTAAAAAATTCTTTTGGTTTTCCCACATTAGTGGGAGAATTTATAATTTATGAAATAATATGCTTTATATTGTTTTTAAACATTTGGCCAATGATAATAAAATATAGGAAGAACGGGTTGTTAGGGCTGGACCGATCACTTTTTTTAGGGACCCGTTGAACGTTCACCTTCTGCCAAGCTCGCAGTGCTGGAGACTTTTGTACAAAAGAAATAATTCATTGTTTTTCTGCATTAATTATCAATTTTAAATAATAATTGTACAAAAAAAAATACAAAAAAAGTAAATATATATAAATAAATAAAAAAAAAATTATATTTATATATTATTTGTATTTTAAAATATTAAAAGAATTTGCAATACACCCTGGGGATTATTTATTATCAGTACAAGTTGATCATTAACTTTTATTATTAAATGCCATTATTTATACATACGTAAAAATAAGATTGTATCATGAAAGTAAAATATCCACACAAACTTATAAAAAGAGTCTAAAAGACAATTGTATACAAAACTGATGCTTCATAGCGGAGTTTGATTTTACACTGAATATAAACCCTTTTAACCAAATGTTTCCAGTTATTCTATTATTTATACCCATTCCATTCAATTCGAAATATATTATTTAAAATATTTACATTAATTTATTTTATTACAAAATTGTTTAAAAAAAAAATTGTTTCTTGGGTAAAATTTCATACGGTAGTCAACACTGGCCCACCATCGTAAAGTTATGTCTTTGTCTTTGTCTAATCCGAGCGATAGTATTGTTCTTGTCTCGCGTGTAAATGAGACATAAATATGTTTACTTTCAAATGTTTAGTAGTATCAAAGCTACGTGGTCAAAGTTCAAAAGTGGTTAAACTTTTTTCGACGTGTGATAATGAGGTTTGCTTCTCTAGTGTTGTTTTAACTCAATGATGTTAACTATTTAATTTCACATAAATTGCAGGCAAAATCGCTCGTTACCTGGTGTAAAATCTTTTTTATTTTTTAATTGACTCGGTTAGGTTAGGATGGAACTATTTTATATTTTTTTTGTGAATTATTAGGCCACAAACAAGTTATATTAAAATTCAATTTATTTAATTCAGAATTGTAACTAATGTACATGTGTATCTATTTCCGGACATAGTATTCTATTTCCGGAATATAGACAAAAGTATAAAGGACATCATTCAAAATGTATCTAAAAACAAAACTGTGTCATCTTACGGCAAATGATCTTTTAAACATTTTTTATTATTACAACAAACATCTACGACCAACTTTCAGACCCAAAATGAATCTCCGAAAATCATAAAATGAGCATTTACATTTATGTATCAATTAACTATTTCTGAATAATTAAAAACAACGCAAGACCATCGAAATGAGACCTGCGGAATTATAACATATGAATAAAGCCACGTAGGTAACGAAATGAAGTCTTTTTCTTTACATATATTTTATAACACTAATATCACGGTACTATTATAATACAGTAGTGTAACTCGGCCGCATGATAGAAATAAATGCCTACAGCCGCGCGGTACGTAAACATGCGTTAGGGCTAGCACAAGCGTAAGTAGGTAGGTACCTACCGTATCATGATTCATTCAGAACCGCATATAACTACCTATTTTACTCGTCTCAATAACTTTCCGTTACTCTATTCGCTTTATTAATCCAAACACCTTTTTTTCGTAAGGTAAAAGGAAATACTTATCCATTAAAAAGACACACATTATGTACCTACCTACTAGTAAGTAAAATTATTTTATAGTCTTACCTTTCAGAGTTTCCAGGTAATTTGAAAAAACTTAGGTCTAGATGCGTTATTGACGAATTCGTACAACCAAAAACAGCACAATATTTTAACAATAACCGCGCGATTTTTAGAGAAAAATCGCGCGGTGATTGTTAAAAAAAACAACACACCGTCCGTTCGACATTGGGGTACAGCCGTGATTGTCTGCGCCCCGAGCGCACCCCGAGATCGAGGCGCGTAGGTATAGCTCGCGTTTCGTCCGTTTGTATGAAGTTGGAGTACTGTATTATAATTGTACCGTGCTAATATCTACACATAAATACCTACGTAGGTACTTAGGTACCTAATGATGATTGTATATAATTAGGCTTTTTCTCATATTATATTTTTATTAAGCGAGATTAAGTTATTCTTTATCATCACTATTAGATTTTTACTAGACTTGCAACGAATATTCGGTTACTATTCGGTATTCGGCCTATTCGGCTGCTTTTATTATATTCGGCCGAATACCGAATATCTACATATTATTCGGCCGAATACCGAATACTTAAATAATATATTTTGTCATTGAGAAATAATTGGTAAAATGAAAAATTAAAATCGATTGATTACGTATATATTCATATTTTCATTTCTGTTATAATCATTTAAGTAGTCATTGGTGCATAACACAGGTACATAATCATCTTCTGAACTGGAAAAATAGAGGATTTTATGTATTTGAATTATTGTGGTAATCAAAATTTAGAAGGGTAAGGTTCTTATTTCTTTTATAATCATTTATTAAGTAGTCATTGGTACATAAAACAGGTACATAATTTAATTCACGTCTGTACAAGTTTTTGGCGCTAAAATCCAGCCGAATACTTTTGCCTAATATTCGGCTATTCGGTCAGGGGCCTCGCCGAATATTCGGTATTCGGTATACTGCCGAATATACTATTCGTTGCAAGTCTAATTTTTACCATAGTAATGAAGTAAAAATTGTTCAGACGAACTCGTATAAATGCATTTTTTTATTTCTAAGTCATATAACTCATAAGTAGTCGGTCTTAGCTCTTAGCCGTCTAAAGAAAAAATCTTAGAATGTCATTCTCTAACCGATAAAACCATTTATGTTTGTTACTTTGTACTTTGTACTTTTTTATGGAGCGTGAATGATGTCCTTTGACACAAACCCTATATCAACCCGTCTGGCCAGCGTGGTATAGTGGTCTAAAACCTCCTTTCTAAGGAGAGGCCTATGTCCAGCAGTGGACTATTAAAGGGTGTGGTGATATCGATTTAAAATAGAAAAAAAAATGTATAGTATAAGCAAATATGTCTTTTTATGTATTCGCTTTTCGGGGCTCCCGTGACGATAAGGGCTCTGGGCACGGACCCCGTGTGCCCTTATGGTAAAGACGTTACTGTCTCTCTCGTTGCCTGTATCGCTTCCACTTACCGTGCCCCGTGTTCTCTCTATACCTATTTCTCTATGGCGAGACCCCTTGTTCAATCTATTCTTAAATCTCTATTATAGTAGTCGATCTATCATCCCTTAAGGGGTGAAAGATTGATCATTAATCTGTCAGAACATTAGATAAAACACTATGGTCAGCCAGAACTGTCAAATGTATATAGTTATCATAGATAAAACACAATACTATAGTTATTAAGCGGAAAATCGGCATACGATTGTTTTATTTTGTTTTAAACAAATGCGTTTATAACTACACAATAAGAAAAATATATGTACAACTGAGTACTGAAGGTTTTACAAACCAATCAAATCACATATTCATGTAAACCTTTTAGCAAACTACTGTTTTCTGTTTCCTGGCGGAATATCAATGTGGTGTTTTTGTTATTGTAATTAACAAGTGTAAATTGTATAATATATTAAACTTAGTACTACGGTAGACATAGGCTACAGGTTTAGCAATAATTGTGTAACACAAATTCATGTAATTTCTACTAAAGTAAGTATATAACAATATTTATTTACAATACATCATGTACCCAACAGTGGATTGATTTTATATGCTTAAGTAGTACTTTTAAAGTAATTTCAAAAAGATAATCAAAAATACCTCCTGAACCACATAATACGAGTGCACATGTATATTATTTATAATGTTTTAGCTATTTCTTATGCATTTTTAAATTTCTGATATTATCTATAAGTATTATTCAACAACTTAATATATTGATTACATATATGTCTCTACTTGAGGATGTGTAATCTATACCCATATCTATTCTATATAGTAAATAAAATTAAAGTATCTGTTTGTAATGTCAAATTAATAGGTTTTTTTATGCTCATATTGTTATTTGCTTGATACCTATGCCTAAAAACCTAAAAGCCTAAAATAATTATTTTCGAAGTTATTTTCTTCAACACATGTTACTGACTGCAAAGACTGCATATCTTCATGTATTGATTAATAATGTTTTTGTTTCAGCTATGGCTGCATATTTGTGCTCCACTATCGCAGATGGCTTTGCCGATGACTGTGATGAATTGATTCATCAATGTCTCAAAGAGACTCCAGTGACTTACAGTGCGTTTTGTAAAGTATTTAGGAGCATGCAAATATCTTGTGTGTATCTGTAAGTGCTTTTTTAATTTTCCTATTAAAGTATCATATATTATTTGCTTGAGAGTTTGTTCAACTGACTGTTATTATGTAAACAATGATGTTCAAAAAGTGCTGGCAATCACCCTGATTGGAGCAATAAATGTCATTTTTTTATATATTATGATCTGATAAAGCAAATGGTTTTTAAGTAACTAGTGCATTAAATATTTTAGGCCCTGTTTTTTATAACAAATAAACAATAATTGCCTATCCAACTATAAACTTTTGCAGAATTGCCTATCACAGTGTTGTGCACCCTGTCAGTCTTATCAGTCATTTTATGTAATTAGTTAAATGAAAAACGGCCACCGTTTTCTAAAGAATAAGTTTTTTTAATATAACCACATAGAGATGTAACCAATAACTAGGGATGTATCCCAAACACACAGTCCACTGCTGGACATAGGCCTCTCCATTGCACGCCACTTAAATCAATTTTTGCCTTCTTGCATCCAACTCCTGGCAAGGAAATAATGGTCAAGGGATATTCCTTCTCTCTTATACCCTTCTCCGAACATTCTTATTGACCATGGGTTGGGGAATAGAAAAATATTTAAATTTCAAAATGGATACCAACCCGTCTGGCAAGCGTGGTATAGTAGGCCAAAACCCCCTTTCTAAGGAGAGGCCTATGTCCAGCAGTGGACTATTAAAGGCTGTTGATGTGATGTGATGCATTGTTGGACTGTTGCAGGAACAGACATTCTGGTGCAGAAATAGCTGAGTTAACCGAGGAGCTCATCTACATAGCCAAATATTACATGGTGGCTAATACCAACAATTTTGAGGTGAATGATCTTACTTTTAATATAATATTTTTGTATATATATTTGTATTGAACATAGACGAACCACCTTAATTACAAAAAGTAAAATTTTAATCCATTAGCTACATATTCTCAAGCTGTGGTAAGGCTTCTGCATGCTTAATAGAAACAGTGATCTAGTTGATACTGCCTTAAATAACAAGTTCCCAAAATTACATTGAGTCTGATTTGTGGTTTCATTTAATTTACTATTATAAAGAAAAACATAGCTTTAGTACTGTTTGATAATATTATTACAAGGACTTAACTACAATGAAAGAAGGTCTTCAAAGAAAACAGCCAAAAGCCGTAATTTCATTTAAGTTAGCTCATTATTCAGTAGCAAAATGGCAGGAAGATACTTTTGATTTTGCATGAAGGAGGTTATTCTGAGGTGGAGGTTAGATTTATATATTCTATATTTGAGTAAAAAACATGAAGGGAATAAAATATAACGAATTTTAACAACAAAATTTGACATAGTCGTGCCCAAGTCATAATGCGTAAATAACTTATTACAAATTGGTATAAAATCGTGTACAAATAAGATGATCTCAATATTTATGACTTTTGTCTTTGGTTTGCAGTCAACAATTGTAGGTCTTTTCCTGGTCTACGCTTTAGTAAAAGTACAGCCGTTCAAGGATTTTGCTTATTTACGTTTGACCGAAGAAGATGTTCCATACATTGAGCGTATAGAATTGGTTGCTCGAAGAGAGAGGCGCCTAGATGTGCTGTATGTTCTGGGACATGTGCTCACGGTAAACACTCGGTTCACAGCGGCCGCCAGAGAAAGAGGCATGGAAGCATCCTACAGAAAGTACTTAGAGAGTAAGTAAGACTATCTATATAAATTATAATCTTGTTTTAGGGACCCATCCAAAACTAGTTCCAAACCGTAAGTTGAGATTTTAGTGGTAAAGGCTTAACTATCATTTATGCATTTAAGCCTGATTATCACTATTAAAAAAGCATAATAGCTTAAGCTTATAGCTTCTATCACGGGCCTTGAGCGTGGAGACCGAATCCAGAAATTCCGTAACGAAAATAACCTAACACACCCCACGTGAACCTTTTTAGTTTTGCCATCTATCGATGAATAGCAGAACTTTCAATGACTTTTTTGAAATATCACGCTTGTCTCTTTAGTTCAGCAACTCGCCTTTAGGTGGCATTGGTTGTATCGGCGTTACTGCGCATGCGTAATCCCCCTCTTCGCCCCGCAATCTAATTAATATCAAAGAAAAAAAAGAGAGGAAAAAAAATACTGCATAAATAAAATAAATAAATAATTATAATTGCATAAGTTGATAAAAATGCTATGCAATAGCTTTACCGCGGCAGTCCCCGAGTGTCACACGTCTTTTTTTTATTCCTGCACAGAAACTCTAAAGCTTTCAGCAGTGTAAATGCAATACCTTAGTCATATTTTTAAAGTGATAATATGATAATCGAATATAATAATCGACTAAATATCAACAGACTGTGTGACATTGGACATTGGTCAGCGTCCCAAAGGCGTATTCCTGCGGCAGAATGAGGAGTTGGACGTTATTAAGGAATTGACTGACCTTCAGTTACGTTATGATGCTGCGAAGATGGCTGCCAATTGTATGTATATACTTCAGTTATTTGAGTAGTTATAAAAATAAATAATGTATATTCATGCAACAAGGGTATCAACTATTAAGTTATTTGAAGTAGTTTCAATTAAGTTAGTGCCCAAATTAAATTTAAAATTACCAAAGAAATGACGGTCAATAGAGTGAAATCTTCATTTTAATATAGATATTCATAGAACTGAGGTGGTACTGTTTAAGAACGCCGATGAAGAATGTTGGTATGCCGAGTGCCCATTTACTCTCTGTATTTCTAAACCGATACAGATACTCATTTTTCTCGACGGCAGAACAATAGTCTATTCGTGTTAAAAAAAATAGTGACCCAATGATCAAGCCTGACCAATCAGGTTCAAAAAGTTTCAATGAAATTATCATAAGCTTTGAAACTGAATGGTCAGTGGTGAAGTGACTATGAGTTAAACGTTAAAAAAACAATATTAAAAAAAAAACAGTCTTCAAAAGTAGTGTTTGAGCTTGCTATTGCTACAAGAAACATAAATGGTCGTGGCAGAAATACAAAACAAAATAAATACTTCTCTGTTATACAGTTCCTGATTTGAAATACGCTGACTCAAAGTTTGCCACTGAACTCAACTCTTCTTTGAAGAATATTGTCGCTGGCATCATTGATGACGATACCACCCAAATTGGTAAGTTTAATTTTGACTAGAGCAGATAATAGCGTAATTTTCTTAATAATATTATTCATGAGAACAATTAAAGGTGATAGAAGCTTTCACTAGCTAACAACAAATCTGAATATTAAACTAATATCTTCGCATATGGATGCTCTGTAACCCATAAGATCTGTATGTCATTTTTTATGGCTCTGAAACTGATCTTTAATATTGTATAGGTATTTATTTTACTATAATTAAATATTTAAATTAATAATGTTATGAGTTACTAATATTATAACCACTTAAAAGGTATTTTATACGAGTATTAAATCTTTTAATAATAATAATGAGTATGAAGACAATTATTTGAAAAAATCTTAACTCAACAATTATATTGAGTCCAAATTATATTGTTTCAAATGTCAGTTGACACTTGAAGCTAAGAAAAACTTCATATGCAGACTCTAACAATCCGTACCCGATATACGAGGGCGGGTCAATAAGTCCGTGACTTTTGGAATAAAACACAGATTTTTTGATAAATAAATCATTTTATTTTTCAACGTAGTCTCCCTTGAGCTCTATACACTTTGTCCAACGCTTCTCCAATTTTTTTATCCCTTCCAAAAAATATGATTTGTCGAGGTCCTCAAAATAGGCCTTTGTTTGCGAGATGACTTCATCATTGGAGTCAAATCTTTTTCCACCAAGCCATTTCTTCAGGTTTGGAAACAAGAAGTAGTCACTCGGAGCCAAATCTGGAGAATAGGGCGGATGAGGGAGCAATTCATAGCCCAATTCATGGATTTTTGCCATGGCAACTGCACATGTGTGCACCCTTGCATTGTCTTGGTGGAAAAGAACTGTTTCTTAGCCAAATGAGGTCGTTTTTTTTTCAAATCGTCATTGAATCGGTCCAATAAGTTGGCATAATATGCCCATTTGATTGTTCTTCCCTTTTGAAGGTAGTCAATGTGGATTATCCCTCGTGCATCCCAAAAGACAGTCGCCATAACTTTATTGGCTGACAAACCCACCTTGGCCTTCTTTGGCGCCGATTCATCCTTAGAAACCCACTGTTTTGACTGTTGTCTGGTCTGTGGTGTGTTGTGATGGATCCATGTTCCGTCCACGGTTACAAAACGGCGCAAGAACTCCTCCATATTGCGATTAATCAACGCCAAACCTTCCTGTGAAGTTGTTACACGATTGCGTTTGTGGTCGACTGTGAGCAATCGCGGCATCCATCTTGCGGAAAGCTTTCTCATCTCAGTGATCATTCAAAATTGAAACCACTGAGCCATGCGAGATCCCTACGGCTTCCACAATCTCTTGCACTTTCAATCTTCGGTCGGCCAACACCATATCGTGAATTTTTTCGATTGTTTCGGGTGAAGAGACCTCAACTGGGCGTCCAGGTCGTTCGGCATCTTCAGTGCTTGTACGGCCGCAACGAAATTCAGTAAACCACTTTTTTACCATTAAAATCGATGGTGCAGAGTCCCCATAATATTTATCAAGCTTAGCCTTGGTCTCGGTAATGGTTTTTTTCGCAAAAAATAATGCTTAATAAGCACACGAAATTCACTTTTTTCCATTTTTTCCTCAAATTGCTGGGTAGTCTGATAAAGTTAGCTGTCAAACACAAACTAACTGACGCAGCAAGTTCAAATTTTGACAGGAGTCAACTGACAGATGCCTGTTGACAGGAGTAGTGTTGCTTTTTCAGTAAAGAGGTCAGTAATTTAAAAAGTCACGGACTTTTTGACCCGCCCTCGTACATATTTAACGATCCGAAACAACACAGCACTCCTTTGAACATGCCAGTACTGTTTGTTGCCGAAGATGTTGAAGCTTTGTGAAAGAAAAAAGACGTAGTGTCACCACCCCTATTTACCTCATGAGTGTCGTAAGAGGCGAGGGGAGCAAACTACGCAGGATAACAGCACTGCAAAGAGAAGAAAAACTTACATCAAACCCTATCCCGACCCGTCTGGCCAGCGTGGTATAGTAGGCCAAAACCTCCTTTCTAAGGAGTGGCCTATGTCCAGCAGTAGGCTGTTGATGATGATGATTTTATCTCCATAGTTAGAAATAAACTATAAAAACTACAATTTTTGCAATGTCAATCGAGTCAATGAAGAGAATTTAAAGCTTTCCATTTTTCTTTGGATGCAATTGTTCACATTTTTTCGTATTTATATATTGTATATTTCCAGAAACTGAAGAAGAAAAAGTTGAAGAATCAGCGAGGTCTATTAAAGATCGAGCTATGAAGATCAAAGTGGAACCTATGAGGCATCTTATAGGAGTACAAGATCGGTATGCAACATTTGATGTCCCCCCTCTGATTGTATTAAAAACATTGATTTTGAATGTAAAACTATCATAATTTAGTTAACTTTGAGTGCTTGCCGTTTCGGTATTAAATTCGTAATCAAAATCTATATTGGTAATGTATATTTGTATTGTGAACTGTGATTTATCATTCGATTTTTTCCTACGTAGGTTAGGGTTGCTACTCACTCACGCGTTGTTGCCAATAAGCTATTTTCAGACGATGCATAAAGACCCTATTTTGCCTATTTAACAGAAAATCAAGTGATTATTCTATTATACATCGCTACCATACCTACATAATAATAATAATAGATTTACTGTGAATGATAAATCACAGTTCACTGCCCCATGCCTAGTAAATAGTAGTAACCAGACATATCTAGTACAGTAAATTTATTACCAAACTAGCATTTTCCCGCAGCTCCAGCCGCGTGTATGTTGGTTATCTCACTAAAAAGTAGTCTATAACACTCGGGGATAATATACTTTTCTAACAGTGAAAGAATTTTCAAAATCGGATCAGTAGTACCGGAGATTACCCCTAACATACAAACTGTACCTCTTTACCATATTCTATTACTAAATAATAAGTACTCATTTCTCTCTTATCGGACTTTTAAATTCATTAGAAACTTAAATGTGTACTGTTTTTTACAGAACTCCAAACAAAGCAAATAAACCACATATGTCTGATATTAAAACAAAACCTGGCAAAATTAAAAGTGGTAGTCCCACAAAACAATCATCAGCCAATGCGAGAAAACAAACCACAGCTAATACAAGAGCAAGTAAACGAAAGAGACTAGACAACTACAGCGATACCAGTGATGAGGCAGAGCTTTCTTTAGAATTATCAGACCACGACAGTGACAATGATATTGACTTGGATAATTTTGATAAAGTTCAACCAGCTCAAGATACCAACGCTACAGAAAATGTAGCGGAAGTAGAAATAGATAGTGAAAATATTAATTTAGGAGGGCTACCGTGCATTATAACAAGCGAGGACAACGGTCAATCATACGAAATCGAAATAATCGATCGATACAACAAATCGACTAGAAAATCTTCAGAAAGGAGCGGCATTAAACCGGAATATAGAAATGCCATAGACCATGAACAACAGACGCGAAAAGAAAAACGTGATTTAAAAAAGACAATTTTGAAGTCTCGTTTTAAACGAATGGGGATGGAACCTGTAGCTGATTTTGAAGATACATGATAGGAACCTACCATGATTAGCTGAAAAGAGAGACGGAATCCTAGTCTCTGTATCTAATGGGAATCTTGTAAAGTGCAAAAATATTATAGATGTTGTACACTAAAGTTCTTAGTTGTTGAAATTACTAGTGTTGTGAACTGATATCTATATATATCTTTCTGTTGATATTATTTAAGTAATAAAGTAGTAGAATTATAGTGATAACTTTTATTTATTTCCTTATTTTATTTAACAACTTTATGCACTTGTGTACATCGGCGGACCTTTGGGTGGTGAAGAAATCTGGTGAGGTAGGTGCACCGAGGTTACAGTTGTAATAGTAGAATATATATATATATAGTTTCAATTAACATACACACACATATACATACATAAATAAATATAAATACACAAAAATACATATATGTAAGAGAAGGATCGGTCATAATTAAAAAAAGAAGTTCTTTTAAAACTTGATAATAATTTATTCAATCAAACACAGAGAAACAGCAAATCACAGGACTAATAACAATTTGATATTAATTAGTCATTAAACTAGGCTATATTATAAATTAACACTTCGATAAATAAGCCTTAAATAATCGGGTATAATTAGTCCAGAAACCAAATTATAACCGGAATAATAATTAATTCGTTGCCACAAATTAATCATCCAAGGTGTCTAGGTTAAGCTAGCAACCAGGTACAACTAGTGCACCGAGCCACGCCAGAGCCAAGACTCCCTTGCAAATGATCGTTACACGTCTTTTATACCGGCAAATCTAGTAGTGGGAGAGTGAGGCATCGAATGACGCGCTCGGTGGCGTGATCGGTGCACGTGTTGTTTACGGTTTCGCTCAGGAGGCGCGCGGACGCCGACATATACTTTATATTCGTACACTGTAAATAGGGAGGTGTAGTATTGAGTAGGTAATTCCGCCAACTGAAAAAGGTAGCTATGTACAGTGAAATTAGTCTCGAGAAAGTTTTGCATATGTAGTGGTGTGTATATTACTCAGATCTCTATTACCTACATGTTAAAAACAATTAAAACAATTTATACATTGGTAAAATCTCCTTGCGAAATGATTTCCTATCTATTCGATAGATGGCGCTGAATGTCTGACAAGATGCCCCAAAAAAATATTATTACTAATCATAGTTCATACTTTCATCAAATTCATGGCTTACGTTGTATGTTATAATAAGATTTACTTTAATTTAAAAAAAACTTTGACTGAAATCTGGGTAATAGTGTACATAGCATCAACTTCTTTTGATCATTAAAGTGTTTTGAAATATATTTACTTAGTTTTATTTCCTAAATTCAAAATTCAAGAAAAAATATAATGTTGACATTTGGGTAGGCCATGGAAACACTCAAAACCACAAGAAAGATAATAAAATATAAATTAACATTACAAGCCTATACTCTACACTATACTCACATTTACATACTTACACAAAAAAAACTATACAATTCAAATTCAAAGAAAAATAAAATACGAAAACAAAATACGAAATACACCAAAAAAAAAAACCTGCGGTAAAAAATTAAATAAAGAGCAAAAAGCCAACATCACGTGGTATTCCCAGGCGGTCACCCATCCAAGTACTAACCACGCCCGATGTTGCTTAACTTCGGTGATCGGACGAGAACCGGTGTATTCAACATGGTATGGACGTTGGCAAACGTTAAAGCAAATTTAATGTATGGTATCCACAGTTAGACGTCAATTTATATTAATAAAAAAGTGTCGCGTCCCAAATTTTTGTATGAATTTTTTCCGTCTAGCCCCCTTTCACAACGCGCGATAAGGAACTTCGTTCCAAAAACCAGTTTACGCTGTCCGTACCATACACTACTACAAACGCAAAAATTTCTCCAAGCTAATTTACCTGTACATGCTTATTAAATGTGAAACGTTTTGTGGATATCCTGATTTCAAGTGGGAGCACATTCCAGAGCAGTACTGCTTGCACAAAGAACGAAGAGTTCACTAACGCGGAATAATGGAAGATTAGTGGTAGTAACACGTGGTTAGTGGACAGGAAACGCAGTGGGTGAGAATGGGGAGTTGAGGAAAGAAAAGAGAGAAGGGCGCGCTCGCTGATTACTGCGCAGACGAATATAGGCATTTTCTGCTGGGGTAACGTTACCGTAGCCAGACAGCTATATAGGGTAAGCTGTACTATTATTGGAACCCCATTAGTCATTGGCAATCTTTATTTTAAACAAAAATATTATCGATTGATGTGTTAAACAATATTTAGTCGATGTACCACTTAGTTTTTGAAGTGTACACAAACCAACTGACCATTTTTATATATACAGATAGAAATTAAGTAAAACTAAACTTTTATAGTAACTAATTTTTATTAGCTTGTTAACTCATGATTATTTATTTATAAAAATATAAAAGTTAGTGCCAATGACTGATCAAAGAATCCATAAAATGCTAATCGTTGTGTAGTTTACCTTTTTAATTTATTCCTTTTGAGATACACAGACGAACAAGCTCCAGGTCAGATATTAAGAAATAAAACAAAATAATTACACGACAATATTTATAATTAATAATTAGATACATTATATTATATTCTATATAATCTAATATCATATACATTATAAGATACTCTGTTTGAACTATATTTTAGGCCACTGCAACTAAAATAAATATAGGGAAAATTGATTTTTGAAACCATGAAATGGATACAAAATATCTATTCGTTCATATTTCATTGTCCTACAATAAATAATATAAAAAGATAAGTCGCTTATCGAAGATGTGTATAGCATCACCAGATTTTATCTTAATGAAGTCTTGGATAGCAAATATTATAAGAATTTTGAGTTTTGATTGCCTCACTCTTCGCTGCCTATAAGACTGGAGCATCTGGCACTAAATGATTTTTTGACAGTCATAATTGGTAATGTGTGACCCAGAGGAATAAAATAGTATTCATTTCATTTTAAAAAACATAGGCTATCTACAACTAGTGATGTGCCAGATACGCATATCCGTTCCACTATTCTTTTCAACGTCCGTTCTTTTCCGTCACGTTTCAACGGACCATGAACGGATCTTTTTCTTTGTTATATTTTTTACGTTTATGAAATTCTAGATATTTTTTGACATCATTCTTTTCTAAATATATTAATGGTGGTGTATAAAAATAATAATTTAAAAAAAGGCAGTGCAAGCCGTAGCAGGTCACGTTATTTCCTCAACGTGAACTGTTGTTTCAAAGTCACACGTATTGGTATTAACCGAGGAAAATATGATATCCGTTTTCGAGGATTTTGGACATTAAAAATCCGTATTCAGGTCAGTATCAGCGGATAGAGAATCTGGCACGCCACTATATACAACGAAATAGCTACTATCCCTACTCTGCCAGTTTATAAGCACATCACTAAATGTTTCCAACAGCTTAAATTTATTACATTTATATTCCCTTTTATATTACAAATACTTTTTTACTCGACTATCGAAAGCGGATAAGGGCAAGTTTAGCTAATAAATAAATTAAAAATATACAAATAACATTATTTAGGCCTTAAATTAAATACGGTTATTATATATTAAATTATTGTTTTATCATTATATTTTTACGAATATTAATTCATTGTAACTATCAGAGAATAGATCGCAGATACATATAGAAGGAAAAATATGTTTAACATACAAAAATTCGACTTAGACAACAGATTTGTCTGGACACTGGAGCACTAAATTTGAAGAGATTTATGTTCTCTGGGACATTGGAATTTTGAGTCAGATTTGAATGATTCCTTTTTGTATTCGATATAGTATTTATTGAGTAATTATATAGGTTATAAACCATTACAGTACGACGCAGGTAAAACTGCGGGAGACGGCTAGTGGTATAAAAATAGCTGCCGTGGTAACTGCGCTATGTCGTCCTTCGATATGTGGGTTAAATCATTAAGGTCCTCAGTATTTTATCTTATTCAAAAAGTGTATTGAACATATATATGATAGCAATTAGAACTTTTACAATAAGAACCGTCGATTATGACCAATCACATATTTATAAGTCTTGGCAAAAATTTTGCTTCTATCGTCTGTTTTATGGTTGTTCTGGGTATTCACGGGTATGCTAGAATTACGGTCGTACTTTCTACTTTCAGACTACCCTCAAAAAGTTAATGTTTGAACTTTCTATACATAACTTTACTCTCGCGCACTCCAAGCTTTCTATACATAACTTTAAGTTCATATTAAATCTGCTTTTTATCCCTAAATAGGTTGTTCTATTTACTAACAATATGCGTTATAAAGTCTGGTTCTATTCTCTGATAGCCATTAAGGAATTTACTAAACATACTTAGGGAATCAGGACTCCCACCTAAGGTAAGTTGCCTTTAATGGAAAACTAGACTATCACAATGATTAACAATAACTATTTTGTTCTTTACGCAGTCATACACTATACGATCTTCGGCATGAAGTAAATATTACATCGAAAATCAATAACTCAATTATCATTGAAATGATTTAAAAATGCTGTGACACTGCAATGCATTTTACAAGACCATTAAATTCTTCGGTTTACAGAAAACATGAAGTAGTATTCCCTCTGTCACCATGAAATAAACCATAACCGAACATGTACCAAAACTAAAAATTCTGGGTCTATGTATATTTCAGAGTTGCCGGATTTGTTATGGCTCCAGGGGCTCTTTATCTAAGGGTGAAGCGACCCAGAATAATTTGTTTTCTGGTTTTGGTTGCGTGTGGCATACAAACGGAATAGAATACATACGTAAGTACAGCAATCGTATACGATCGGATCGGATGTTTACAGCGAAGCTGAGCAAAACTTTTTTACTAAATTTAACTTTTTAGTTCCCGAAATTGTTGTTCTAATATTATGTACCGATATTCGATGTAATTTTTATCCCGATTTCCAATATAGCATTTCGTTAAAATTCAAGAATAAGCGTATTCATTTGTAAAATATTTTCATTGTGTATAACTGTTGCAGGATTTGTGGGTATCTATCAATGCTCGAATATGGAATGATTTTAAATGCACTAATTTAATCAGTGACAATGATGCGTAGTCATTTACACAATTAATGTGAAAATTATTATAATCTTGAAAGCAGGGCTTGTATGTGTTAAACTTGTGGGTCAATATAATACATGTAATTCTGATAATGATATTAAAAGCTGACAAGAAATCACTGCAAACCCATAGTTCGAACCTTTAAAAACAACGTATTTAAATTATCCCCTGTATCAATTCGCATAACTCTACAGATATCAGAGATATCAGCCAACAGAAGACCTTAGAAGTTGCACAATTCCCTGATGAGATCCAGTTGGTTTATACTTTTGACTAAAATATTAAAAATAAAACTTTACTAATCTCACTCTTTCTAACATCAAATAATACAAAATTATTGCTCACACCAAAAAGGTAATTTGATTCTTTTTTTGATTATACTTTAAGCTTTAAAAGAAAATTATTTTTCGTACATGTTTGGCGATCCTTCCATTTTCAATTTTGACGCAATGACAGTTTCATTTTAGTAACTAGTCAGAATAAACGATTGGATTGAATTGATAAATAGTCCTGCAGAATTGTGTAAGCAGAACCAAGGTATTTCTAACAATTATCGCTTCTTTCAACTATTGCTAGTTCGTCATCTTCACCCGACGTATTTGTTTTGGCATCACAATGTGTTAGATTCGCTTCAGACGAGCCATTGCTTGATTCATGAGATCGTGGACTCGTGCTAGTTTTTCGAACATAAAGTACATTAGAGTCCAACCTATTGTGGTCACTGAAATAAGCACTGCCGTCCGATATTCTGTTAAGCTTGTGTATCTGTTCTCTAAGTTCACAAACTTGGCCATACAGTTTCTTGTTTTCTCTTAGAATGGCTATATTCTCTGTTTCCAGCAATTCTCTTTTGCTCCATTGTATCGTGTTTTCTGATTTTAGCCGTTCTATTTCCATTTTTAATTCGGCAATTCTTTCTTCTAGAACTTGTTTGGCTGCAATTTCGTCCTGCAGTTCATTCTGTAGTTTTTCTACTTCACTATGACTGGAATCTGTGGACCCTAACGTTCTGTCACTGTGAAGTTCCACTTTAGTACTATGTAGTTCAGCAGTTAAAATTTCGATTTTATTTAGGAGAAAAGTTTTCTCATCTTTCTCGCTTTGTAGATTCTTGCAGGTTTCTTCTAACCTTAATCTTAATTCGCTCAATTTGTTTGCTAGAACATTGTCAACGTTAGAAAACTTATGGGAATCTAAAGACGCTCTTTGTCTTACAGAAGGCTGATCATTAGGTGATAGATACCCTACATTTTTTCTTCTTAATTCCACGCCGTCTTCAGTCGTAAGATCGCCACCTAAAATCCTGCTCTCGCCTATACTAAGAAGTTTTTCATTATCAAGTCTGAGCTCAATTAGCTGTTGTTCTAGATCATTCTTTTCAGTCTTGGACACAGACAATTCTTTAGACAAGGTGTCTACTTTGTTTTTAAATTGTTTAGCTTCCTCTCTTGCTTTATTTCGTTCGTTACGCACCTTGCTCCATTTTTCTCGCCAATTGGCTGTACAATCTGACCACCACCGCATTGTTTTTTCCATTTGCGTCGCTCTGGCGCGTGCCTCGTCTAATTCTCGTTGGTAGAGTGCTTCTTTGGCTTCCCAATCTGTATTAGTATATCTCATAGCACCTCCATCGTGATCCCTGCTTCGTCTATGACTACCTCCTTGCGAACTTTGAGCCATTTTTCATTGGTTTCAAAGATCTACAAAAGAATAAAATTATTTTATCATTCGTCTTTTTTAAATACAGTCTTCATTGTGACTACTTGGAAACTATAAAATGAGAATCAAACGGTTTTATTCAAATAAGATAACAACTTAGACTATTATTTATTTCAGAAACATGTCTGCTTGCGATCTTCCACCTTGTCCACCGTGCCCTCCGCGAGCACCTGCACCATGCCCCCAAGTATGTCCACCTCCGCCTCCGCCGCGCCCATGTTACCCGAAACCCGTCATGCGCGGACTGCACTACGCTCAGACAAAGTCGGTAGTTACTAAAGCCTTAGCACTGTCAGCATTGTCGGGCTTTTGTACTTATGCATTCCTTGGGTATCCCCGCAGGGAAGCTTACAGAGATTACTACGAGTAAGTTCTTTTCATATTTTAACTTAAGAAATAAGCAAAGAAAATAGAAGTTAAAAATGAAATTAGTGTTGAATACACTAATTAATTTCATTTTTAACTGGTCTAACCGGCCCATAATCCTTTCGGCTCCTAGGGGACGTAGGAGCCAGGAGTATCTGGCTTTTAAACTAAAAATCACCCTAATTGCCGGCCTCAGGCGCCTTTCTCTGAGAAGGACTCATGTGATTTCAGGCACCCCCCTCCAGATCGACGCCGCAGGCCCTATCAATAGGGCGGGGTTAGGTGCGCCGTCCCCCCCCCCCCTATCACTATATCTTGGTGCCCAATCGCATTTTAGTGTAATCAGGCCGACAACATGTCCCTTAACGAAGTAATCATTCTGCCACCAGAGGTCCTCTCTCTCAGTCGGCCCGCGGTTACAACGGCTTAAGGCGAAAAGTAGTACTTCAGTCCAGTTCCACTTGACGTAGTTATTTTCTCTCAAATGAGTCGCCGCAAAACATCATGATCAGATTATAACGTTATGCGACTGCAACGATTTGCAAACTGCTATTACACGACTGTGATAGCAGTTTGCAAATCGTTATCGGTAAAGAGGTTAAGAATACGGTTTGTAAATTCTCCGAAAATAATGCATCAGTTAATACTAGTTTGCTAGCAAACTCTATTTTAAACATTATTAAACCACAGTTTAGTTTCTATTAGCTTCAGATTTCTTGTGAAACAGCAAGACATCCCGATATTAGTACTATGGCATTAATGTAAAAGAATTTTTACAACACAAATGCACAACATTTTCTTATTTGTCTGTAATTTAAATTCTTTCTTTAAACTTTGCTTGATAATTTTGTAAACCTATTATGATAATGTAGTAATGATTCTCCCTCCATTAACAACTAAGTAAGACAACAACTAACTAAGTAAGAAACTATTTTTAAAGTATACATTTAATTTTGTAGTTGTTTGTATAACTGACATTACATGGCAACTAAACAAGTTGAATAGAGGTTTCAAAGTGTAAAAATAACATTCTTGTTCTATAAAATGAATTGCCAAGATCTGCTTACAAAGTTCAGACAGTAATAATGTTCTCTTATTATTCAATGAATAAATTACTATAATTCCATGAATAAATGTCTGTGTGGTGATGGATTAAAAATTTGGAATGCCACCTGTGGGTGTCATAAGAGCCGACAATGGCAACAAACTATGCAGGACAACAGCACTGCAAAGCGAAGGAAGCCGAAAAGGCTGATGATGATGATGAATAAATATTTACATATAACTGTAGGACAGCTGTGCTTCAGCACAAATGAGCTGGCTCAAGCACAGTGATACTACAGCATTACAGAAAACTGCTGTTAAGTAGTTCTTTCATTGCTTTTCACTGATTAAGTGAGTTTACCAGAGATCCAAACCAAATTTGAGTCACTCTCCCTAGCATCGGAGAGACCAATCCTGTGACTCATGAGTCGTAGGTGTCCATGGGCAGCCTTAACTACTTACAATCAGGTGACCTGTCTTGTTTTGTCTCCTTATAAAAAAAAAATTGACGAAAGAACCTCCTTTTTTTGAAGTCAGTTAGAAATACCTCAAGAATAAGTTAGATACTTAAATTTTAATATGATAAAGACAATTGGCACCATTTTTAAGGTAATTGTAATGTTTTCCATCTAGTAATAAAATATTAGAATGACATAAAGCAGACAGTAAAATATTGTTTGTTATATAACTGAATTAGGTACCTGCTTTTTTTATGACAAAAGTATATTTTATAACTGGTATACTGAATGTTGTGGGCAAAATTTCACTGTGGCTGATGATACTACCCTACCCTATTGCCTAAAAATTACAGGTTAGTGTCATTGAAGTCATGATTCTAAATTGCAATATGGTGACCAAATGGTGATAAATATTGTTATTTTCTTCATCATTTCTAATGTAAGATTTAGAAGTTTAAAAAAAATCAATTACATTCAGTGCTAGACAGTTCATAGATAACACATAGTTGTGAAACATTTTTTTTTTTTATTATTACACAAATTATACAGACACTAAATTCAATATTATTTAATTCTGTACATAGGGATAGAATAAATTTCGAACATTATGACATTGGGTATGACAATACTGGTTTGTTCCAGTGAAAGAAGTAGCCTACGTCTATTAGTATAAATTAACTTGAATTACTGGGTTCCAACCAAAAAATAAGATAATTTTCGCCAATTTGAGTCGGTAATACGGAATATACTCGAACCGGCTACACTTACAATATTTAAATAGTCAAAAATCTATTGATTGTGCAGTCAAATTAGTTCCTCATTATGTTAAGAAAAAATTATAAGTTAAATACAAAGCAGGTTTCGTTTCACGAAAAGGCGCTCTTATAGCTTTTTGTTTCGTGTTCACAAACATTGTTTCTTTGTTCATTTTGTATATAAAAACTATAAACAAATTTTATCAAGAGATAAACATACCTGGACTATATGTTACCACTTATTGCAAATTCATTCATAATTATATGCTAGACTTCTCTGTAAAATTAAAATGAACTCAGTAGGTATTATTAACGTACATCAACGTTCAACCATTTATCTTTTTTTTAACACCACAGTACAACACCAACACCACAGGGCACAGATAACTATATACCCATAGATTATAATGTTACCACACCACACTCCACACTGTTGACTGTGTGTTTTCACCATAGAGATGTAAGCATAGACTAAGAGAACTAAGAGCCCTAATATTGCAAAATATACGAGTGAGATAATTAAAAGTTAGATCCCTCTGTCTCTTAGTAGTCGTCGAGCTCTGTGGTTGGCGGGGCAATATGAGGGGTTAATAAGTAGCCAATCGCAGCTTGGCTAAGAAGAAAGCTGAACAGACAGAGGAAACCATCGGGCATCCATTTCTCTCGTTGTCTGTATCGCTCCCTCTTACTGGCAGCTGTACCCCGTGTTATCTCTATGCTTCTCACTCTGTGGTGTCCACTGTCCACTCCACAGATTATGAGATAAATATGTAGATGTACACAATATAATAATATGATATACATAGAATGTGCTATAAACTAGTCATAGTAGTCATACAACCTAGGCAAACAACACACACAAATCTCATATTCTATTTATTTTTCGAACAGGTCAACAAAAACCACAGACTAAGTAATTTATAAATATGGATCGTTATTATATTACAAAAGTTAAAATTCTAAATGTGCTAAATAAAATAAAATTATGAAGACTATTCAATTTTTACCGCCCCTACTAACCTCTAAAATTCTGTACCCTGTTTTTTACGGGTGGAAACCCTCTCAGGCCGTCAAACATGTGTATCATAATCGAACCGATTAAAATTTACGAGGTGCCTCTCTGTCATAGGAGGGATCCGGGAACAGCTGTTATTAAGACATCCGGACCCACAATTCAATATCCTAGTGTGAAGAGTCTCAATCGTGAGTCGGCCGCCCTTGTTGCGCGGTGCGACAAAGACTCCGCACATAGGCCTCCTCTTTCGGTGACTTGGAACACATGGATGTCCTTGACCAAAAACGACGGGGAGAACACACACCGCCCCCAGACCAGACGGGATACCTGCCCGAGTGCTGACCCTAGTCCTCGACCACATGTCAGACCCCTTAGGTGTTCGACGCTAGCTTGGCATCCGGTCGTTTCCCGAGTGCTGGAAGAGCGGGAAGCTGGTCCTATTAACGAAGCCAAGACAGTCTACCAATTCGGTCGCTGTCTAAAGGCCCATCGTGTTGCTGGACAAGATGGCTTAATTGTTTGAGAGGGATCAGTCTGCCCGTATCTTCCGCGCTACCTCTAGGCCTTGATCTGTCAGATCCCTTTTCGGTTTTCGTCGAAAGCGCGGCGTTCGACGATTGGCGCTGTCTCTAAACACAGGCGTCTAGCGCCTGACGCCTTAGGGTCGTGACCGAATAGCAACCGTTGCATTAGACATCGGTAACGCATTCAATAGCCTGCCATTCAGTTACATCATTGGGCACTCCACTATCACGGGTGGCCAGAGCCGTCGGCCCATGTCGTGCAGTGTTCCACAGCGGTCTCTTCTTGGAAAATTCCCGGGCAAAATAGGGTACGACTGAGGCCTGGCACCTGGCATCACACTTTCGGCTTTAGGAGCTTGCTCTATTGTTATATCTCTATGGGAGTAAACAATACCAAAACATCTTACTCGGAGGTTTTCGAGGTCGCTAAAAACGAATCCGGTGACAAAAATTGAGATTTAACCTCTTTAAAAAGTCAAAAACTTTGGTATATAACACCAAATCATCTTCTTTACCAAATTTCTTAATTATTTAAAATTATGAAATTTGTTAAAAAAAAATTGAGTGAAATATTTTCTTTTATTTTTGAATTTCGCGCGGATTGAGTTTCAGCCCGATTTGAGAGTGGCGAGCTATCACTGCGCATGTAGATATGTTGAGAAATACGTACACATATTTATGTACAGCAAAGCAGTATTGCTAAAGTAGTAGTAAAAATATGTATGTTTATACTGCACTCATACTAGTACCACACACATATACTTTTTTAGGTTAGATTAATGTTAATTAACACTACAAAAACTTCGTCGATTCACTGTTTACGCAGTCATTTACTTGACAACGCGACTTTAAATGTGCAGTTTCGGGCAGCAAATTTTCTTAAGATTATTAAGATTATTTTACAAATAACGCCCAGCAAGTTTAGCGAGGTTACAGACGGGTGCATTATAACTTATTATTCAAAATATATGGAATTCTCACGTGTATTAGATGCTCAGTATATATTGTATATAATATAAATGCTTAATGAATTTATTTCAATAATTTTTTTTACTCTTTCACACCTTACACCTTCCAAAGATAATTGAAGGATTACGAATACTTAATTACTTGTTTTGTAACCCACTGAATACATATAAGTCTTTGTTTGACACAATAACTACAATTTTAAGTCCGTAGAAAAAAATCTAACATTTCTTGACTCATTCCTAACTATTCAAGAGGTTCGAGCCAACCTTCCAAAAAACCCCCAGTGTAGTAACTTTTGTTTACTTTTGAACAACTTTTTGGATTTGGTCCCACTGTGCGTAGGAACCACCTCAGCATCAGCTTACCTTCGATGGTAAGAATGATCAGATTTTCGATACTCGATAAGGACACCTATTTCTTAACAAGTATCGATAATCTGATCACCCCTACATTCAAAACTAAGCTGATTCTGAGGTATGATGTAGTACACCCTATTTACTGACTGGGCTGCGGTGGCGGACTCTAGACTAACAAACAAAAAGATCAGCATATATTTTATGAAGAGTGAGAAGTAAAGTATAAAATATCCTCAGTTAACTTCAGGCTAATTGTGTCCTTAAATAAAAGTCGAAAGCGATTCAAGTAGCGGCAGTAGCCTAGTGGTTAAGGGTTGGACTTGCGATCAAGAGGTCGAGGTTCGAATCCTGACAAGTACCCAACCGACGTGAACCCACTCCTAAAAATCAAATTAGCAATTTAGCTTTGCTGGAGGGGAGTGGGGGGGGGGGGTTACCGGGAGTACTAGTAATTTCGGTTGTTAGTAAGCCTTTTTTTGTTTTTACAGGAAAGGAGAATTTGAAGATTGGGCTGAGGAAATGGCAAGGAAAGGCTTATTTCAAGCAGTACCATCAGATACTTTGAAAGATAAACCACAATAAAGAATATTTCGTTTATTGCCTCTTGGAAACCTTATCTTTTCAGATGTTACGATTATATCGTTTGTGATAAAAATATTGTTTATATTTATACTCGTAATTACTTTCAATTTTATTATTACATCTAATGGCTCTCAAAATTGAATCTTTCTGTAAAATAACCCACTGTGGGTAGGGTTCTATATGAATCTGAAACTAATTTAACCCTTACTATAGCTCTGATGTGATTGAACAGCCCATAGAATAAAAGTTACAAACGTATAAGATTAAAAGCCGCCAGTAAAGACTACAAAATTCCTATGGACATAACCTTTGTATTTGGAGGCTAAATGTAAACTTAAGTATTATTTTATTTTGATTGTTTTATGGACGTGACTAGGTTATTTTTCGAAAAATCGAAAATGTCCGCCTAAAAGCACCAAGTTTAATGAACCATATTTCAGTAAATAGACAAAGTAGGAAAGTCGGCACAAAGGTCATCACTCTACCAGAACGGAGCATACATTATAGTAGAGATGTGTAGCTCCTGAGTGAATGATATAAAAGATATATATCATTCACGCCGATAAAATGTATCACCCACACACTAGTTCCGAATATATCGGTAACTCGGTACTAGCTCACTAGATCATTAGCTCAACAACGCCGATCATTGTCATGATATATGCAAAATTCGTATTTTATAACGTTCTTCGAAAATAAATAAGACGATATTATCATACGAAAAGTCTTCTAAATTGTTAATGTGATTTATTATTACATTATTAACTATCGGGAAAGTTAAGAAAAGATTGTGGTAATTAATACTTTTAAAACCTTGACACCATGTAATCTCTAAATTAAATGACAATTAAACATCATGACTATTCATGACCCACATTCGATTTGATTGTTTCTTATTTGGTACGGTGGTACGTGGTAAGGAACACCAATACCTTGCAGAAAACGAGATAAAGAGCGATTTGAACAATCGGCTGACAATTTAAGAACATACATCTCTTAAGTCTTCAGTCAGCCAGTCAGTCTGCCAGTAAACATGAAACAGACGGCAAAGAAAACAAACGCTACATAATTTATTTAAAATTTACTGATCTAATTTCAAAAAGATTAGTGAGGATCTTTCTGCAAAATTGGATCCAATAATACATGGCAAAAATTTTGACGAAGTTATCGAGGCCATAGACAAAATATGGCTTTTAAGAGCATCAGCGTTTGCTGTAGCCGATTTACTTATCTCACAGACTACGCAAACTTGAGTGGCTCTCATACTGTATTATTAATCATATTTTAGTGATTTTTTACCTTGTCTGATATATTAATGAAACCCAATTAAAAAACTAATCTCTCTACCTGCCCGCATATCATTAGTCATTACATTCTAGGGAGGTAGTTACTTGATAGTAAATAACTCTGAGAAATGCATTGAAACTATTATTATCTGCTAATAAAAAAAGTAGCTGTACCAAGATTATGAAATGTATCGCATCGCATTTGACAGTCAATGATCGAAGATTGATCAAATAATATCATAAGACTGTTATACATCGCTATCTAGACCCAACCAAGTAGAGCTTAATACCATGGGTTTAATAGCACGGATAAATTACGGTAATTAGGTATTAGATACTTTTCTTATAACTTGTATGTTAAATAAAAGCATCATTGTTTTAATAAAGTATAATCAAATTTGAGAAATTAAACCAACTTGAAATTATTTCGTATACCAATATAATCGAAAACAATATTATAGATGATTCAACTTGACATGCAATAGCAGATATTTTATTTTCATTTTAACCCTAGAATGTATTTTATGAATACATTTTCAACATAATTGTTTTACAAAATTACTATGTGATTATAGTTCATTTTTTACAGGAAGTGATTCGTGTCCTCACGTTGCATGGCGGCACCCAATCAAAATTTAAGAAAAAACATGTAGATTACACAAAGAACCAATCAAAATCGCCTTCAGCGGAGCATGAAAGTCTGTTGATGTGACTTTGTAACAGCGGACATATTTGGAAAATGGCAATAGTAATATAATTTAACTTCTTGTATTAACTTTTGCAACCTCTAGAAATATTGACCAATATTTTCTTAATTTTGTCAGGATATTGAATGATTTTCTGCTCATTCTATTGAAATTAAAAAAACGGATTAAAACGTACGCTTGTCAAAAGATACGTCACGTATGTTTGTCTACTGCGAGTCAGTGCGCATGTCAAGTTGAAAATTGCAAATGGCGGCCGTTGTTATTGTTCGTACCGAATTAACTATTTGTAAATTATATACCAATCTTTTTAGCGATTTTTCTAATGGACTGTTGTACTGATGCGATGCTTTAACTTCTCATAATTCGGCGCGACACGTTTTATGTACGTTTTTAAGTGTTTCGAGTGTTTTTTTGCTATTTTATGTGTGTCATGCAAATGGGGTAAGCTGGAATTATCGGATGTCGCTTAGGTTGTTTTGGATAGTTTCAATAAGAAAATGGAGTGAAGTTCTGTGACCTAAAGTGTTAAAATGGAAACTCTATAAAGTTTGTCATCTATCGCTATTGCATTAAAGTGTAGCGAGAAACAGGAGCGGCTACAATTTACGAATGTTCCATGCTGTGACTGTTCTCCCAGTACATTTCAAAATGGCTGCTGCTCTTCACGATATATGAGCTTTGCGTCACTGGAACCTAATTCAGTGGATTCGATTCGTGTTAAAATTATAGTGATTCTAGTCGTGTAATAATCTGTGAAAAAGCGAAAATAAGTCTCCAATGTTTTCCCGGTTGCGCTAAAACCGGGAGAGTAGTGGTGTGTCATATGTTTTTGGTGTAGAGTGGACACTGACCATAGGACCGATATTGCTTTGCGTCCGAGCCGGACGGTAATGTTGCGTATAATTTTCCATGATGGTTTGGGACACCAGGGAATAGAAATTGTGTGGAATTGAGCGGAATGTGACATTGTATGAGAGGTGAGTGTAATTTTTTAGTTTATTTACATTTGGCGGGGTGTCGGGACGTGCTATGTTCATTACAAAATGGACACATTGGTTGGGTGACAGGACGTCGTCGGCCGGCTAGGACGTGCCTAACACGGCGCCAACTAAAAAGTTCTTTTCACAGGCGAAATACGCGGTTTTAGTTTTATAGTTAGAATCGACGAAGTTGTGTAACATGCCGCGGTGTTGTCGATTAGCGCACTATATTATTACCTTTTCGACGACAGAAATGGTTTCCGCAGGATATTTCGAGGCGTATATGGTTAACATAACAAAATATAAACCAAGTACTGAATATTTTGTTGTATATTGTACAACATTGTTTGCAAATATTACAAACTGTCAAATTATTTTATAAGGTTACCAGAGCAGTGCTCTCTAACTTGTATCTTTTGTACCTACATTTAATTTGTTCTAAAACTTTTTAAAGGTCCAGGATTTAACAGTAATAATTACCTACAATACCAAAATACGAAATAGCCCATAGACAAACAACATAACCTATTTGGTGTGCCTGATTGGTATCAATTGATAGTTTTTCTGTATTTTTTTAAATTACTATGAAAAATAAGTACTTACAGGTTAAAATATGTTTCATAAATAACATAAATAAAAACCCCACCAATGTTTACTTTAACAACATTTCATTTCATGCCTCTGTAAAAACATCTTTAAATTTTAATATGATGATCTAATTAGAGTAAAATATTAGAATCCTGTGTAGTTTAGAAAGCATTTGTTTTTGTAATACAATTTAAGCATAGGACTAGGCGGATTTAAATGCATATTTAGTGATATAAAACAGTTTAAGCTTTGTCAAAGTAATGTGCCTTAATTGTAACAAGTTTTTCTCAGTGTGTGATGATATTTTGATAATAAACAATAGTATTTTAAAAATTATTTATAAAAGTACAGAAAACCTTATATAGATGTTTATTTGGATACAGAAAATTTGTGTAGTATTTGACAGTACTTGCTGTGTTGTTATTTACCAACATTAAAATATTTATTTACTAAATTCACAATTGTCTTGCAAAATGTAAATATTTGCTCATATTTTTTGTTACTATATAAATAATCAGCTATAGGGCTTTTCAATACCAAACTAAACCTATGCCTGGTTTACTCAGTTATTATACAGCTCTGATGGACCAGCAAAGGAGATCTTTTGCTTTTAAATTTTATAATCAAATTAATATACAAATAATACTTAATAGCTTTGGAATTAATTTGTTAATTCTCAGTTATTAGGACCCTTTGTTTTTAAATAAACAGATATAATCCTATATTGTATGTATAAATATAATCCTATATAAGGTTCAGTAACATTTCAATTTGACTGGCCAGTCCGGGCCACCAACCACTTGACAACACAGAACCAGGAGCTTAATTATCACAAAAGAAATAATTATGTTATGTAATTTATCTATGACATGTATATATATATAGAAATATATAAGTATACTACTATAAGCAGTCTGGCTACCATAAAATGTGTCCTTCTTAATTATTATTATCTGCTGTTTATTTACAGATTTTTTACTTAATAATTGATAAGCTTTCATTATCAATGCAAAAAGATGGAAAGCTTAATTTTCTCCTACCTTGTTCACAGCTGTATTGTTGTCAATAATTTAATAAATAACAGTTGAATTTTGACCTCTGTATGACCTCCACTTGTAATTAAAATATCTTTCCTAATTTATTTATAAAAGTTTTTTAATAAATGTACCATCCTCATAAACAGCCTTACTTTGTCTACTGCTGGACATAGATTTCTCATCAGAAAGGAGGTTTAAAATTTAGGTTTTCTTTATTTTTTAAATGGTATTTAATGGAATTTTTTATGCAAATTTTACATATTCTGTATAAATTATACAGGTGTATTTGTATGATTGTTTATCCAAATTTACCTATTTACCATATTGACTATGTTTGTGGCTATTGTCTCAAACCTATCTACATACTCATAAGTTTTTAATGTAGTGTTAACAATATGTTTCAAATGTAGTCTGTCTAGTCCTAAGAGAATATCGTTATTTTATATCATCCGATTCTAATGTTAGTAATAATATATAACTTAACTTCCCCCCTGTGACCCCATATCAGGAATAAGAGTGGGGACAGCAGTAAGGTTAAATTCACTCTTAACATGTTTTTGTATTATCTTTAAATCTATTTTAATAAATATATTTAATTGAAGCATTCTTACAATGGTATGATGGCCCAGTTATTGAATATGTGTATGTGTCAAACTTATTATTAAAATGTGTTTATTAAAATTTTAATGATGAAAATCTTTATTATGTGGTAAGTATGTGTACATCTTTGTCATAGAACCCCCATTAAAAACTGTAAATAACTTTAGTAATACATTTTAATAAATATAAATACTTTAGTAAGTTTTGTATATGAAAAAACTAATTTTTTGATTAGACAATTATAAACCAGAACAAAATCCTAGTAACCATGTTAGTTACTAATCTTTTTCAACCAGGATAATGTTAATTTTAAAATTAAAAGTTAGACACTATTTAGTATTTCTCATTAAATATATTAAAAACTATATTTTAATTCTTTAAAAAATATGAAATAAAAGCTGAAAAAATTGATCTTACTTCCACCTATTTATGTATCTTCAAAAGAAATAGTAGACTTGGTTTTATTTATTTTATGTTTGTTACCTAGGAGCTCTTTCGTATATGAAACTATTTGGAATAATTAGTTGAATCCATGAACTGACAATGCATATTATTTCATTGTAATGATATGGTATTTTTCTGGACAGATTAGAAATACAGATCAGGATTGATAGTTTAACGTAAATACTTTAATTTTGCCCAATTTGTGCATTTTATCCTTGCTGCATGACAAGATCATAACAAAAACTCAATACCATGTAGCTAGCTCACTATATAATGTGTAGAACATTTTTAAAATATCCATTGAAACAGGTTTCAAATTAAAGTAATTAAAGAACTATTTCTTACTATTATCAGTTTATATGGAAGAGTCACACCTTCTTTAGCTAAGGAAAATTGGTGTCATAATTTCTAGCGGTGACATGGCATCTGTGCGGAATTCTGACTTACATTAAAAAAAATTATGAAATTGTACTCATTAAAAAAAAAATGCTCTACAAAAACATACAAAAAATAACGATAATTTATTTCACTATGTAGCAATCGGGTTTTCGACTTAAGAATTAGAAAAAATGTACGAGAAGTGTAAAAGCATTTTATGTATATATGTACTTGTAAGTAATTTTATATTGAAGTATAAAAACATTTTGATTGGATATGATTTATTAAGGGGTTTGGTCAATTATATACATTAAAACGTGAAATTATTTAAATAACTTCTAATAATGTCTTAATTTAATTATAAATTTTTCCTTTTTTTTATAAGTAACTTTTTTTTACTACTGCCAAACTACAGAGAATTTTGTTGGCAGTTGTAGCTCCCATAGCATCATAACAATTTAGCTTCCCTTGTTAGTTACACTTTCTAATATTTATAATAATTACAATTAAAGATTTATATTTTTAAATGACAATTATAATAAATACCTGCAGAATGCAAGTCACCGCTAGAAACTATGGCACGAAAATTGGCCAGATGCTGATTGATACAAAAATTTCTGAAATTGGCTTGAATTAAACTTGGTAAAGTGAAAATATCTGACATTTGATTTAAATAATATAGTATTTTAGGACAATTACCAACAATGAATAATATTATAAAACAATAAGAAGAAATAATAATATAAAGAATAATGAATATCCAATACTCTGGTATTGCCACGGGAATGCCACAGGGATCTATTTGCAACCCATTGTTTAGAGATACTAGCTGTACTAAATATAACTAGTGTAATGCATAATGCATAAATAATAAATATGTTTTTTAGATGAACTTTTCAACTAAAGTCTTGAATTGCTCTTAATCCATTCCAAGTCTTGCACCTTAACTTAAATAACAATAAATATACACTTTAATAAAGTCTGAAAATACAAAATTAAAAATAAATTGAAGTAAATGTAAAAAAGATTTTCATAATCTATATCCTTAAAAAAGAAAAACTATCTTCAATGCACCCACATTGTCATGAATTGTAATTAACTTCTACATTCCTTAATTTACACCCCCCGGAATGGTATGTTTTTTCTTTTAAATTTGAATGGGTGCAAACAAAGGTATACTTTGCTACCTATCAAAAAAATATTGCCAAATAAATTCATTAATCGATTCGGTAATAAATTCATTGTTGACTGGCAGAGAATGCCTTAGGTATCAAGTCCTCCGATATATTCATGCAAGAACTTATAAATAAATATAAATAAATTGTAACCAACTCCTTTTGTTGGTTAAAAATCAATCTTAAGATATGTTTTGTACACATACTGTATTAAATAATTATCTTATGGTATGAGTAATCTTTATAACTGATCACTTGAGGTTAGTATTATAAAATATACTTATAAACATTGAATGATTGATGAGAATTTAGATGATGAGATATATCATGAAGAAAATAATTGGTAGGTACAGCAAACTACAACACATAGGGAAGGATAGTTCAAATTGGTATAAATATTTACATTAGCTCATTAAAAATATCCAATTTCATAAATAATTTTCCCTTTCTACAACAAAGTAACTCAATGTGTGTCAATTAATATTGTTTTAATGATGAAAGATAATAATTTTAATATATAAAAATGACTACTCTAGAATAAAAATGATTTAACTCAAAATTCCTGGAACTTCTTATTTTGCTATAAACCGGCCTTAAAAGCTTACTTAAAAACCCTTTGGAGAATAAGAGGCCAAAATTATGAGTAAGAAAAGGATCATCGGATATCGGTCATATAATATTGATCCCATTTTGCAATCTTCGTTGTATAGACTTTCTCCCAAGCTAAACTTTCAATTTGAAGGTGTGATAATATACTTAAAGGCTTTTATTAGCATCATAACAAAAAAAATATGTAAATAAATGTGTATACAAAGTGATAATGACATAATAAAATAAAGGTATTTACTTTACCAAAGTAATTGTGACAAGTACATAAAAGAAAATATATTCTTCTCGCCTTTACAAGGTAAATACAATTAACTATTAGATTTCTGAGAGGTTTTCTAAAATTAAAATTTTGTACTATGTTATAAACTGACTGTACAATGTCACACTTCACTCTGGCCACATGTGGTCAATGTGGATACTACTAATGTTGTGTCAACTAGTGTAGAGTAATTAATTATACTATTAATATGGTAAGACTATACTCCAACTTACGGCCTAACGCGGCTACGGCCGCTTTGACCCTTCATTTTAAATCTCTGATATTTACTAATATTACTACTGTATATTAAATGCACAACGCATCTAACGTATTTATTTGGATAAGGAATAATACTGTATTGGGCGGACTTTTTTGTAGATATTTTTAAGATACACAATTCCTTATTATATTATTTTGATCTATCTCGTAAGGTTTACCCAGCGCTTGCAATGTAAGCGCACAAAAACATCTTTTTTACGACGAATTCTCGTAATATCCACATCTTATACATATAAACCCACTTTTCACCCTCTCTATTGCTAAATACCGCATTTAAATCCGTTGCGTAGTTTGAAAGATCTAACTGCACAAGAAAAATAAGTATTATATGTACACACTTAAGTCAAAACAAAATATGATTTAATTTTTTTTTAATGATCAGCAGATCATAATTTTACAGGAATATTCGTGTAGTTCAATTATCACTCTTATCTATACATACAAATAAATAAAATTGAAGTGTCTGTTTGTAATGTCAAAGTAATAGGTTTTTTTCATGCTTATATGGTTATTTGCACGATACCTATGCCTAAAAAGTTAAAATATTTCTTGTCTGTCTGTCTGTTTGTTCCGGGTAATCTTCAAAACGGCTGGACTGATTTTGATAGTAATTTTACTACCAAGTAGCTGTCTATATAAGGAGTAACCTAGGCTATTTTTTCACTCAGAAAATCCCTATAAAATTTGCCTGGTCTGGGAATCGTACTCACAAAGGTAGCGCTTTTCAACGCGAACGAAGTCGCGGGCACCAGCTAGTTTACCATAAAAATGAAAAATGAACCAACCATCATGTTGTTTAACTTAGAAATGTGTTCACAATTTAGAATCTCATATAACTTAGAAATTTGCAATATAGGAACTTGTTGTGTCCTTATTAACACCTATTACTATTACAGTAAGATTATGTTCAACAATTACCATGTAAGCTTATCACACATTGAAGTTTTTTGCATCATGAGAACTACATATATATCAATATAGGTCAATGTAGAAATATTTATATTTGACTTTAAGTTTATTTCAATAAAATGCTGCAAAGTGTCTTGATTTCTCATTATATATCGTTTGTTTTTCTTCTGTTGTGCTTATTTCATTTTTCTAATATTCTTGTTTTTTTTGGTGCAGCATGGCAGCCGACAGCGATGGGCTAGGCTCGGCGAGTGGAGCTGGCGGGGCTGGCGGGACAGGGTCGTGCGGCGTGGTCGTGACGTGCGAGGGCGACCTGCGCGACCCGCGCTTCCCCGCGCGCCTGCGCCGCCTGCTACGCGAACTGCGTAAGCTGCTCGCCGAGCCGCATCCGCATACGCTCAAAGTTAACAAGGTAAACTTAACACCACGATTCCTGTTAAGCAAAAAATAAAATTCATTTCATTCAAGCTTTTAGATTTTTACATATTACTAGACATCTAGACAGGATGAGCACTCTTTACTATTTCGAGAATCGTGTGTATTATTATTTTCAAAGGAAAGATTAACCTATGTTTTAAGTACTTATATACATGCTGAAATAGACAGCTAAAATAGACGGATAAAAATACCTAATGCATCACCGTGGCGTGGAATAGTAGGCCAAAACCTCCTTTCTAAGGAGATGCCTATGTCCAGCAGTGGACTAATACTTTTGTTCATTAATAACTTCCGTTAAAATACCTACATCTGTTATTTTAATACCTCTCTTATTGTACAGCAGATAAGGGTTGCAATTGTATTCACGAACTCAACAGAGGGCCTAGTGCAAGTTCAGCGTTGCGATTGGTGCAGATTTCAATGCTGACCAATTGCAGGGCCGAACACGCCCACCGTTACGTTCGAGTAGATGTGAAATAAACTCACACTTGGGCCTCTCTCTCTCTCTCAAAGAGAAGGAAAACTTGAAACAAACCCTATACCAACCCGTCTGGCCAGCGTGGTATAGTAGGCCAAAACCTCCTTTCTAATGAGAGGCCTTTGTCCAGCAGTGGACTAGTATAGGCTGTTGATGATGATGGGCCTCTGATTTCATTTCTGGTCGTCGTCGTCTGGCTTACGCATAGGCAGTTACTATGTAAAGTGTAGGTCCTTAACGTAAACATTGTTACTCTGTTTGAAATATGAGCGTATAGCAAATACAGATACAATGTTGCATTGTCGGAACAACAATTCCTACTAGACATGGATATTGGTTCCTTGGTTGAGTGGACGTTGCTTTGAGTACTGACTAGAGATTTGGGTTCTTCTATTGGCTTACTCATGTTCACACAAGATGTTGGATGCATCCATTGTAAAACTTTTGACTTGAATATAGTGCTAGGAACTTTAACAAATTGTACAGTGTGCTTACAATCTCTCGATCTCCCATGTTTTATTGTAGAAGCCGATGAATACAGAACCGTCCCCGGTTTTATCCAACGTAACCCTGATAATGGCTACCAAGGTCCGCAGGAGTTTTGAAAAAAATTCTACTGATTTTCCGTTGTTTGAATACCCTTGACGGGCACATTGTGTGGCTTTGCCTTGTGCTTCCTACAAGACTGAGACATATTTATTACACTAACTCGTATCTTGCTATTAAAAATGAACAAATACTGAAAATTTACTTTTTGAACAAGACGCATTTCTAGATAACTGCAAGATAAATTTAAAATAGCCAAAGATTGAGATGGATGTATGATTCCATTAGGATACTCTCTTTGATAACAAGGTCAGTTATGTTTTTTGTAAAAAGTTTATGAAATTATCTTTCGCCTTATGCTCGTTTCTGTAGTACTGTAATACTGACTGCTGTAGTCAGTTTATCTATCAGATGCCATTAAACATAATAATGGTGAATCCTGAAGCGACATTTTTTTGTTAGGTCTCTCGTATCCTTAAATTTACCAATACCATTATTATTGCAATATATAAGTCCCGTTAGCATGAAACTGTATATCCGTCTCTTCCGATAAGGTACTGAAGTTTCCTCTCACTGTGAAATTCAATTTATTTAATGTTCAAACTAATTAACTTTTGGTACGAGATTGCTTTTGATTTTTTAGAACACTTTAAACAAGTAAAATTTAAATTATAATAATGTTTAATAAGAACTGAATGTAATAAATTGAGAAATTTTAAATGTTGATTAACAATAAAATATAATTTTAGGCAACTTAATTAAAATAAATGGTTCGTTACTGTGCAAACATCGAAATTTGTTCACAGTGTTAGATGAGACAGTTTTTTACATTTGCCCTATATTTTTGTATGGTACGCGGTGGCAAACGAGCAGACGGGTCCCCTGATGGGAAGTGATTAATGTCGCCCATGGACACCTGTCAATGGACACAAGTGCGTTGGCGGCCTTTGAGTTAGTGTTAGGGGAGAGGAGGGTTGGTTCTCAATCACTCGATTCACAGTAACGAAAGATTATATCGGTTTTGTGTGAGGTCGTGTTAGCACTCCGATCTGGCCGACCCACACGTGCCAAAGGTTAATGTTTGTTACTGTTAAATCATATTCTGTCGTTTTGATATAAAACCGAGGTTTTAAACATTTAGTATTTGTTATACCTTAATACAAAGTAACCCATGTAATACAAAGTATTTTATTGAGTCTACTATGGTCATAACATAAAACATCTTGTAAGCAAATTTACAATTTATTCTAGCCAGCTGGACAACTACTGCCAACATTATGTATAACAAATACTGAAATTTACAAAAAAAAAAACACAATACACAATAATATTAAAAGTTTGTTCTAAGCTTTTGACTAAAGTCATCATTCTATATTTATATTTAAGTTAGAGAAGTAAGGCATAAGAGGTGATTTCAGTCTTATATACATAGTAAAAGGTTAAGTATAATACCTAAACTATGATAATAAAACCAAGTGTATCAATCTCTGATTCCTACTAAAGATATATTATAACTTTAGAGTACCACAAGGTAGTATTTAAGGTCCATTAGTTTTTCTCATCCATAAAATTAAATAAATAAAGAGTTCAGGCAGATTGACAGATTTCTTTTTAGATCGAATGAAAAAGAAAGGGTTTCTCAATGCTGCTGTTTATTTAAGTTTGTTACCTCAGAACTCCGCCATTAAAAATTGGTTTGGAAAACTATTTTTTGAATGGGTGAGCTTCCCGTTTTGGTCCCATTCTAATCTGAAGAAAAAATCCGTCACTAAGGGTTAAAATTAAGAAATGTAGATTACAGCTTATAATAATATAAGGCTCATTGAAGTCGGTCATATTATTTTAAAGATAATTGTTTAAATAAACTAAGCTTTATTTTGGCCTATTTAAAAATTATTATAATAATTATTATCGTGGTTGCATGCCAAGGATCGTAATTATATTAGATCTTTTACTTTATTGCAAATAAAATTGTAAAAAACAACATAGGTACATCCGCCTCGATTCAAATTATTCAGCGAAATGTAATCATTTGTGTTCAATATATTTGAACACAAACGTATTTTTCAGACCTACACATACTTAAGGTGGTTCTACACGGTGCAAGTAGCTGGAGTGGGCAAAAACGCGGGTTATTTGCGTCAGTAGAATGCACAAGTTACTTGCAAGTTTCGTTTGGTATAATGTGCATGCTGCTCGCGCGGGCTACATTTATGCGTCTTGCTCGTTTCAGATTTGACACAGTTCAGTATTGTACCTGCGCAAGTAACCCGCGTTAGTTGCGAAGCAAATAACCTGCGCAAGTGCCTCAATATGCGCAAGCTACTTGTATCGTGTAGAAGCACTATTAGAAAATATAGGTGTCTGTTTATTTATACGTGTTATTATGAGAGATAGGCTGTCATTAACAATAACTTTGACGTAGCTCTTAAAAAATATATTATTAAATGTCTTCTGAAAAGTAGAATATTCTTTATCCTCATAATAAAAGCGCAAACCTCGATTAGTTAAAAAAACGTAGTGGATTATTCAAACAAAACACACAACGCCATGCAAACATAAGGTTCTGTGGTTATTTACCATCCTCGGCGTCAGATGAAATTGCGCGTTGCACATTCAGTCGAATAAACAAATGTCGGCCAAATAAGGTTATGGTGACCTCAAAACCCTTCAAATGCACAAAATAAATAATAATAGCACTAAATACTAAGGGATTCTCCACACAAACAAATAGCGACTCATGCAGTAAAGCAATGCAGCAACTTAAAATTATAACCCAACCAATATTTACTTATAGTTTGCATATGATGAACAGATTGACTTTGTCCATTGTATATGGCTTGTTGCTGGTAGATAAACAAGTAGCACTATGTCAGACTTGACGAACGAAGACGAGCCATTTAAATTGGGAGTCTTTTTAGAAGGACCCCTTTGTTCAGCGCCCAGGCACCACCGAGGCGAATGTTTTAGGAATATTTTTTTTGGCATAAATGGCATCTGGGCCTAAAATACTATATGAACTTGTTTTTTTTACCTGTTCATACAAAAATCCCATAACTCCTACACCATCACATTTTTATACACTAAGCGACTTGTGAGGGCCAGGGCTACAAAGTCGAGATACAAAATGTTCGGCGCGTTGTATGTTCACTGATACATTGGCCTTTGAAGTTGACTAATCAAGGTGTATAAACAGATATACACTGCCCTGTGGGAGTTGCCCTAGGGTGCATAATATATACACACGTGGCGCTGAACGTGTTAAGCGGTAACCACTAGGTGTATAGAAGAAATAAGGAAGCAATAAATACTGACAAGACAACCATTGTACACATTCGGCAAAAATGAAAATAACTAGACATATTAAATGCAATTATTTCATAATTCATGTATATATCCGTATACGTTCGTAATTAAATCCTTTATACTGCAATAAAGTATTTTAAAAAATAAAACCAAAGAATCGTCGACTACATTTAAAAAAAAAGCAGCAACAGGATAGTTTGGTATGCAATTGTTAATCATCGATTATTATTCGAGCTGGAATGCACTTTATTATGTAGTATAGAGGGTTTTTATTAATTTAAATCACCTTCCCGAGTTAAGCTTAAGTAATAAGTTAATAGGTAAGGTTAAGTTAATAGGTATTTTATGTCTTGAATTTTACGCGTTTGCTTTCGCCTATTTCCGTAGCATTCTGTAAAATATCAATTGGTATCCACAGGACAGGCATGTATAACGAATAATGAATTAGACAAATTAAATTGTATACTTAATAACATTTAAAATTCGAGTAAATTATTTTGTATATTTGTGAGAGGTCTGAACCAGCAGAATTCTGCACGAATTAGTTGAAGAAGCATCTCCACCATGTAGAATCTAAGTAAAAAGTTAATAGCGTAGCGACCAAAGGTATATGCCGACCGTACATTAGTTTACGATTTTCATGTATATAATTTCATTAATATTTAAGTAATGATATTAAAAAAAACGACTAAGTTTCTCCTTTCTAAGGAGAGGCCATTGTCCGGCAGTGGACTGTTACAGGCTGATGATGATAATGGTGGCCTTAATACGCCTACATCATGTTGAATTGTAATAAAACGTGTTCTTTATTCCATAACTTTCCACCCTTAAGGGTTCTTCAAATTTAACTTTGACTAAACGGAAAATCTCTCAAAATAAAAAAGGATTTTAATTTTCCAAAAACATTTTTCGGTTTATAAATAACCGAGTTCTGATTAAGAAAACATTAAAAATAAGGAGCCTTTTTTTGAAGTCAGTAAAAAATAAGAGTTGACTAGATTTTTTATTCAGACAATCACAATAAGTATAAGAAAAGACAAAAAATATTGTCTCATGTGTGATTGGATGGCCCTTATGTCGTTGCGAGTGAATTGAGTACGTAGCGCATGCATAAACAAATAGTAACCACCTGTTATCAAGGGGTATGACATGACACCTGTTAAGATGAACTTTGTGTTGGAGAAATTTATTTCTTTTTAACCGACTTCAAAAAGGAGGAGGTCCTCAATTCGATTGGTATTTTTTTCATTTAAATATTTATTATATACATAAAAATTTTGAGTTGGTTTGTGTACGCTTCAAACACTCAAAAAGTTTTGCACTGATTGAGCTCAAACTTTGACACGATATACAACCCTATTACTTTTAGCTTCCTAGTCCTCATTTATCGTCAATGCAGCCACAATGTGCCATAGCGAAGCGTGGCAAGGTACAGCTATTTTATTAAACAATTAGCGTTACATGCACATCGTAAATTTTTTTGTGATGTAAGAGGCTGGAATTAATGACTACTATGAATTTATGCCAAAACTACCAGAAGGCCAATTCTCGTAATAAAAGTTCGGTCTCAATTCAGTTATTTTACTAACTGACAAAACAGATTGTTGCTATTGTGTGTGTGTGTGTGTGTGTGTGTTGATCTACGACTTTAGAGTCTACATTAAAGACGATTTCAAACAATTTTTAAAAAATTGTATGAAATAAAGATAATTGGAATTTGATCGTAACTGAATTGAGACCAAACTTTTACGATACGAGAATTGGCCTTCTGGTGATAATTATTTTTGAAATAAAAAAAACGTCGAAATAACATTTAGAAGACGACTTAATATTTATGTATGTTTTTAAAAAGTTAATAATAAACATTGTGAAAACTTTTTTGGCAACTTTTCACATTTTATGGCAGTAGGCATTGTTTCATGTTTACAGAAGATTACTGCTTGGGTTGGTATCTAAACACTTTTGGTGCGATATTTTTTCTTTATGTAGTAAATAATAAATACCTGTCAAACTAATATTTAAGGGGTTTAATATAATAATAGTATAATATTAGAGCTTATACTTTTTTACTTTTTTTTTCTTGTAACTACATACATATTATACATAGAAACACCGAGACCAAATCAAACATTAAATATGTGACTTGAGCGGGTATAGAACCCGCGACCTTTGGCATAGCAGGCTGTTACACCAAACACTACGCCATCAGGCCGTCGTCGTTTACGCCAATTAGACAAATGTAAGCAAAATTTAGAACTATGAAGGAGTGCGTTCATAAATTATGTTTATTAATACCAACACTTTCTTTGAACGAACAGGACATAGCTTATATTGAAAGATTTACGGATAACATTAGTTTCGTACGACCATCCGATTTTTATATGTCAAGTTACTCTAATTGCTTACTACTACTTAACATTATAACCTTTCTAGCTTTTGCCCGCGGCTCCGCCCGCGTAAATGTCGGTTATTGCAGTAAAAGAGCCTGTCTTTCCTCAAGAATTAAAGTATCTCCCCATAACAACTTCCCCCCCCCCCTTTTTACCCCCCTAAAGGATGATTTCTAAGATAAAAACTACCCTATGTCCTTTCCCAGGACTCGGACTAAAGATCTCATCGTTGCTATCTTATATTGTCAACTTGCTACCACTGCGGTTTGTTCACAATAGCAAACTATACTAAGAAAGTATTAGCCCGTTTAGAACGTGTTCTAAATCTGTTATCCAAGCGAAGCCTATGAGCTTCTCAGATCGTAAAAGCTAAGTTTGCGATTGCCATTTTGGGCGGGCTTAGCCAATCAACCACAAAAATGTTTACGATCCAATTTTACGTGCTCGTTTCTATGGTTTCCAACAACGGTTTCTGTTCGGCCAAAAAGGTTTATTTTGTTTCAAGGTGCTGCTTAGGTATATCAATTATTGATTTCGCCTCTACTACATTCCTGAAAGGCATTTTCCATCTTTTTAAATTAGCCAGAGAATTTTTGTTCGTCTTTTACCGCGAAGGGACCACGCTACTTTATTATATAGTTATACCCTAATCCCCTCTCAAATAAACACATCGAGAATCCATCATCATAGGATTTAAACAGCTGCATGGGTACTTCACTACGTTATGCAATAAGTTTGTCCTCAATTTCCCTGTTAAACTAAGAAAAAAGTATGACTGCTATTTATATGACCTATAACATTCTTGTTTCTAATACTCACAGGTGGAGCCGTGGAATTCGGTGCGTGTGACGTTGTCGGTGCCGCGAGCGGCAGCAGCGCGACTGCGAGCGTTGGCAGCGGCCGGCGCCCCGCAGCTACGTGCCTTGGGGATCCTCTCCGTACAGCTGGACGGGGACGCTGCTGTCAGTCTGCGACTGCAGCATGGCGCTGAGCTTAGGATTAATACCGACCCCGATGGTGAGTTGAACTACCATGCTGTAAACATTTTTTTATGCTCAACGATGTGCTTGTTACAGACGATTTTTCCCTTATACCATACGTTCTCATACCTAACGGATGAAATTTTCCGATCATGGAAGAAAAATTTTCAATCGATTTTTTCATTGTAGATGCGAGTTCGTCAAGATCGCAACCGAATGCAGAGCTCCTGGCTGGTCTGAGCGGGATTGGGCGCATTCTGAGCGAGGAGGATGGCGCATCCACCAGTACGGCGGAAGCGCCGCCCGCACCCGCGCCAAGTAATAATTTCAAGTCGCCCAATACCGTCTGTCCTATGGATGGGAAGATCCCTCAGAACATTCCCACGCATAACTCGCAGGAACGCTGCGAGTTCCCCTTCGGGAGCATGACGCAGGCCAGGGTCATACATAGGAAGGAGAATACGTTAGGTTTGTATAATCAGTTCTCATTTTGGAAACTTGTTTAGGTAGATAAGTGAATAAAAGCTTTTAGAAATAAACTTAAAAGTGTTGCTTTAATTGTTTTCTATCTTTTTGCACAGGATGTGGTTACAGGGTGATCATGGTAGTGATAAGTAGTGGTGTTTACATAAATTTATAAAGTGTAAAAGATAGTGAAAGGTGTTCACAATATTTCGTCTTGTTTCAGGTTTAGGTGGACAAACGGCTAGCATACGACCGGCGACAGACGGTCCCTTCGCGCGGCCGTCGACGTCATCGTTCCCGGGCCCCCCTCCGCCCTACCCCGCGGCGCCGCCCGCCTCTCCGGCGCCCGCGCCTTCTCCACAACCCGCGCCGGCCCCACCCCCTCCCACGCCGCCGGCCGGCCCGGCGCAACATCCCCCCACCGTGGCAATGTCGTCACCCCTACTCGTCAACCTTCTGCAGAATGATGCTCCAGCACCTCAGCCCAGGCCGAAGCCGCCACCGCATCCGGCTAAGCTAGATCGGTTAGAGGATGGCCAGGTGAGTACAGAGAGGTTTGAATGTTTTGATAGATAACACGTAAAACTAATGCCGGATTTCTGACCACACTTCTCGCTGGATGTTTTGATTGTTATGTTTCATCAAGTACGTAAACATGAATGATGGTGACCCACCGACATACAAAAACATAAATATTAAAGATATGTGATTCGATATCGTTTTAAAATACTACATTTAGATATAAAACATATTTAATTCAAAATCAGTTCAAGATCCAACAATAAATAACGGATATGGAAAATAATACTTTCTTTTTCCCTCCCCTAGCACATTACTAATATTGATATGATCAGGTGGGTAATGTGCTTTGTATACATACCGCGTACGTTGTACAACAGGGAATTACTTACATTAAATGTTAAATAAGAATTTATAAAAATTATAGGTGGAACTAGCAGTTGGTCGACCACCCTTCGCGGAATATAGAACTCCGCGCACTCCGGCTCCCGTAAACGTGCGGGAGCCTGCACCGAACGTGCCTACGCCCCCGCCCCCTGCGGCCTCGCCGCACAGGCCCCCGGTGCGGCCGCCGGCCTTCGTCCGCCGCGCCGCGCCGCCCCTCCGCGCGCCCCCCTCCCCCGCGCCCTACCGGGTCCACATGGGCTCGCCGGGCCCGCAACGGTCGGTGGTTATGCAAGCAGGTGGGTCGATACTCTAGCACCATATTTGGCCATTCCCGTGACCATCCAACTTTACGATAAGAGTCAAAATCCATCTACTACTGTTTATTATTTTTAGTTGTACCTGACTGCAGAGGAATGGTAATGTTATTCGCTAACTAAACGATACTATCGACGTTATAGGTGGCTACTCGACGGTAGCGGCGTTCCCTCCCCCTCCGCTGCCGCCGCCTCCACCTCCGTATCGCTCGCAGGTGGCGCGGGCGTTACGACCGCCCGCCTCACCCGCTCCTCCTGCACCTCCGCCCCAGCACTCCCGCGTGACACCGGAGGACCTGCAGGCGCTATTACCACCGACTACCGCGTCCATGGATCAAAAGACACAGTCGAGTTTCCAGGTAAATTACTTATCTTTTCTATTATACTTTCGTTACGTTAGATTGTGGTATTTCCTATCACTCATGCTTCACCTATCCGATCACCACCCCATTAATCTTTAGTTAGTCGTCTCGATACTGCCTAAAATGTATTTTATGAGTTTTTTACTACCTTTTTGCGCAAACTGATGGGACCCGACGCACCTTCGTCTTACAGAAAATCAAAAAGGTACTCTCGTCTTTCAATTTCCTTACCGATTCTCTATAATGTTAGTGGGGTAACCATCAGTGTTGTTAACATAGTCATGCATCAACTATTGTGTTGCTATTCTATGGTGTTATAACAGCCATAGGGTTTGATCCTCAGCAAGAAAGTATATGAAGTGCACATTAAAACAATTTACCTTAAAATTCCAGGAGTTCCAGCGGTATCAACAGCAATACATCGCCCGGCAGCGAGCAGCTTCCCGGGCGTCCACGCAGCCAGACTGGAACGAGCCGTACCGGGACTCGCTCTCGCTACTCGACTTGCCTGACAGTGACCTGGAACATCTTATGCCTACGTTAGGAGACGATCTTAACTTGGATGACACTGCTTTTTCGGCGATATCAGGTATGTTGATATTTTTTTTTACTTTTTTATATTTAGCTGTTAGAATTGTCCGAAAACCGTTTTCAGTGAATGATTAAATTTGATGGTTTTTTTCTGCATTGATAACCTTTTTCGCTTATCTTTGACGATGCTCTTTATTTCATGCTGACTTTAAGCCCTCTCGACTCATGTCGTAGAGTTCAAGATAAAGGATCCGCTGCAAATCATTTCTTGTATACTAATAAACTATTATTTGTTATGCCGACTTCCAGTGTTATAATAAAATGTAACTGATATGAATTATATTTCAGAACTGGATGCAAGCGCGAAACTCGATCTTTTACTATCGGGTAACAACTCCACGCAATCGACACCGGATTCCTTACTACAAGAAATCACGGGGAACCAGTTCGTCGGAAACAGCAATTCCTTTCCTGAACCTCAACCGCCTCGCAACGATGTGCCTTCAAATCCTCCAAAGGCGGAGCCGTATGAAAGTACACAGCAAACTTTCATGCCTCCCCCTCCTGTTCCTCACCAGTCCACCTCGAAAACGTATAATGCGCTAACAAACCACTCGAATGTGGCGACACAAGCATACAAACCACCTGCACCAAACGCGCCCAATGTTCCCAGTCAGTCGATGCCACCTCCACTGAAGCTCCCAGTCCGAGCGGCTAGTTCTGTTGCTACTGCCACAGTAGGCTCACAAGCGAGTGCCCACGAAATCGAGGAACAAAGCAAGCAGTACCTGATCAAAACTCTTATGAGAGACGATGACGTGCCGCCTCCGAAGGAAGAGAAAAAAGTCGAGGAGGTCACGGTTGCGCAGTGTAAAGTCAGGGAAAGTGTCGAAGCAGCGCCTGAAATGTTTGGCATTGCTAAAACCACAACAGACGATGACCCTCGTCGACCCGACGATGATATGAGAAAAAACAAACTTGCGAGAAAGGAGAGAGATGATAAGTTAGCACAAAAGGGCGGAAAACCCCGCACAGTGGGTGCTAAAGAAAGGCCCACTACGCTCAAGGATAAGATCATCCGCGATGGAAAATCTACCAAAGTTGCCTTACCACGTCCTACGACGAATGCCAAACCCGTAGCGGTGGCTAAACCCGTTGCAGTGGCTAAACCCGTTGCGGTGGCTAAACCCGTTGCGGTGGCAAAACCCGTCGCACCGTTATCCAAAACTGTTGTACCTGCCAAGCCTCAGGCGTCCCCCGGTGATGCTCCTAAGTCTCCACAAACTGAAAAGGAGTCAATAAAACTCAGGCTAAAGTTAGACAAGAATGAGCCTGTAGTACAACCTGTTTACAAGGCCGATATTAGCTTTGTTAATCCACAAAAAGGAGAGAAACCAACTGAGAGTGAATTAAAAGTTCCGCCTCTTCATATAAGACTCCGAGGACGCAATACACCAGTAATAAAAAATAAAAAGGAGAAGAAAAAATTTGCGCCTGGAGACATTCATACAAAGAAAATAAAGATAAGAAAATCTTCGGAATCTGACGATAAATCTCATCGCAGAGACTCTGAGGAGTCGATAGCCTCGAAGTCTGGCGAAAGCACTGAGAACAAGACTGATGATGAGTACCTCAATGTTAAGAGCATAAAACTCAACAATCATTATGAAGGGGACGGGATCAAGACCGAGATTACTGGTGACAATAATGTTGTGTACAGGATGAAGACGATATCGAAAAACGCTCATATAGTCACGAAATCTCATGACTACAACAAATTAAATAATAAAGTGCAAAGTATAGATTTGAAAATGAAAAAGAAATTAAAAATACTCAGTGAGAGTACTAAAACAGAAAAAGAACGAGATAAGGAATGGCGAAACGACACTTTAGACAAGGAAGGCAAATATGCGCAAAATGAAGGTTACAGAGAGACTCAGAATAACCATGAAGTAAAAAAGAAGTTACCGACTCCAAAAACGGACAATGGTGCGAATTGTGATAGTTTGAAGCCCAGTGAAGGGAAAACAGTGCAATTGGATGTTGATAGTGAAAAATCAGGTGCTAGTGACTTGGATAGTAGGTTGCTCAAGTGTCATAAAGATTTAGAGTGGACGCTGAGTGGTGAAACGCCAGACGCGAGCTATGACTCGCGCCGAACCGACGAAGACAATAAGTTGAAACGGACACTCGCCGAAAGTGCTATTACCTCACCTAACGGACTGCTCACCTCTGATAAGAAGAGAAAAATCAGTCATAGTTCCTGCACAGGTATGTATTATTGTAGGCCTTAATATTAATAACTCTAGTCTAATCTAACCTTAGATAATTGAGAACAATATGGTAATACCTTGTGGGTATTATGGCGGACTAAATGGGCACTATTAGAATAATTATAAAACATATCTTAAATAAATATAAATGCAATTTTATTCAAATAAATTTAAATATTCCCACTATGATGACTTCTGTAAGTATTAAGAAAACTGTGTCATTCATAAAATATTAAACAACAGCAAATCCCAGTAAAGCAGCCTGCAGATATCAAGTTTTAATAAAGGGAATTATTAGTTTCAATGATTTTATTAACCATTTATCTATAAGCCACGAGATGTTTATTTCTATACATCACCCTCATCATTCGTTAACACTATAGAACATTTCTTCAATACCTGTTGTCAATTTTCAATACTATAGAGCCTCCCTTCTTTCAAATAATAGGTAGGCTACACGCTTTCCCTGCTCCTTCCATAGATTTCTTCTTCTTTCGTAATCATATCGTTTAAGAAATAACTCCCAACATAGCCCTCTTCATAGCTCTTTAGCCAACTTTAGAACATTTTGTGACACACACAAGTTAAAAGCTATGTCTCAGTACTTATAGGTCATCATGGGGTAACATCCAGATATAGACCTTATCACACGGCCGTGCAAACAGCATGCATTGATATGTGACAAAAATATAACATTACGGCACCCATATAGTTGTTAACTTTAAATGGTAATACCTGCCTGATTTTGTATTAATGCATGTTGAGCCATCTGAATAAGGGCTGATTTCAGAAAGGCAGTTCTCAATTTATTTATGATTCCATTAACATTTGTATAATAATTCAGAATTTTAAATATAATTTAAGATGGGTGGATAAAAAGTTGTTTCACTAGAACTAGTGAATATATTATGTTTGTAAGTAAATAGTTTTTTTGGTTATGTTGCATCTGTCTTAGCTAAATAAAGTGATAAGGCTGCTGCATTCAAAAATTATATAAGTACATAATACAAATGATAGAAAAAAACTGGAGCGGGTTAAAGTACAAACAATAAGTCTTGTCAACCTGAGGTTCTTCCAATATTTCTGCAAAGAATCACTACTGTGCCCCTCAAGCAGTGCGAAAATTTCAAATTGTCAAAATTATAGCTTAAACTAAGAATACAAAATGATCTACCAAGTGTTAAATATAAAAAACAAAATTATAATATACATAAATTGTGTGCATTTTATTTTGTTTAAAATAATTTATTTTCATAAATAAAATTATAGTTGATTTATCTGGAAATTTTTCATTTCTATCAACCTGTTTAGTATGTTTCGGATGTTTAATATCATTTTACTACATCTGTGGTGAACTAAAATTGAGGACTGCCTTTATATTGTATTACCAACTGGTTTTACACTACAATCAAGTTCAAAATGAGACTGGCCAGGGTTACAGGCAATGTGCTTGTACAAAGTTCTGCTTAATAGTCTTTTATCGCTTTCATCTGACATTAGCTTCACTTTCATTCTTTACAACAACTACTGTCATTTTAACCAACCATGATTTCAGGAAGTATCAATAATTTTACACTGAGTTGCTATTGCCTGTGGTATATGAAACATTAATTTTATGTAGCGTATGCTTTTCCATTATCAACAATGCTTTAAGTATATATTCTATAAGAGGCCTATGTCCAGCAGTGGACTGGTAAAGGCTGCTGATGATATATTTTAAGAGCTACAGAATATATGAGGTTAAGAATTTATTATTCTGGTTACAGCCCAGACGCAATATAGCTGGTGGGAATTGCCCACGCCTTGCTAAGTTTTAGACATGGTACAAAATCACAGTCATCACGTACTGTTGCCAATAAGCTTTTTTCGGATTTTTTTTAAATGTGAAAACAGCTTATTGTTAACAACGCGTAAGTATGTAGCAACCCTAACCAACGTACGAAATAATTGAATGATAAACCACTTTTCACTGTGATTTTGTCCCCATGTCTATTAAGTTGTACTGGAATTAAAACCTAACCTAAATGGTCTCAAAGTAATTTTTATACGTGTTGAAATCCCCCCTCGAGTCGTTACTCCGCCGGGGTTTTCTATGGGGCTGTGTCTCGGCATCGATCTGACTAAAACCACACCGTGTACTACGCTGCATCTCAAATAGGAGGGATCCGGGTACAGCTTTACTTATGTCATTCGGATCCTCTTAGCGCCTACCTGCAAAAGCGCAAACAAAAACTTCTACCTGTAGGTAAAAGTGCCTTCCACTTGCGACTACACTCGGGACGTAATGAGAAGCTGGAAGGCGCGCGCGCGAATTGGGTACGAATGAAGATCTTCCTCCTGGGCCCTCTCCGCCGCCTCTTTCAGCGTGATGACGTTCTCGCGGCAAGATGCAACCGAGATAAAACATCTGAACTAAAACTCGTGTATTGTCAACGATACCGATAAACCGCACACCACTGGGGTGTCGTTTACAATTTTGTTTTGGTAACGACACCACCGTAATGAAGTTCTAACACAAAACTTATGCATTTATCGACATCAACTATTTTTCATTCTGAAGATCACGACCATGACCATTTTAAAAAGCTTTTCCAGAAGTTTCCAGAAGTTGCTTTAAAGATAGCAGATGAAGTGAAACGAAGATACGCTGAAAAAATGAATAGTTATTGTATAATATCTGTCAAGTTTTCTAAATTAATTTAGTTGTTTTTTGTTGTAATGGATACAATTTTTATGTTTCACGAATCCCTTGTAAACTCAACCAATTTCAACATTATCATTAAAAATTAACACATTATGAATAGTTTTATTTCACGTTATACATCACCAGTCAGCAATGGTGTCGTTACCAAAAAAAGTTGTAAACGATACCCCAGTGGTGTGGTTCAGTGTCGTCGTTTACAATACACGCCAAAAATGAGGACTGCCTTTCATGCCGTCTACCATGTTTTAGCTCTGCAACGCCCTCAGGTGGACTGGCATTGAGTCCACCTTTGCCACGTTTATATATGCAAAATTAAAACATCTGACAATACCGGCCATGGAGCGTATGACGGCCGGTAGCGAGAGATCCTCTCCCTTGCCTGCAGTGAGGGCCCGACGCTGCGTCGCACAAGTGGAGCAGCTGCCGCTAAGGTGACATGCGGGACTCTATTTCTCAAACGACTGAGTGCAGGTACTTCCTGAACCAGCAATGCCTGGTTAGAACCTGCGATAGTCGGAAGGAAGAGTCCCGGCAACAAAGCCAGTCTCAGCCGAGACGAGCCAGCAAGTTCTTCCGCCTCCAAATCCCAAAAGAGAAATCTGGCCACGGCGTCTGCGTCGGCGGCTCTAACCTCCAAAACGCGCCTCAAAGGACGCAAGAGGCGCGCCCTACTGAGGGGTTCAGAACCTCCGCCCACACTGGTGCACTGTATGTTGCATATACTGTGTACCGGATAAACCCCCGTGTAGATGAGAGATAATGCTTTATTGTACATCAGCAATAATATGGATAGAGACTTAGCACTAAAACGAGTACAATTGGCGATCTTATCGCTAATAGCTATCTCTACCAGACATCCTAGATTATATTTATAGTACTACAGATTTTAGCGTGGTTGTAACGGATGTACTTACGCTGCGTTACGGAAGTTGCTACGGAAGCAAAATGTGTTTGTCGATTGTTCAGTTCTTTTTATTTAAAAACACTGCATTAAAAACTCAAAGGATAAAATAAAAGGTGAGTTTGTTTCGTAATTAAGGTCACATCACATCGACAGCCTTTAATAGTCCACTGCTGGACATATACCTCTCCTTAGAAAAGAGGTAATTAAGGTGGTAGTGGTAGGTAATAACGATGTTTATAATACCTACTGATCGTTACCCATTTCCGTGTAGTGACGGATTAAGAATACGGAATGTCACTACCCCAATTCATCCCGTGGGTGTCGTAAGCCGACTAAGGGCCCAAAACAACGCAGGACACCAGCACTGCAAAAAGAAGGAAAACTTGACACAAACCCTATACCAAACCGTCTGGCCAGCGTGGTATAGTAGGCCAAAACCTTATTTCTAAGGAGAGGCCTATGTCCAGCAGTGGACTGGTGGTCATCATTAAAGGCTGTTGATAATGATGATGATGTTACCCATTTTGTTCATATTAGATCGGGTAGAATCGAAAAGCGATGACTATCGTATCATGATATTAGACGAAATACTTTGACCTACTCAGAAATCAAATGTGGAACCATATCTGTTAATGAAACCTTAATTTATCTAGATGTTTGTGATACTTCCATTTTGTTTTAGGTTCATTTTATATATACAGTAGCCGAGCTATTGTGTTGACGTCATCTAATAATTATTGAAATAACTCGTTAGGAAAGTTCGCTGCTTCAGATTCCGAATATTACGTGTTAAATGTTGAAAACCTGTGGCACTGAACTCGATTGGCGAGTTCATGTCGTTGCAGAATGTTTTTTTTTTCTTTGAAATATAAAAAAAATTCTTTACACCTGGGGAACCCTTGACAATGATAATACACAAATAACACCATATTAAGTCTACACTGATATTTTAAACAGAATATACGGAAGCGTTTTGGAAATATTACCGAAACACACTGCACTCGCTACTCGAATCGCTGGTTCTGGAATAAAATTAACGAAACTCGCAGGGCGAGTCGGTTGCACTGAACGTGTTCAGATAATATAAATAAAAGTAGTGGCCCTAAAAATTACAGTTGGTGAGATCGACACATTTTTTTACCTAACTACCCTCATTATCAGCAAGTATACTACAGTAACGTTTCCCCTTTTATATGATTTTAATGATAAGTTATGCCTCTTGGCATTTTGATTGTGGTGTGGCAAAAAGGCCGACGATTAATCTTGAAATCATAAAGAAAGCAAAGACCAAAATTGGGTAGTTGTAAAACTCATGCTGATTGAACTCTTAACTGATTAAAATTATTAGCTCTTTCTAACCTTGAAGGGATTTTTACTATGTGTAGTTAATTTGTTCTCTAACCTTGAGGATTTCTTTAAAACAAAGTTAAATCCGGAAATCGTACACGGCAGTGCTTATGCACGCTTAAAGGCTTATTAGCGCTATGTTCAATTAGTAGTCTTGACAATATTAGCTTATCCTAATGCGACTATATTTTCATGCGATGGTTAAGTTATTATAATAATAAATACCTTCACACACGGCGGTCTGATACTAGGCAAAGTCTATACTATGGTAACCAGACTGCTGATGACACAATCACACAGTTATTAGTCTTGTTTGGGAATCGAACCCATGACCTCTCGTCAATCAATTTGTTAAACGAAGGCGTAGCTAATGTAAATGCTATATTTCAGAACCGCCAGGATCGACGAATGTGGGGACGATACCGAGCCGCACTGATTCGCCGCCCGCCTCACCCCGACGAAAAGAACGACCCAAAGACAAGTCCTACTGTAAACTAATGGCTGAAAGAGCCGCTAGACCAGACGCCGACAAGTTTGGCAACCGATCCCCCGCTTCACAAGCACAGGGTGAGGACTCTGGCATAGAGTCGATGGACGCGTTGTCAGAGAAGTCACCTAACCAAGCCAGTCAGTCTCCGCCTGGTCCGCAAAGGAATAAGGAAAGACTTGACATGCCGCGCTCCACAAGTCCCGCCTCAGTGCAGAGGATAATAGGTGTCATAGATCAACCTCCAGCATCTGACGAATTACTCGAGAGACTATCACTTGCGAGCAGTCAACCGAGGTATGACCCTGTTCCGCCGGATATGGACGACCTGGGTGACATTGAGGCAGAGCTCGCAAAGATGCACGCTGACCACGTAAACGGTGACGACGCACCGCGACGTCCACTGGATGAACCTTCACCGAGCGCTGACCGAGCTGCTACTCCTATACTGCGACATGACGACGAGGACAAATCTACGGGGTTCAGTCAGCCTCCAGAGCGTTCGGCAGCAGAACCGGCGCAAGCGGACCCTCCACGTTCACCGCCCCCCGCGCCGGACCGAGCCGCTTCCGCGGAACCGCATCGGGACAAGCCTAAACTCGACGATTTCGATCCCCCGCCCAGTCGCGTCTCACCACCGCTCTACACCTACTCTAATCAGGAGAAGCTCGGCCCGATCGACTCTGACGTTAAGGAGGAACGGCCCTCGGGGACGGAGAACGGTGATGCCAGCGAACGAAACGAAATCGACGAGACGAAGTTGGAGCGACTTCCTCTGAAGGCGGATTTCCCGGACAAGAGCCTGCTCGAGCAACTTTTGATCGAGATTCCGACCCCCGATTACAGCGGAAAGCGGCCGGAGTCCCCTTCGCCGTCGGCGCTAGAGCGCGTGGCTCGAACCAGCGTGCGAACGCGTTCCAGCAGCAAACTCAGCAGTCCGGCGGACGGACCGCGAACGCCGCGGCTGAGTCCCGCTCTGATCAAACTCGATCGAGCGGACTCACCCGCGTTGCAACCCCGAAACTGTTTACGCGGGGGTTCCGTCGATAAGACCAGTCCGCGCACGCCCGCCGCCTCCGCTCCCGTTTCGGCGCCGCGTCTCGCCGCTGCGCCCGCAAAGCGCCGACGGCGCGAGTCGGAGAGTTCCGGCGCGTCGACGCTCAGCTGCGAGGAAGGGTCGTCGCCCGCGGGTCGACCCAAGAAGAAACCGCGACGGACGGACGGGCCCCGCCCGGCGGCGCCCGTCCCGCCTCAGAGCGGTGCCAAGGCTCGCAAGGACTCGGACAGCGACAGCGACGAGCCGCTCATCTGCAAGGTGCGCGGCAAGGCGGGCAAGGGCGTGCGGGGCCCGCCGCGCACTCCCGCCAAGGGCGCCGAGGGCGTCGGCACGCGGCGCTCCGTGCGCCACGGGCCCGCGCCCCCCGGCGGCGCGCCCTCCGCGCCCCCTCCCCCCGGACCGGAGCCGGCGCCGCCCACGACCGGCGTCACCCCCGTTCGGAGGAAAACTCGAAGTGCCGGTGAGTCCACGCTTCAATATAATTATAGCCTCTTTCTCTAATCCCGCATCGTTATGATTCGTGATTTTTGGTCGCATTCGCAGTCGGCGAAGGTGCAGGCGGGGCGGGCAGCGGGACTGCAGGGCGACGGCGCGAGGCCAAGTGACGGCGGCGGCGCGCGGAGACGCGGCGTGCGCCCCGCGCCGAGTCGCCTGCGCTGTTGCCGCGCGCCGCCGAGCCGCGCGCCGACCCACCGCCGCTGGCGCTGCTGCTCACGCTGGACTGAAGCGACCCGCCAGAGCCGCGGCCAGGCCCGCCAGAGCCCCCGGGAACGGGGTTTACGCGAAGACCTAACGCAGACCGCGAGATGAGAGCCCGCTCGCCGAAGCCGACCGTCCGGGTGACTTCGGACCGTGTCGTCGTACCGTTTAATGAAATCTGTAAAAATGTTGAGGAATTTAAAAAATTGGTTTATCGTGTTCGTTGTTTTAAAAATTAGTTTTGAATTAATACTGAGCGTGGGAACTAGGAAAATTGCAATACTAACGCTTGTGAATAATTAACTGTGTTGGATAAAAATATATTACATGAAGTTATGATTTGTATTTTTGGAATCGGACTTGTAGTCGGTCAAGGTTTTGTTTTAGAGCCTAGTGAGCGACGACACTAACGTGTGGTTTGATAATAAACAAAATAGTAATAATAATGTGCAACGTATGTTTTAGTTTCAAAGTCAGCTTATACTGTCATACGACCGAGAGCGCAATAAAAAAAAACAATACCCTGTACAATACGGTTCATGACAGATGGTTATCAAGCACCGTCGCGTGTCGACGTTTGTTGAGCTCTAATTATGGGGTATACCAATAAGAACGTCCTGGTTTAAAAATTGAATAAAACACACATTTTTTTATGAAAAATGCATTCGATTGATTTAGTTGATAGACAATTTTATGTAATTTATGTTTTAAATAATATATCGGCCAAATGACCGCCGCGGCTCTTTTTGCAGACGGTCACCCGCTCACGCCAATTTTCGATGACGCGGTGCACCATTTCGGCCGGTATGTCGGCTATGGCTCGTCGAGTATTGGTTTTTAGGTCACGAATTGTAGCTGGATTATTGCTGTACACTTTAGATTTAACGTAACCCCAAAGAAAATAGTCTGTAGGTGTTAAATCACACGATCTTGGTGGCCAACTGATCGGTCCATTTCTCGAAATTAACGACTCACCAAACTTTCCACACAATAATTCCATGTTCACTCGAGTAATGTGAGGTGGTGCACCGTCTTGTTGAAAATAAAGGTCGTCTGCATCAATATCATCAAATTCCGGAAAGAAATATTCGGTTAACATCGAGTTATAGCGCTCGCCATTCACAGTAACAGGGTTTCCTTCGTCACTTTCGTAATAATTTTGGACAATTTCCAAGCGCTGGTTTAAAGTGAAACGTGACATGATAAAATGGCAAACCTTACTGAACACAAATGTCAAGAGACGTCAAAGATCCATCATCAAACATGGCCGCTATGAGCTGTCAAAACCAGGTCATCCCTATTGGTAGACCCAGTAGATTCTGACCGATAGAACATTGGATTTAGTAGAATAGATTTTAGAACAGTTCCTGCACAAGTTAAACTTGCTTGTATAAAAAAAAAACTCTTTACATTTCCAACACACATTCAATGAACAAATGCCACTTATAACATTAACTTATTTGTAAAGATTTCGAAAAGTACTGTTTGTACTAAATCCGTAAGTACAACCTGTAACAGTATGTCCCGAAAACACTCGAGAAACCTTTTCTGAAATAGATTCTTTCGAAATCCGTCCCACAAATCTGTATCTATTGATATCGTAGTGTCGATAACTGTATGCACCAACTCATACTGCCGGTATGTGTATTTATTTTTAGTGAACAAATGTTACCATTCACTATAAAATGTCGAGTTTTGTTCTTTTAAGTGTAAGTTTATTTCTATCGAGTAAGTTTAGGAGTGTTCGTCTTAAGTGTGAAAGCTGACGCTTGATACTGTGATTGGTTGGTGTATTTTGCGTCTATAGCGAATACCATAGGAACCATAGACACAGAATGGACGTTTAAGTACCAACTGATGGTAGTGTTCGACGTAGGGTGTGCACGAGAAGTTGAGACCTTGCCCACGAAGCGCTGTTCGCGGTTGCGCCAGTGGAGAGCCTTAGTTTATTAGTGAATAGATGTGTATCATTATTGTACAAAATGCACTCGACATATAGGCACATTGTTATAATAGTATAAATACCCGAGAGATATAAAGAGAATGAAATAAATGCATAAAGTTAAATATTTTCATACGTTTTTGCACGTAACTTCGTGACGTCGATTCGGTGACGTGAACGCAGCGTTGTAGTTTTTATAATGTTTTGGCGGGAGGTTGGCATATTTTATTTGTAATATATAAAAAAAACGACCAAATTTGTTCTAAATTTCAGCAAAAAGCTGAATAAAAAATGAAGTGGTTTAATGTGAGTGGCGACCTCCCGCACAAAACGCTGGCCGCTATTACGATGTAACGTTAGCGTTTGTTATAATTAAGAGAATTCACGACCAATAATTGTAATTAAATGTGGAACTTGATAATTTCTTAGTGAATGAGATAATAATCGCGACTGAATGTTTTGACAGTCTGTCTGTTCGGGCTTCCAGTATAACTAAAATTTTATTTTGATGCCCCATTTATTTCGATATCATCCATTTTTCTACGGTTGTTCCCACCATCGATTGAACTTATTTTTAGTCTAAACTTTTTACACCAATTCATTAAAAAGTAACCAGTGGACGTTAGCTTCATAATTTGCACTGTACATAAAAAGTTTCTCAAATGAATTTAGTTTTTTAATATAGACGCTAGTGTTTTTTATCACAATTTTTAAAAGTTACGGTTTCTTCATTTTAGGAACGTGTTCACCAAAACTTGTTCACCATTTCCACTAAACGATTGGTTGTACTGTAACTGTAAAATTGAACCTTGCAATATGGAATTAGAATACAAAATCGATTTATATGATACCTAGGAATAATGGTGGACAGGACGACTAGGTGACCTACAGATACATATATTTTTGATCGGTGAAGTGAACCTGTGGGCATCTAATAGTTCGTATTATTTAGTTCCTGTGTATAGGGATATCAACCCAAAGCAATAATTTTTGGATGTGACGTTTTATTTAAAAGCACATTTTAGACAGCTTTTACACTATTAGCTTACATTACAGTATTTGTTATAATTTGTTCGGAAATATTGGTTGGTCCCCTATTACTATTGATGATGTTCAATGTTGTTAGTGGAGCAGTGATAGCTACAATACATTTCGTGTATAGTACGTACCTAGTATATAATGAGGAAATATTTTAATAATTAGTAATGAATTTATTGCCTGAATAAATTGTGCCCTATAAGTGTGTGCCGTGGTAATGTCTGTTAATGAAAATTTTAGTGTTAGAATGCGACGCGGCTAGTCTGAGCGGTGGACGGCGGGATACTGTTTTGTAAACGCGTTTGTTTTTCTTATATTAAATTATTAATTACAAAAATCGGAACTTCCGATGTACAATCTCTTGTAAATTTTTATGTATAGATGGGGATATTAATATATGTTACGTTTTAAGTATTTGTTTTTCTTTAAATAAAATATCATATTTAGTTTGGGGAGTAGCGTTGTATATAGACGGCGTCGACTAGCGATTCGTTCCTCTCGGACCGACTCCTGTAGAGATGCAAAAGCCTTATACTGTAATATAAAAGTATGACTTGCAAGCTTGTACCATATAATTATAATGAATGAACTCTCAACTAGCTGTGTATATTGGGTGTATAGTTATCATTTTAGTTTATTTTGTTTTGTTTTTATTTTCGACTAATGATAGTAATTTATACCGATAAATAAATATCTATATTGTATGTTTATATATCTACAATGAAGAAAGAGAAATACAAATAGTTTTAATAACACTTATAAATATAGCATAGGGGTTACACAACACGAGAGTAGGTTATAGTTTTGTTTACATTCTATGGAACTTGTAAATAGATTGCAGAAATAGTAAAATGATGAAAGAATTGATACAATAAGAGTTAACTTTATGTTATTTGTAATATTTTTTCTAGTACGTGTTGATGGCTGCGACATGTGTGCGCGCCCTGCGACAATCAATTTAGGACAATGATAAAAAATGCCTGCAATATTTTTTTGTTGCTGGCAATTTTATGAAGTTCACTTTTTTATTGTGCATTATTTTCTCTGTAAGTTGCTTTCACTGTCGTTTCTAGATTATTTTTAAAAATCATATAATTATTACATTGATAAAAGTACGATGAGTCATGCTGATTATCATCATATTATTACGAATAAAGAAATTATATTGATAGAAGTCGGTTAAAAGTACGATTGAGTCATGCTGATTTATCATCATATTATTACGAAATGAAGAAATAAGGAATATTATTGTTCTGCTATTATTAAATTTGTAAAGTTAGTTTATTAATAAATGAATAAAAAATACTTGTGGTTTTAATTCAGATGTATTATTTTCTCCTGTCATTACTCAAAAGCAAAATAAGAACATTCAAACCGACAGCTTGGACGGTTGCCTACCACAGCTCAAGGATAAGTAATCCGACGTTAAATTCTTTAAACTTGTATACCGCATTACGGCTAACGGTAAGTGCGTTATAAGTAGAGATGGCAGTTTTCGTTAAATTTTGTCATCGATGCGCATCGTTAATTGGTGTACCGCATCCGATGCCGGCATCGTTTTTTCTGGCATCGATTTGATTATGCCATTTCCGATTAGGCAAAATTAGTTGCTGGCTAAAGTGTCTGCGTATGAATATTAGATAGGTACTCGGTAACGTTGCCTTATTGAAATCATTTGATACCTATTTTATAACTTTGTAAATTATTTAGATACGATATTCAACATTACGACTTCTACTGGTAAAAAGTATAGAGGTTATAGAATAAACATAAGGTAATTAATGTTAATCTTTACTTTTAACAAAATCAGAGTTGACATTAAGAAAAAACAATTTTTCTAATTTGGAACTTGAAAGACGAGTTCTTCGTTCATTCAAAATATACCCGGCTTTGGAGAATATCCGTTCGCATGGCACAGAAGTTATCACAATATTACTACGATATTTTGGAATGACGGAGCCACCATTCAGTGGGATCGCTCCACTCCCCGTCAACGTTTTGCCGGGAAAAATTTCGTCTTCCAAGTACAACCGCATCTATCATCAAATCGATGCTTCGACATGTCATCGCCGCGTTTTCCGTTTCGTAGTCATCTGGCGCCTCTCGCTCGCTCGCATTCGGTGAAGTTCGCATCGGATGTTGCGGGCATCCGTTTTTCAATATATCGGCATCGGATGCCGGCATCGTGTACTGGCATCGATGCTTAAAAACGTTTTTACAAAAACGACCATCTCTAGTTATAAGCCTAAGGCTCAAAGCCTGGGGTCATTGAAAGGTAATGGAAGACATTCTGATTGCCCTAAAATATAGCTAAACTGAAATGTAGAGACACTTTTTCCCAAGGCAGTTGGATAAAAAATGGGTCGTAGCTTGGCCCATATTTAAAACAAAACTATGTTCTATTTTTAAATAACATTTTAAGTGGAGAGTAGTTACTTTTAAAATTTCGCGCTAAAAACTTTTTGTGGTCACGTCAGTTATTAACGTGAAGGTTGCCTTTACTAAGGATGGATATGAATAACATCACAATCACGTGATAAATCATATCATTTAATTTTCATATAATCACACCTGTGACTGATTTACCGAACTACTGCGACTTATTATTATTATTACGCTAGCGCAAGACTCGCGAAAGGTTTCTAAATCTAAAAAAAACTGTGACAAAAATAGTTTTAATTGATTTTAATGGCATTTAACTTTGTCTATGACGAAATCACAATCACATGTTAAATCACTGTGATTAAAGCGAATCACTTCATCAAATGAATATGATTTAGGAGTAGCTTTAATTTCCATGTCTAGCCTCTACCCTCCATTCCATGGTAAACATAAAGATATAAGCATAGAGTGAAGCAGAGCCCCAATCTTGCAAAATGGGCAACGAGAGATGGATAATAGATGGTTCCCTCTGTCTCTTTCTAGTCGAGGTCTTTGGTTGGGTTGGAAAAATTCTAATCTCCCACCTGTTCTACGATCAAAACCATGCCCACTTCACGATAGCCAATCGCAGCTTAGTTAAACAAAGACACAGGGAACTATCTGGCATTCATCTCTCTCGTTGCCTGAATCGCTTTCACTTATGGGTGTAGGTAAAAATGTATTTAAAATAGAAATATGTACGATACCAACAAACATGAGCGTTAATAATAGTCGATTAATTTGTTCAGTGGTGGGCCTATCCGGTAAAATAATAATATAGAGATGAACTTAGTTTTAATTTTTATTTCTTTATTTATCTTCTACATTTTGTCCGCGTGGGGACGGATTAGGAATACGGAGTGTCACAACCTCCATTCATCCCTTCTCGGTTGCAGAAGATTTTGGTTGTTTAATTTGTTTTTCTCGTATGTTGTTTGTTGTGTGTAGTTTTCTGAAAAAAACTGTAGACTGATATCCACACTTTATAAAATATCTTAAAATAATAACTTAAGAAACCATTAAATATTTTGTTGTTGTTAGGAGTTAGTGGTGAAAATAGTTGTACCGTAACTTGGAACGTTAAACGTTACCCAAATAATGTAAAGAAAACACGCTCTCCAGTTAAGCTTTCTGATTGGTTATTTTGAAGATATGAGCTTTACTAACCAATAGTATCATATTCATGTACTTTTCCTTTGACAGATTAGTAATATAAAACAGTTAAAAATTACACTTGCTGTTCTCGTGTCTTGGTATATTTCACAGGGATTTTAAATAATTAAAAGTGAGTATGGTACAAATTATGTTATACTTTACATTCCTGTATCTAAAACATTCAGTTTTAAAATCTATTTTTACGTTTTATGAATAAAAAATATATGTAAGTGTTATGTAAGATAGAGGTTCTCAATAGAGGTTCATTGCTCACGATTTTGATTAAAGAATTTGAAGAAGGAAGATGAATATAATTTGTCACTTTCTTTTTTCCAAAAATGTTATTATAGATTCAATATATATATATCATATTTATAGAGATGTTATGATGAATTATCAGTATTTCTATGTGGTTCATATTATTAAAATATTGATTATCGATTATCTAAGAGTAAATGGTTTGTTTTATTAATTTAACAATTTAGTTTCGATTTTATTCTTCTGCGCTTACTTTAAGAAGCGAATATATTAAATTAACGCCATACTTAAGAGTTAGATGTATTGAATCCAATAAACTTTAAAAGTTTAAATTGTGGCCTATAATTTTTATATTTTCATCTAATAACAGGAAAAGGTATCCAAAATTTGCAATTAGTCTTTCTTTAATTGCTAATATAATATTCAGTTACAGAGTTACAAAGTATTTGTTATATTTTAAATGGGGAGGGGCCATGCTAGCCCATTTCCTTCTTATCTGATAAACAGTAAGCCATATCTAAAATTTCAATAATAACCTTCAAAAAGTATTTTTTTTATTTGATTTATTTCTGATTTAATAAATAATGATACTAGTAGGCTATTTATAGTTGTAGTTAGCACAACTGGAGATACCATAGGATAAATTTGTTGCTGTGAGCCTTCTTTGATCATAACTTGAACAGATTAAGTGTAAATAGCACAATTTTGTTATCTTTCTGTGGGTGCAAATCTGTACTGATGTGCATTCATAGACAGCGGAAGGAAACTTAGTGGCCAGCAGTTGGACACTAGTTTTTTGTAACTTTCACAGCTTGGACAGTATATCTAAATATATTGATGATCTCAGCTGTGAGTGAAGTCTAATTCAACTTATGTCTCTATAGTGTATTTGACATAACAAAACAAATATCGGACAAATCTAAAAATGGTTTATCTTTTCTCTCAACATCGATCAATCCTTCAAAATATACTTGCATCTAAAAGAATGAATAACTAACAATTTGACTGCATGGATGACTTATTTGTTTAAACGGCCTGTCTTGTGAGGATGAAATGTGTTGATCAGTCATTTAAATTATTATTTACATGATATGTGTATATAAACAGAAATTGTTTTGGTTTTAAATTTAAAAGATTCTGCTTTCATACCTGTTAGTTTTTTCTTACACATGATTGGCTAACACCTGGGAAGTAGCTTTTGTTTAAATTCAAGAACACAAAATACAAATTTTAATTAAATAGAAAGAGAAAGAGATCTCTTTTTTACTTAAACCATCAAATTGGCTGTCATGAACTATTTTAGTCAATGCAAATATGGTTCGGCATCTCCCGATGCAAAAAGAGGTGTGTTATAAGTTTGACATGAAGTGTATGGTTACCCTGGTACCTGGTTAACCTTGACCTGATGCTGCAGCTAAACCTAAGGTTGTGTTGGGCATCTTCCAAATTTTTTATTTTGTTTAATTTCACATAAATAAGAGTTGTGTTAATAAAAATAAAATGGGTGGATTCTGTTTTCAGATGGCAGACAAGGCAGTGTCAGTCGCCGCGAAGCCCCAGATGCGTGGACTTCTCAATAGTCAGATCAAAAAGAATCTGATCGTCTCCCTCGTCCTGGCTGGTATCTCTGGCGTCGCCTTCAAAATGATTATTGGCGATACCCGCAAGAGGAAGTATGCCGAGTTCTATAGGTATGGATGTATTACTTTTTAAGTTGTTATAATCCATATAGCTTTATTTAGCCTTTGTTTTGTTCAGTGTGATTGTTTCCAGCACATCATGACCCTGCATAAAGAAAACTGCTGCGAGATAATGTTTACAGTATTTTGTGTCATTTTCTTTATTGTACATATTGACATATGTACATATATTTAAGTGACAAGGAACTTTTATGTACAAAGGCGAGCTTAACACATAGTAAAAGTATTAATAATACATTTAGTACTCACATTGTTAGAGTAGTACTAACAATGTGAGTACTAAATGTATTATTAATACTATATATTACATATATTAATACTAGTACTGAGTAGATTTCTTCTCAATATGAGACAGGTGAAGCCACATGTCAGTAAACTGAAGCAGTAGTTGGGGAAAAGGGTCTGACAAAGATTTAGAATTAAATTAGTTTAATTGATGGCCGCACCGTGGACATGGCTCTCCACACGCTGGCAGAATGCCTGGCGTGGGTGGAGCAGAGGCGTGGGTGGGAGTTCTATCGCTTGGTAACATGATTGCGGCCATGGTGCGGAGCGACAGTGCGTGGAACTGCGCCGTTTCCTTCTGCGAGTAAGTTATGTTTGCGAAGGAGTTGGCGGAGCGGGACCGGGAGAGGTTGAGAACTCTCCCGGCCCGCCAGACCCGGGTACGGGCCAGTACCGCAGACGACTCAGGCGTCGGAACCGCCAGAACGACCGCCGTCCTCCATGAGCGCAGGCCTGGGGGTGACAGGTGAGGCCCTCTGTCACCCTAGCAGAAGCAAGCCGGTGTGGCGGCGAGACGTGATGCGGAGCGCGCGCGCCCTATTGGCGCGACCACAAAGGGAACATGAGGGTTCTCACACAGGTGGAGTCATCTACCCGCCGTAGATGGCCCGTGGTACGTCGGGGTACACGGGATTTCCTTTCTAGGGTACACCTGGTTCCCTGGCTACTGGTACCCGAGAAGGCGTGCGGATTTTAGTCGGTTCGAGTCCGACATAGCCACCCATGGGTGGTGTCCGAGGGGATTGCCGCACAGAAAAAAAACTGTAAAAAAAGAAAATACTTAGTTATGCGTTTATATTAGTTTGAAAAAACGATCAAATATGGCGTGCAATTAACCACTTACTCCTTTTATTGTTACCAGGACCTACGATGCTGAGAAGGAATTTGAAGAGATGAAAAAGAAAGGTCTATTCCAATCCTGCTAAACTTGAACAGTTCTAGTGTAGTATTAATTTAATTTTGCTGTGAACATGATATAATTATTAAAAAAATACATAAACAGTATTATTGTTTTCATTTGTAGTCTTTCCTCTGCTTTAGAGATTGTAATTTTTTTTTGAAAATAATGTGCTATTGAAAAAATGTATATTATTATAAACTTAGCGCCGAAGGGAACATATAATACCTCGATGAGAAAAGAGCGGTTGTGTTGTATGGGTAATATCTGATGGGTAACGTTGGGATTGTCGCTACAAAGAATAAAAAGTGTGTCAGCGCCGATGCACGACTGGAATTTACTCCTTCATAACTCTTTTACCTTTTTTATTTTATTAATACTTACATAAAAATTAATTTCGTCATATAGGTATATTATTGATCTTATTTGACGTTGACATATTATATGCCCGACATGCCACCGATAGATGGTATCCGAGAGGATTTCCGCACGGAAAAAAAAAGGTACATAAAAAAAAAAACAATATTGGTTTAGCCGTTTACAATGCTTCGAAAATTCCTAAATTTAAAGTTAAGTTAAAATAAAAGTTTACTGAAATAGACCCAGTTTCAATGTTTGGCCCGGACGAAAGAAAAATTTAAAAAAGCTTTTTTCAGCTTTCTATAGTGCGAATATTTATTTATTTAACTTAATGCACAAGGCGGACTTAGTACCCATACCAAGCTTAAGGAAAAACATGTTTCTGAATACATGTTATTTATATATCGTCGATGAAGTACCAATACCTCCTAAGTGTTGAAAACCTAATTTTACACCAAAAGAAAAAAACTGTTTAAAATTAACGTTTAATTTATTTTGATTAGCTATTGGTAGTAAACTATGGTCCAATGCATTACCTTTTTATTAGTTACGAAGAGGTCTGATTATGTTAACGTTTTATTGGGATTTAGTTAGTTAGGAGATATTGCTTCTAGAACTTGTAAATCCACTTAAATGTTAGGAGCTATTTCTAGTATATTAAATACATACGGAAATGAATTCTGTTTATTTAAAATCAGCAAGTACAATGCTTTGTAGTGACAAAAATAAAACAATTAACAAACTCAAATTAAAAATGAAAAATTGTTCAAAAATGTCTTTCAAAAAAATAAACGAAAAATCTAAAATTCTTCTCGACTTTTTAAACGACTTCAAAAAAAAGGAGGAGGTTCTCATTCGACTGTTTTTTTTTTTATTTTTTACTAATTTGTTTTTTAATTAAATTAATATGAGCTTACATTTTGGGCAATGTATCGTAGTATGTATGGCAATCTGATGGTAGTACGTTTTTCATACTTTGCAAATGATTAAATTTTGTGGTCGTTATAGGAAGAGGTGCGCTATTCTTTTGCAAATAGGTATTAAAACCTGCTAAACTTTTAGGTCTCGTCGGTAAACTGGCCCAATCAGCATCAAAATTCAATGTTATTGTGATATTACCGTCATACGGCCCGAATGTTTGTTTCTGAGAATACAGAGCGCGCAAGAATATGGTGGTTGTCGTTAGGAGATATTTCCATAAAATACATACGAACGAATGAAATCTTTCACTTAGTAGATGTTGCCACGTAGCTCTAGAATTTTATTGGTAAAGAAATGTTGTACAGAAGTTAATTTAATTGATGCGAATATGAGTTATATGTCTGTTGTAATAAGAAACTAATTTTGGACAAAAATGACAGTTAGGAGGTATTGGTACTTCATCGACGAAATGTATTTTTCAATTTAGGAAGAAATATTTGTTCGTGTACGAAAGAGCTAAACAGACGATTCCGTGTCACCTCGTTTATCTATGTAATCTTGGTGGTCGGTCGATTAGAAGACACTATGCAGGTAGGTACTTTAAGTTTTAGTCTAATTCAGAACCTGCCTGTTCCATTTTCACAACACACCTCTTCAGTACCCAGTCTGTAGAAGGCAAAACCCTTAATAAAACTTAGACAAAATAATTTCCAATAATTTAATCAGGACATCAAGTAATACGTAACATTCCAGAATACATAAATAATTTTAACAATTCATTCGATTACACGATCGCCTTACCGTTTATTTTACAGTAGTCACTTAGATTTTATTTCAAATTGATTGCTACATCGCCTAACATAGAATATCAACGAAACAGGGACCAGCCTGTTTCCACTAAAGTATAGTTTCATTCAACACTAAAATAAATTAATGACATCATTAAATTTTTTCTCACATCAATAGAAATTCAATTGTAATCTATTCTAGTTTTCCCGCGCTGCAGTAATTGTTACAAATTGTATTGCCAACATTAAATATTCTATTGATGTGATTTAAAAGGAATAAAACATTACTTTTATTCCACAAGTTTTAATAATAGACGTGTTATAAAATTAACAATTCCAAAATTTGCGCCATGATTAAATTTTAACCTTTTGATATGCCACACTGTACAGTGCTTTACTTTACGCACTTAACAGCAAAGCGGCGGCGTGTTAATACACAAGCCGTGCGTGCTTGTAGGGTTCCGTATATAAAAAAAAAAGAATTGAGCAAAATTACCAAACTTTAAGTAACGTTTGCAATCTATGTAATAAATGAAGATATACTCAACAGGTATAAGGGAAGTAGTTTTTATGCACCAGGCACACAAAATAAACTTATATTAGAACACGGACGGACAAAATGGACGACAAAAAAAACATAAAAATAAATTTTACGGAACCCTGTATTTAAAACATAGCTTACATAACTAATAATTCAAGTTGTTTTATTAAAAACATTAGCAGTTAAATATGGCAGCGACAGTTAGGTTAAATTAACCACAAGAAGACATTAAGATTCAGTTCAATCACTTTACAAGATAAATTTAGAGTAAGAATGAGACAAGTAGTCATCGTACCTTACGGTAATGAAAACCACTCCAAAATGTTGTTGACTATTTTTTTAATCAAATTTTAACTTTATAATTGAGTTAAAATTACACAAATATACGGCACCACATGCTAAAACGACATTATTTCAGCTTAGTCTTGACATAATGTCGAGATTTTACACATAGGTACTACAAATGACATGTGATTTTTTAAATTTATTTTTAATCAGAATGTCAAAAACGTGATCATAATATCATTTTTTTTTGTCTAAGAGAACTCGAATAAAATTTCAACATAACTTATGTGTAAATACATAATTTATGTCAATGAAATGAGTTACATATTTATGAAAATTTATTTTGTGTCATTAATTTTATATTAACAATTACGAACAACCATTTTAATGTACATATGTTTTAATAAGGCAATAAGTTAATTTAAGTTAGAATGTAGTGAGCAATAGATTGTTCACAAAATGAAATGATAGTCTATTTGATAAACATTAAATGTCGTGGTACAATGATTACTTATTTCATGGCTAGAGATTACAACTAGATTATAGTAAATTGCTTTGGTCGTACATAGTTTTACAGCCACCGAAGAAATTAACATTTAAAAATTACATTTTCGGCGAGTTAACATCTATGTCTGATTCAAGTTATAAATGTATATCTACATTTAATCATAAAACGATGTAAACACAATTAATTATATCAGTATTTTAAAGTAATTTGTCACAAAGGTCTCCTCATGTTTGTAAGTGATGTATCACTTTACTGTAATCAATTATACCTCTTTCTATCTACGCAAGGTAATCTAATGGGTGGGGCAGACAGCGTGTTAGACGGGACGGAGACGCAGCGTGAGCGGTTATAACGTACTGTCGAAGAACCACGCCCGACCGTGCTATGACACCTCTGTATTAACTAAGTACATCACAACCTGAAGGCCAATTCTCGAAATAAAAGTTCGGTCAAAATTCAGTTCCGGTTTACTATCGATCTCACAATTGTCATCAAATGTATTTTCGTAGTAAAATATTGAATATCCAACGTTGACTATAATGTGATTACATCGTAACCGAAAATTGAATTGTTAATCTACTGGTCTTAGTAATACTTTACTATTAAAATATCTTTTATGACAGTTGCGAGATCGCTAGCTGAATTTTGACCGAACCTTTATAACGAGAATTTGCCTTCTGCTCCACGCCTTCGTCCTGCCCCGTCCGCAGTCTTTTGTATTTGAAAATAAGGCTTTGTTAATGACATAATAAAAAGTGACAAACCCGTTCCAAAGATGTTACCTCGCTCATATAACAAATCATTATTGTGCATTGGTTACCTATTGTGTGCAACCCTTACGTTTAGTCAAACATGAATGATTATCCTATGTTAAATTTGCTATTTATGTAATATATAAGAAGTATAAAATGGCAGTAAAAATTATAATGAGCCCATTTACAAGAGTGTACAAGACAATTGACGAAATGGGTGAATTCAAACAAATTACAATTTATGAGGGTTGGCTAGGAGTTCATGTGTTATTTTAAAAGGTTGTTTGCACAGTGAATATTAAGGATAGGAAAATGGTAGTTTAAAATGATTAAGACTTACGATATTATCTTAAATCTAAATGTCACCACAAAATTACGTCTAAACATCAACATTACAGATAAAGAATTCACTAAATACAATTAATTTTAATTTCAATAATGTAATTAATAAGCGTAATAGATCAAAACATTAATGTTTTTTTTATTTAAATTTATTTTTCTTGTTGTATTTGGCGGTAGTAAGCCACTGCGATTGCTTATTTAAGAGATATCCATAACAATAGTGCAAGCGAGTTGTTGAGGCTTGACGTATAAGAAATTTCGAGAACTTTTGTCAGTTTTACATTTTTATGTGTTTTGTTAATCTAAATATATTAAGTTATTTGTTTGGATACAGAAAGGTCCGATATCTAACGATATTTATTCTTACTCAATTGAATAGCTGCATACGAGTTGTATAAGACAGCCTCAGCAAAATATAGACATAAAATGATAGTTTTTACATTGATTTATTTTGATTATAGGCACACACATTAACGTACAACTAGGTTTGTACCTAATCTGGTCCCTAAGTTTGACATAATGTACTTAACACTATATCAAACTCGTGATAGAGATTACGTTAGAGCCTAAGGACCTCTAACAACAATCAGACCAAAAAAGATAAAATCACAGAAAACTGAATCGAACATTTATTTGAAGTAATTGTGCTATGAACTGTATTTAAGTTTTTTGTGAAGTGATAACTTCTTACGGGAGGGTAAACCGCTTCGTTACGTAACGCGTTAGGCAGGCTCCTCCTCCCTCACTGTAACCCACATCACTAGCCGTATTTCGGACAGACGCTTTATATGAAATTTAAGTAATAAGTTTTTCTCAAGTCAAACAATTTCAATATTAAATAGTTTAACTTAGATTAGTTTAAGTTATCACTTCTGTTGGGCGTCCCGAGACGCACACGGATTTTATAGATTTAGTAACATTTTAGATAGATATTTAACATTTCATCGTAAAAGTTCTTGCGAGCGAGAACAGGAACTAGTTTCCATACGGGTAAGAAAAACTCATAAAGGAAAAAATGTTATCGCCTTTGCTATTTTTTAATCTGTGTAATATAGTTTTTCGCTCTTACCGAAAAGCCTCATCATTCACAAAAAGTTGTAAAATACTTTAAAACAATTAAATTTCTTTTTGAATTTTTTCCCTGAAGAAAGTAAAGCTCCAAAAAATATGTACATGACCAGACCAGACTGCCAACGAAAAATTGAGGTTAGAGTTAAGTTTGTTACAAATGGCCACACAAAATTAAATATTATAGCCTAGATCTTATGAAGGGTAGAAATTAAGTATACCTCGATACAAAGACTGGAAAGTGACATAGACAATTCATTACACAAAAAAATACATCTGTGTTGATTTATGGTCCACTATACTTATCTTTTTTGTCTATGGTTCACAATCAGTTTTCTTAAAAATAGGCTATTGGCATAGATAAAGTGCAATTTTACCGTCAGATATCAGAACTTCGAAGAAACTGTAAAGCAATAGTGGCTCCTAAATCCTTTGTCCCGTTTAAATTCACTTCAGGACCTGCTATGAGCTTTCTTGACCCTTGACATCGAAGGTTTTCCCTTCTAAGGTTTCGTCTCCGTACGCTCGGGCGTCATATTCGACCTCCTTGCCGTTACTCACAGACTCTACGGCAGGTCCGTACAGTTTAACGCATAGGATGTCTTTGTAGTTCTCTAAAGCGAGGGCGAGGACCGATCCTCCCAGGAGGACCTCGCACGATGTGATTCGTTCCGGTGGAGTGTACACTGCTATGAGTTTACCTGTAAAGTTTACATAGGACTTGTTGACACATTTTTCATTTTTCAAGCTCTAAATACTTTAATTAGTTGATGTGTGTTTTAATTTTCTAAGAGTTAATTTTAATTTTATTAAATTATAGTTGTTTTAGAAACTTAGAGTTAATATTGATTTGACAAAGATTTGGAAAAAAGCGTAGGATGCTTCACATAAAATTTTACAAATAATTCGTTAGTAATTAATTGAATGAATGATTATTTGAGTGAATGAATGAAGTCACTGAAGCTAATTTGACATACCCGTGTGCAGGTCCCATAGTCTGACAGAAATATCTTTGCAGGTGTCATCGGTAGATAAGAGCACCCCTCCTGATTTGGTCAGCCGCAGAAGCGACGGCGCTGCCACGTGGCCACACAGAGTCAATCGACAATTACCTGTTAACACACATTTTTTTAATATCTACAGCCTAGTAAATAAAATATGGGTGTGATCAACAAGATCCCACACAAGTTTCTTCTCCCACCTGTAACAAGATCCCACACTAATATCCTCGTATCAGCAAGTCCGGATACCACACAGCCGTCCACCGAGCTGATGGCCAACGCCACGGTGTCGCAGCCAGGCTTCCACTTCTTGAACAGCGTCCCTGACTGCAGGTCGTACACTACGATGAAGTTTGGACTCGGTTCGTCAAGCTCTCTTGATACTACGCACACGTAGGAACCTAAATTAAAAAGTAATTTAAATTCATTTTGAGATTCAATCAAAATTCTTTTATCGAAGATTACGACCTATTTTTTTAGATTTAGACCTTTTTGCTTGAGTGTGATTATTCTATCCCTAATTACCAGTCTGCGCAATTTTCTCCCGGTATCATACAAAAAGTACATTAACAGAAGACTGCAGACTGCTATTGTAGCAGGTAGCGACTATATGAAAGCTCAATACAAGTTGCTTTCGGGTCAAAGGGTCATGTAGTGTTCGTGATTTGATGTGAATGTTTACCTTCATAAGTGATAGCAGCCTTCGACGTGATAAAGTCGTGATGTGGAATTCGAAGGTCGTACAGCAGCTTGCGCGATGTCAGAGACCACACCAATAGGGGAAAAGGTTTTTGCGTCTCGTCTCCGCATACCAGCACTCTGTGGTGTTTGAGAACTTACGTTTAAAATATATTTATAAAACTTCGAAGTAAAGCATAAAACTAAGAGTAAATATAACAATACTAACCAGACACATCACACCACTATGTCGTCTGATCCCAAACTAGGCAGAGCCTGTACTATGGTAACCTGGAACTTATATGCTGATAAAAGTACGTTTATCAGTATATAAGTATTTATATACTTCTAAAAACATACATATTATACATACATCGTGCAATCATTTGTCTTGGGTGGGAATCGAACCCACGACGTCTGCCCGATACTTAAAGCCGTCCTAACCTAATTTGGGAAAAATACTAGGAGGAAGTAGGAAGATTCTCAAACTTTTGCGAGAAAATTAAATATGGATACCAAAAAAAAATTGATATAATTCAGGAATATCTTACCTCCCATCGCCAGACACTAGCAATGAATTCAGAAACCTGTCCTCGCCAGCTTTAAAAGTTGTCACGCAATCACCTGAAATAAAGAATTTACTGATGACGCAACTTTCCGCCATCGCTCCACACGGCAAGACTTTCAGCCCCACCACTTGGATAACTGGCGCTCCACTACTGTGCGCTTTTCAAGACACTTTTTGCCTCGCACAACCAATCTGTGGAACAAGTTATCGCCTGCGGTATTTCCGGACCGATACGACCTTCAAACCTTCAAGAAAAGAGCGTACTCCTTCCTCAAAGGCCGGCACTGCGCTTGTGACTCCTCAGCTGCAGGCGTTCATGGGCGGCGGTAGTCGCTTTCCATCAGATGACAAGTCTGCTCGTTTGCCCCCTCTTCTATAAAAAAAAGTGTGTGCGTGCAATTCACACACTTCAGAAGTGAAACTTTCGAAAAAAATTATTTTTTATCTCAGAAGAACCCTATAAAATTTTGCTCGACCCGGGAATCGAACCCACGAAGGCAGCGTTTTTCAAATTCCACGCGAACGAAGTCGCGGGTACCAGCTAGTATTAAATAAAAATATAAAATATTCACACTTTCAAAATGTTATATTAAAAATAATGTGTCTATCTCATTCTCTCGCCGACTTAATCCTATACATTTATGTGTTTGTTTCTTAATCGTGACGCATTTTCGTTTCCTCGAGTTTCAAATCACAACGCTTCTAAAGAAGTTTCACTTCAAAAATGTCACTTCACTGACATAAAATGTTTTAACAACAGAACGAGCAGAAACTTAATGTATGTTCTTCTTGATGATTCTTCTTCGTCTGTGTTATTTGACTTTGACTTCAAGAAAACCGGTGTTAAATAGTTCTTTTTTTATTATTCTTAAAAAGACGCCATCCGTGCAGTCTTAATGTGTAATGTATTCTTTCGTTGCCTTTCACCGAGTGAGTGAGGTTATCAGAGTCAAAACCATCATGCCGTTTGATTTTCGATAAAGGGGCTGAAAGGGTCGCAACGCCAGTGGTAGTCACTTACCATTAGGTGCTTCCTATACCATAAAAAAGTGAATAATATTTGATTAGGCATTCGGTAACCTCGGTAAATATTATAGAAATCAAACATAGCTCACGTAGGACCCGTAATATTTGTGGCCGTGGTGCTTCCCTGTTTAAAAGGGTGTATGCCCATTTTACTTCATTTTGTCTCCCGCTTTGCTAAGGAGGGAAGTGGATTTACTGTATTTCCAACTCCTCCAATTTTCTTCTGATTAATTTCGTTGCGGGTTCCAAGACAGTTTAATTTCTTTCTGGGACTTCCCGAGTGTCATAACTCGGTGTGTTCGTGGGTCACTGCTGTGGATCCTGGTGTACAGGAGTTACAGTGGTGGGCGTGTGGGTGGGATTAGTCCCAATAAAAAAAAAAAAAAAAAAAAAAATTCGGTAACCTCACTCAATCAGTGAAATGCAACCAAAGAATTGCATAATACCGGTTATGTCGTGTTATTACTCCGGATTCAGGATTATTAGTAAAGAAGAGGATTGGTTGTTGGCGTAAATCATCATCATCATCAACAGCCCCCTAACATTCTCCATTCATGTCCATTGCTAGACATAGGCCCTTCCTTACAATGGAGGTTTTGGCCTACTATACCACACTGGCTTGGTATAGGGTTTGTTTCAAGTTTGCCTTTTTTTTTGCAGTAGTGTTGTCCTGCAGCGTTGGTTCTCTTAGTCGGCTCTTACGACACCCACGGGATGAATAGGGGTGGTGACTCTCTGCATTATTATTCTATCACAACACGATTGGCGTAAACAGTATTGGGAAGCTTTCTTGTAATTATAAGAGAAAATAAAATCAGAACCTTTAGAAGACTTAGAAGAAATTCGGACAAAGCGGAATATGCTGCATAGATATCTGAGCCGCTTGGTTCATACTCACCAGTCTCAATATTCATCAGATTGACATACATCCTGTTTCTGGATAAGGCAACTAGATGTTTAGGGTCGTGGAGACCGTAGTACGGCATCTTCTGGTTCATGACGCCTTTCAACGCCACTAGGAATGTGCCCTGGAAAAGATTAATGTATTTAGAATGCCATATCATTGGCCAATATGTGGCTAATTTTTGCTTCATCATCAACTACACAGCCTTTAATAGTCCACTGCTGGACATAGGCCTCTTCTTAGAAAGTAGGTTTTGGCCTACTATACCACGGGTCGGTATAGGGTTTGTTTGATGTTTTCCTTCTCTTTGCAGTGCTGTTGTCCTTCCTTAGTCGGCTCTTACGAATCCCATGGGATGAATAGGGGTGGTGACATTTCGTATTCTTAATCCGTTACCATACGGTAATTTTTTACCTATTTAAGGCCTAATAATAGCTGCTGAACAGTTAGCCTTTGAAGTCTAATTGATAATATATACAAATAAATAAAATAGAAGTGTCTGTTTGTAATGTCAAAATAATAGTTTTTTAATGCTTATGCGGATATTTGCACGATACCTATGCCTAAGAACCACTTTAAATATTTTTTGTCTGTCTGTCTGTTTGTTACCCGAATCTTCAAAACGGCTGGACCGATTATGATAATATTTAAATACCAGGTAGCTGTCTATAAATTTTTGGCCGGTCAATACAAATAGACACTTTAATTTTATTTATTTGTATACATTTGAAAGCTGAAGATTAGCTTTTTTATGAAATGGGGGGAGGGGGAACAAACGAGTAGACGGGTCACCTGATAGAAAGTGACTAAGCCCATTCAAACCTGCAACTTCAGAGTCACAAGGGTTTTGCTAACCGCTCAGCCCCCACCCCCCCGGATCAGGGGGACCCCTCCCCCTTTGGTCCTCCTTTGCATCGGTTTTCCATGAGGTCCTGTTATCACTCGAGCCTGGCCCATATGTGCCGAAATAAGGCTTTCCCATGACAAAATTTATCCTGTTAAGGCCAACTGAAGGTCGTTAAGGTGTATACTAATTAAAGGAAACAGTTTTAGCTCTGATTAATTACCTGATCAAGGTTGTACACCCTCAGTTCTCTGCGACAGAGCACCACGCATTTGTACTCGTCGATAGGCACCAAGTTGATGGGATGCGTCACTCCAACCAGTTTCCGAACTAACTTGTACCTAAACAATTACAATTGGTAATAATTACTGGAGAAGTTCTTCGACATTTATTTTTCATATTTTAGAAGGGAATACCTTGAACAAAATAAAAAAAATTGTAATAAGCCGAACTCTTAATCCCTTCATTTTCCACCTGTTAGAGGAATAGTTTCACAATTATAAAAAAAGGCCGACATTCGAAAGGAACTCTGAAAATCGGTTTTTCTTTTACATTCTCACTCACAAAGCGTTAAACAAATTTTGATGAATATTTTTCTACTATATGTCTTGGAGATGGCTCCTTTTTGTTCCAAAAATAAAACTAGAAAGACATAAAATACGAGTTGAAAGATTAAAACGTCTGTCTGATCCCAAACGAGGCAGAGCCTGTACTATGATAACCAGACTGCTGATAAACATACTTTTATAATAACAAATAAACTATACCAAGACACAGAATAAATTATCGTGCTCTTCACACAATAATTTTTCTTGGGTGGGAATCGAACCCACGTTTAGTAGTCAGGGTTACTAACAACTGCACCAAGAGGACAGTCGAAAAATAAAATCTGATCAATTTAATATCTATTATACTTACTTAGTAACATCCCAAACACAAATCTCTTCTCTTTCAGTAGAAACAGTGGCCAGAAATTTACTTCGACTATCGAACCTAACTATCAAGTCATACGTCTTCGTATCAAATCCATCCCCCATGGAAAACTCTCTCTTCTCTTTTACATCTAGAAGCTTCCAGAAGCCGTCATTTTCCGGATAGAACGTAGGTACAGGAGGATTGTGGATCTCCTTCATCCAATCTTCAACGATTTGACTTTTTATTGTTAGTCCATCCCGCTGTCTTTTTTCCATCGTCATTCGCAATAACCCATAGAATTGTCTATGGTCATAATCTAGAGCGTAAGAATGTGTTTCAAAGAGGTCTTTCAGTATCTCTATGTGTTCTGGTAGTGGATCTATATGAACTAAGGCTATGTCTTCGAGGAAAAAGCAGGTGTCTGTGGCGGCCAGTTTGGCATGTATCCAGTCCAGCTTTGTGAAGTATGGCATATTCGCGAAGGTCTCAGGCTCGTCTTTGTATATGTGGTAGTGTTGGAATGGGAGCTCATCGAGTTTTCTTGTGTTATAGCTGTAGAAATAACAAAATATTTTTATATGCGTACATATAATCACGACGGTATTTTGGAAGGAGTGGGCAGTACATGTTAAAAGCCCACATTTTACCAACCACTATTTTAGCTGCACTTACGTTAACCAGGCATTTTAGGAATTCATCCCCATCATCAACAGCCTTTAGTAGTGGTATAGGGTTTGGGTCAAGTTTTCCTTCTCTTTGCAATGCTGTTCTCCTGCGTAGTTTGCTCCCTTAGTCGGCTCTTATGACAAAAACGGGAGGTGTGATGACTATTGGTATTGGTGGTATTATTAATCCGTCACCACACGGAACTAGGAATTAGATGGGATAATTGAGGGAGAGGGGAAGTAAATTTTTTTTTTAAAAGACAACTCCCGCATTTGGAATATATCCTGTGTCGCGGGAGACTTTACAAACATATATGAAACTGACACAAAGAACACCCAGACTTAGAACAACAGTTTGTGGATCACACAAAGTATCGTCCCATGTGAGGTTTGAACCCACAACATTCGGCGCAGTAGGAAGCTGAATTAAAAGAAAGTTAGTAAGAGAAGGAGATGGGCCAGGGCCGGTACATATGTGATTCGAATTCGACGCTGCTTAGAGACCTCAAACCGAACCAAACCTATAGTTTTTTTTTGAAAAAGAAATTTCCCAATAAGGAAGAGAAAGTAGTAATGTTTGAATACTAACCATTCCTCAGAAAACTTATTCCCCTGAGGTAAAAGACGGCCAGCCATCTTGGGGTCGTTTTCTACGTACCACTTGCCCTGGAATGTGAGTGAGTTAAAATTGTATGAATTGGTATTTTTAATACTTGTGTAGGAAATTTAGTTTGTGTTTTACTTGCACTTGTATAATAATTTGAAAAATTATTTTATTGTACTTGTAACATAAAAAATTCAAGAGCTACGTAAATAAATACTGATGAGATTAAGTGCGTGAGTCTTTAATTGTTTCGTGATATTTGAGTTTGTACATAAATGTTCAATTTTGAAGCGGATTTTTTGTTGTTTGTACGTTTTTCTAGTTGTGTTTAAATAGTTATGTCTATAAGTATATTTATTTAATTCCGGTGGCAAATTGTACAACATACATGTTTATATCAGTTGTTTGTTGTACAACATACATGTTATAGTAACAATTTACGCAAAATTCATTAATTACGTAAGATTTTATCCTTTATCTTTTATTAGCTAATGTGAGATTTATTATGATATTGAGCTAATGTGATAAAAAATACAAAAGCATGACATACATAGGTTAAGGTTTATTTACTTATATAACAAAATTGGAATCATTACTGCTTTAATTGAAATATTTTTTGCCGGCTATTGGTGCTCACGTAACTTATTTATTAAAAATATTTACAGTGTCTTTATAGGATCCTTATCCCAAAACGATTCTGTAAGTAACAGTGGTAAATAACAGTTATTTTATAACGAAAAATCATTTGCCGTAATACATACTTCTTTGAAGTTCAGCAGGCTACAGTTGAGGACATCTACATGCATCGAAACAATTTTAATAAGCCTAGTGGCATATCGAAGCTGATTCGATCGCGCTACGGGAACTAGGGTGCTAGGGAGGTCCCGGCGCATGCGCAGGTGAGGTAGGCGAGGTAGGCGCGGCTCACCTCGTAGTAGTCGACGAGGCAGCGGCGCACGGGCGCGCCGGTGTCGGGCAGGTAGCGGTCGGCGGCGGCGGTGGCGAGCGCGGCGTCCCGCCAGCGCGCCGCCCCCCGCGCGTCCCAGCGCAGCCAGGGCGCCAGCAGCGCCGCCAGCTGCGGCCACACCAGCGACGCCGGCGCCCACGGCACTGCGCGTCACATACACACATACAGACTTCACCCTCTCGCCCGTCTCTCGTCTACTGTCATCCCACTGACGATGTGTGGGAATCGAGCCGACTAAAACTGCTCGTTTTTAAGACATCCGGACCGAGCTGAATCTGTACTATGACAACCGAACTACACTATCGTATCATAGATGAATTACACTCAGCCACAGAATAAGAGATCGTGCTCATCACACATTATTTTTCCTGGATGGGAATCGAACCCGCGAGCTCTGACTCGACAGTCAGGATCGGTAACCACTAAACCGACCGGCCAATTAAACTGGCAAATAGGCAAAGCACTAACACAACATACCTTACTATCTACCACACCATCCTCACACGGCTTGTACAACTAATTGAATTTAACTTATCCTTTGCCGTTAGCTATATATATATATATATATCATCATATAAGTCATCTTATGATAAGTGACCACCCTCTAAGTGCTCCCCACAGGTTAAGGGCGGTTCAACCTCCAAGTACCTTACTCACTCGATGAAATGCAACAAAAAAATTGCCTATCACGGATTGTATGTGACATTGTATCATCATTCTGGTCGAGCCCAAGCATGACTGTCCCTCGATAATATGTTAATTAATATATTATATTATAAATAACAAGAAATTGTTCTCAATTCCTAGATAAGTTTTACAATTCCATGTAATCTAACCTCGACATAATAACAATATATAGATAAATGATAAAGGAGATAAAAATAGATACAATACCATTTTTTTTTTTTTAAATATAGTTTTCTCTATAACATTGAAATGAAAAGAAATTTATTTACCTAGACGTAATGACGTTGACGTTGTAAAATTTTCTAAAAAAATAATTAATACATGGCTATTGACTAATTGCAAATTTCGACAAATCAATCTGATACATTAAATATGAGGTAGCATTTACCTACCGAACCGAACCGAACCATAGAAAACTGAAACAGATAAAAAAATATACTTACAATAAGTTTCCTCACTTCTGAACAGCTCATCATGTGCTAAGATATCCAGAATCTCCGTATCGTCCAATCCTCTTCTGGATGCTGTCAGTAACGCTAGACATGTTTTCACTCTGTCAACCCCTAACGCGGCTTCCGTGGTGATTAAAATCTGTATCAGCTGACCTTCCAGGTCTTCGCAGATAACTAACTCTGGAGTTGTTTCTGGTTCCGTCAATTCGGTGAAGGTCTCTGCTGATAGTGAGATTTGCCACGCTAAGATCTGGAAGATGTTAGTTTTTAGTTGGTTTGATTTGAACAGATTTTGATATATTAAGAATTTGTACGAGAATTTGAAACATTTGTGGTAAAATACATGGTTTTGCGCGTTTAAATTGCAAAACGCTGGCTAATCCTTACGAGATAGAACAAAAAAATGTACAACGTAATTGTATATCTTAAAAAGATCTACAAAAAAGTTCGCGATGGCATATGTTTATCTCCTAAGGATAACCCACATTTTTATCTTTTATACATTACAAAAAAAATAATGTGTTATTTACGAAGCTATTTTAATCAATACATTATTATTCTTTATCCTATTAAATACGTTATGCATTTAATGTAGATTAAAGTTGCTCTTTACAGCATATCATTAAAATGAATGTTTTAGAAAATATTAGAGGTTTAAAATGCGGGCGCAAAGCGGCCTTCGCCGCTTCGGGTCGCAGCGGCCGGCAGGATCTGAGCGGGCCTATAAATATTGCATATAAAGATGTCCTGTAGTATAGTCCCATCATAATAATTGTATCATTAATTACTCCCCACTGACACCACATTAGTAGTATCTACATTGCACCTGTGCGAAGCCGGAGCGGCTTGCTAGTTATTTATAAGTAGATAAATAACAATAAACAACTAGATCCAACTAACAATATATAATTCAGAAATTATTTTTTTACATATGAAAATATTACAAAAGAAATAAAATTTTAATTAAAGCTAAAGTAAAATGTACCAATTGGTAAATTTTGTTTATATTGTTCTTTGCGTACCTTAGCATAGAGAGGTAAAGTACACTTCTGTACAGCCTTCACGGCGGATTCTGGCGGTGAAGCTGCTCCAGTCTTACTGTACGTGGCCGCGCAGGCGGTCAGCACTGCCTTGGCTTCCTCGGGGCCCACGGGCGGTGCCCTCACTACTTTCGGACCGTCCTCCGACGAGAGAACCGCCATGATCGCTGAACTCGACGGTTCGTCTTTTTCTGTCGATAAATAGATTATCATTTAAAAAATAATAAGTCGATAAGATTAAGTTTCGGTGGAAAGGTAAAGTTATATATTTATAAAGACAATAGGAAAGGTAAAAGAACGTTAATTACCATTGTAGGGAAATAACAAATAGGTTATTTAGCATTATGTATTTTAAAAGGTTCGCTCGTTTTGGGAACCCGAAGTGTAAAAATTTATAACGGAAGTAGCTAAACTTTTCAGCTCTTGAGATATTGTCGAATAAGGTTATCGGTCATGAAGGAAAAGTACACACAACAGGTACACATAGTACAGTACAAAAAGGGAGAAAGAAAAAGATATGTAGAGAGAGGGGGGAGAGAGAGTGAGAGAGAGGTCTCTAGAAAGGAATAGGCGGTCCCACCTTCGGTGACGGTGACGATCATCTTGACGTTGTGCGGCAGGCGCTCGGGCAGCCAGCGCGCGGCGCGCAGCGCGTCGGCGCCCACCACGCACAGCAGCGCCCCGCGCGCGCGCCCCACGCCGCCCAGCAGCGCGCCCAGCGCGCGCGACAGCGACCACACGTCCTGCACACCGTATAATTTTCATTTTTATTACCCCGAAACTGTCATTTTTTAAATTAATTAAAAAGATATAATTTTTTTGGGGCACATGATCTTCTCGTTCGATCCCGTTCGATAAGAAGAAAAAATACCACTAATAAGGATAAACGTTGAAGAATACGGTTTATCGTATTCATCGTGACATAGAAATAGAGAGCGAGCCGCGGACGATAGTTTTCAACTTTTTGTAAATAAAAAAGTGTCAAACTTTAAATTACTAAATGAATAATTTCACGCTTTCGAGTCTTAATTACATACAGAAATACGAAAAAAGTGACAGAATGTCTTTCATCCGGATAAAGAGTACTACGAGTACAGACGAAGATTTCGTGACTCGATGTACAAAATCTAAATTACCACTTATGTAGCAGTAAGCAAAAAATAATATTAATAGTTTGGTACTCACGTTTCGACCTCTGTAAACTGTCCCAGTAAGTAACACGTGACATTGATCCACGATAGACTTGAGCAACTGGTGAGAACTACTGGACTGAGGAGTTAGACCTACGAACCTGATAATGACAAAAACAACATACATACATAACAATATAAACAGAAATAGAATACTTATTATCTGAAATGTAAAAAACGAGAAAAAGCAAACAAAGAGAAGAAAAACATCAAACAAACCCTATACCAACTCGTCTGGCCAGCGTGGTACAGCAGGCGAAAACGTCCTTTCTAAGGAGAGGCCTGCAGTGGGCTGTTATAGGATGGTGATATGATGTGTAAAATGTAAAATTGTATTTTGATCGAATTTCGAATCACGTTTTATTTATGACAATAAAAGTATTTTAACTATCACCTTATCCTGTATGTTCTATAGATGTAGTTCAAATCACAAATACGCAAACCGAACCTGCTCGAGTTTTTGCTTGCATTTTCCAAATCATCCGAATTAGCCATATTCATTTTGCAATTACGTTGCCTTCTTACCAACCCTTCCCTTAGTAACCAAAACCTTCTCACTATGCGTGCTGTTTTATTATCACATAAGGCGTCAAAATATACAATTACCTGACAATAACAGCAAGGTCCGGTTGGTATGTATGCGCAAGAGTGACAGCTCTTGCTACTAGCGTCGCTTTACCACAGCCTGCACCTCCGATCAAGGCTAACGGAACAGTGCTCTCACCTGTTATGTATCTGAAACAAATTCTCCTTATAATATTTAATAAAACTGAACCATAGCATACATATAGGACTAAGCTGCTTTCTTCTTTAAAAAAAACCATCAATTCAATCCACGACACTGATTTATTATGTAATTTCTTTATATTTCATAACGTTCTTCAATTCAAAAACATAACATGTTTGGTGGTCATCAAGGTAAAATACACAAAATTTACTCACGTCTTAAGTTCGTTAAGCGTTATTTCTCTGTTAGATGTACATTGTGCAGCTTTCTGACAAAATGTTAGATGTTCATTCACCTCGTCGAACAAACTAGAAATAAACAAATATGTTTACTACAATATAATACACCTCATCTTCACCTGATAATACGCAACAGTGAGATCCTGAGCAAACAACTATGTTAAGATGATACGGTTTAAGCATTTTGTAAAAATTTCAGAAATGATAATTGATTTCAAATATTTTTCGGATATAAAGTGTCGTAAAACAATGGTAGGATTAAAATAGCACCTTTAATTATTTAGCCATAGCTATATTTCTTTTTATTTTATCTCTCTGAAAATTTATGAATTAAATATATTAATTTGTATGAGCTTTGGTAATTCTAATTCAATTAGCAGTACTTATGAGTTAAATCGTGACAAGAAGTGATTGAGAAGGGAGAAAGAAAATTGACCGTCATTTACTAAATACTTAGTCATTGTTATATAGTAACTCTTATAAATAAAAGTCCAAATAACTTTCCTGTTAGAAAACAGTCTGACATTAGATGCAAACCAATATATTAAATTAATAAAGAAGACTCAAAAAGGGCAGGTCAGACTTATTTGCAATTTGTGAACTTGTATAAAAGGTTTAAGGTTCGTAGTGGATGCTCGTATGGTATGTAATGTGTATTATTTCTGCCTACCAAGAAGAAAGAGAGGGGTAAGTTTATGAGATTATAGGTTTTATGATATGCTTCTTAAAGATGGCACTGTGTATATAGTTATCGAAGAGTTGTAGATGTAGGTATAATAACCTGGTAGGTATCCCATTGCATCCCGCAGATATATCGTTTTCAGCGATGAGCGTGTCCAGTAGAGATTCGAGCCGTTCACCGAGTGCTGCACTTACGCCCTCCGTGTACTCGTCCTCTCCTCCCGGCGCGGATCGACCGCGAATACTTGCACGGATTACGTTGCGTTCGCTTAAGTGTTGCTGCAACAAAAATAGATGAAAACTTATTTTTTTTGTTCATTCTAAGTTATTACTTAATTATAATAATGCCGGTGACGAGTATTTTGGATAGTGGTTATTTAAGTAAGAATAAAATTAGAAATAGTACATCTTAGAATTTGAAACTCGTAAGTTCTTTTAAATCCTCCACAACGCTCTGTCAAAAATATTTTATTCAAAGTACAGACCTGTGAACACTTTTAGGACTTAGAATTAATCGTATTTCACAAGAGTTTGGGGAAGGCAATATATTTTCATAAACAATGCACGATTTGGTGTATTTAAGGGACCTCGATAAATTAGTGACGTTTACCTTAAGATCCTTCTGCAGGTTATTAAGCCGGCGCTGCAACTCCTGGTGGTGCGCGGCGTCGGGCGCGTCGGGCGGGTCTGGCGGCGCCCCCCCCGCGCGGCACACCCACACGCAGCGCCGCGCCGCCTCCACGCTCATCAGCACCGTGTGCTGCACCTCCTGCGGCACACACCACCAACCTTACATTACCGACAGGTCACACGTTATCCATCCTACCTTATAATGTTCAAAATTGCGAACGTGAATCTCATCTTTTCTCTGTCTGTTCGGCGGCCTGATCGTATTAAGACGCAATCGGGCCGCCGAGCCGAGTTTTTTCTGTCTTCGGGGAGATAGGGGTGAATGATAATAATAATACTAGTAATAATATTTCCTAATAGAATACTTTTTTTCTGTAAATACATAAATATTATACTTAGAAAACGCCCAAACGTGGAAACAAATATTTACAGATCATACAAACGTTCGGTACGACAAGGAAATCCAACCCGAGACCTCGGCACGGCAGTCGCATACGTTACCATCGAGCCGATCACGTCATGTGAAAAGGTAATTTATCAAGAAATCATGGAAGTTTTTATCTGCTGACCTGTTCTACGACGGTAGTGAGGTACGCGTCACAGGCTTCTTGTGGCAACGTGCGAACGAGTACGTTCAGGGTCTTGGCCATCTCGCGACGCCAGCGCGCGGGGGCTCCTCGGACGAGGCGGTAACATGGCGGGGTCCTGCTACAGTCTAGACTGTACCTGAATGAATGAAAGGTAATTCAATAAGTATGGGTAGCGATATGGCAGCGGACAAGCGATCAAACGGATTTGGGTTCGCATCTCAACCAATAAATTACACAATAGCAATTAAGTGAGTTTTGTTACTTAAAATAGTGGTATACTAGCGATCCGCATTATTGTTAATTTAGTAAGAGTTACACTCCGGGAGTGCCGCCAGAAGTGAAATCTTGATTTTTTTTTACTATAACAGGGATTTTTTTCGTTTTTTTTATTCGGAAAGTTCCGACGAATCCATGTTGCACGTATATACACAATATTTGTTTACATTATATATATGTAGTTATATTATCAATGTATTTCAACCCAAACTCAACTCTCGTGTAAACGGGGCCAATATATTTAGATACTTATATACAGTAAAAAAAAAATACATTCTTTTGTTTGTTGTTCAAGAATGCCCAACTCGCCTAAAAAAGTTATCACTTCAAAAAAGTTTTCATAAAAGATATTTTATTCCAGTTTTCTTCCTTCTTTTGCTTCCAGCGAATCTTCACTCTGAAGAGTGCGCTGGAAGTAAACTCAGATTTAGGCCTCGCCTTTGTATGTACATAACATTTTTTTTTCACTTGAATTTACATTAATTAGTGTGTATACACACTATCCATACTTCCACACTTATATGAGTATTATAAAAATGAAAGTTTATTTGTTTGTTACGCTTTCACGCCTAAACCACGAAACGAAAACGAAAGCTATATTATATAGGCTACTTTTTATCGCGATAACCGACACACACGCTGGCGGCAATAGCTAGTAATGAATAAATGAAATGAAAATAATTAATTTGTTAAAAAGTGGCAACACTGATTTGATACAGTCAGCAAATTGATAGATGGGATCAACATGGTTTAGTAAGTCCTTACATTTATGAGTTGCAGTATGTAGTTGAAAGAGTAAACGTACCATTTATTCAACAACGCTTTATCACTTTCGTCATCAGCCGCTTCCAGCGCGGCTTTGAAGTCGGCGCACTCCAGAGTGTGTGGCAGTAAAGGCGTGCCTAAACCCGAGTTCAGGAATAGTACTGGCACCACTGCACCCAACTCGGACTGACCTGCAAGAGAAAGGAGTATATACAGATATTCTCATATAACAGCATACGTTTAAGGGACTTTACGGCATTTTGAGGTAAAGTTATGCGATCCTGATCTGCTAGAGCTATGGCTTTCACTCCCCACTTCATCTGTATAAATAATATCCCTTTTCTAAAATTACCTTTCTTATCTACCTGCCCACTTAATCCTCAAAGTGCCCGGTTGCGGCAAGTCTACGTACTCGTAAGTGGGAGTAATAGCGGCAAAGTGTCGCCGTTTAATACGTCTCTGCTTACACCTTCTGTTATATTGGCGTAAGAGTATGTATGTATCAGGATAGCAGCTGGTTTCATCTCTGCTCTGTATTGTACAAAAGTTTTATCTTATTTCTTATCTACTTGACTACGAGTACTGTTGTACTGCGTTTCATAATTCTACAGTCCTATAAAAAGATATCATCTACATATATCTGAGATGTATATTACAGGTGAAGATGTAAACTATTGTATTGAAAAAGGAAAATAATACTTAGGGACTGTATACATGTTTTAAATAAGTTTTTTTTTTGTTATTCACACATCTCACACACGGCCGTCTGATCCCAAACTAGACAGAGTCTGTGCTATGGTAACCAGACTGCTGATAAACATACTTATATATTTACTCCCAGACACAGAACAAATGACCGTGCTCATCACACAATATTTGTCCTGGGTGGGAATCGAACCCACGACCTCTGGTTCAGCAGTCTGGGTCACTAACCACTAGACCAACATGCCTGTCAAATGCACACATATAATTAAAATAGAAACGCCAATTATTCTACTCCCTCAAATTGTGCCACGTTCACATACGTCACGTCCAAGTCCAGTATTGTACGTAGGAATACTAACGTGCCAACTCCGCGATGCACAACACGGGGAACCTGTGGTCTCGCTGTTGCTCGAGAGGCGAGCGCCAGTGGAGGTCGGCCACGTGCACGCGCCAGCCGCGCCTCCGTGCTCGCGCCCGTAGGCGAGCCGCCGCTCCGCACTGGAGAGCCCCTTTCTCCGCGCAGCAGTCTGGAAAATGAAAGCATCAGGTTGGACAGGCGGAATGATTGTATGGGGTAACACTACCTTTAAGACTATTTACCATTACCACGAGGGCTGCTATTTATGTATCCGGAACTATTCAGTTACAGAACAATATTAAAAAAGTAATTATAACTTTTAAAAATAGAAGAATACAATTATAAGGAATACAATCTCTTTGGCTGAAGAATACAATTTGTTTGATGTAGCAGTCATTTGTTTATCCTTTGTGGCGTCATTTTGAAAATTGCGTGTCTTTATCACTATAGATTCAACTCGTGAAAAATTTAGAGCTATGATTTATTACGATTTTCGGTGAGGGCTAACTCCAAAACAGTGCATAGATCAACTAACTTCGACTTTTGGGGACGAAGCACTATTAAAAACAACCGTGTATCACTGGTTTAGTGAGTTTAATCGAGTGCGGTCTGTGCTCACGGACCAATTTAAAGAATCGGTTGTTGTAAATCAAAATGTTGATGCTGTGAGGGAACTAATAATGCAAGATCGTCATGTTACATACCGCGAGATAGAGGCGTATCTGGGAATAAATATGACGAGTACATATAAAATATTACACGAACATTTAGCTGTAAAAAGATTTGATCACGTTGGATTCCGCACAACTTGAGAATTTACCAAAAACGGGCTCGTGTCGAATGGTGTATTTTTTTTTTTACAAAAGTTGTAGACACACCTAGCCCTGAACCTTTAATAACTAAATACCTTGTGAATCGGCAGCGCAGACGTAGATCAACATGGCCCGCCGCCTCCTGGTTTTCAACCCCGGCACCTTGCCCAGAAGACAATTCCTGTGTTCCTCCGGTAACGTCTGTATGGACGCTGGCATTGGAAGACCTTCGGCATCTTTAGGTGTCGTACACGCTACTGGCGAAGACAGCGATATGGAATCTAGGATAAAAGTTAACAATTAATACCCAATAATGTACAGCAAAAGCAGATGGTAAAAGTAGAAAAAAAGGTTTTAAAACTTATTGATCAATTAAAGAACAGTATTTAATAATAATAATAATATTCTACCACTTTCACACAACGTCATCTAGTCCCAAACTAAGCAGAGCTAGTACTATGACTACTAGACAGCTGATATAAATACATACATATATATTTTTTAATACATACTTATTATACATAGAAACACCTAGATCAAAACAAACATTAAATGTACATGCACACAAATGTTTGTCTTGAGCCGGAATCGAACCCGCGACCTTTGGAATAGCAGTCCGTTACACAAACCACTACGCCATCCGGTCGTCGATTTCATCTTGACTTGATATTTAATCGCTAAAGCTAATGCGTCTGCTACAAATTCGAAAAGAATAGTGTTTTTACTTGTATAAATTTGATGTGTGGTAAAAAAATATGTTAATTGGGACTTCGCGCCTTACGCCCTCGCCCTCGCCCTCTTGCGTGGTGATCGTGATATGTATGATTTACGTTCGGGGATTTCCGATGTCAGTGTCAACAGTCGTAGGCTTATGCTTTTATATTTGAGCAAGCGAGTATTATCATTAAAAATAATTCAACAAGAGATGTGAAGCCATTACATGTTTACAATAAGTAAATACTAAATAAGGAAAGTTATACAATACAGTAAACATAACGAATTCAGTTGGACTTGTAGTATAAATGTTTAAAAATTTCCAACATTTACACACACCTATACAGTTTTCATTTAACTAATGGAAAGCGGTGAGCACTCCACTTCAAACACCACATAATAACAGTTATGTTATTAAATGTTGTTTATTGCATGTTATATTCATGTGTACAATCCATTACAATATGAGAATTTGTTTATTTGTGACAGTCAGTTCAAAAATTATTGAGCCTTCCGTAGTGTAGGGTGTGCTTCTATTTAGAATGTAAATTAATAGAACAAAAATATTATTATATGGCGGTAGCTAGCTTTAATCTCGCGTACAAGTATTTTTCCAATTCTTGGACAAAAAAACTACAAGGAAAGTACGCATTCTTTGCTGCAGGTATTTTATTTTCTACTACCTTGTTTCTCTCTTTGCTGTGAACTTTCTGACTCATCATCAAAGACACCATTTGTACTACTGTCTGTCTTCGTTTTCAGGAGGTTTTCCCTAATGCCCTGTTTGTATGATGATAATACAATTCTGCAACACGTTGTCAGAAAAGGACATAGGACTCTTCATCTAGGAATGGATTGTTATAGAGAGATACCTTCACCGATTGATACAATTTAGATTAACGCGAACGATTCGGTGGGTAAAGCTACCAATTTTATACATACACCTATGCACACGCGAATAGTAGATAGCAATACACTAGTGGTTTGAATTTATGGACCAAAATTATATGGAATCAAAGTTCAAGGAGAAGCGGTGCGCCCGGTGAGTGGTCAAATCTAGCCAATATTTATTAAATACCAGTGTTCCTAAGCGCGTTTTGTTTGACATTTACAACCAATAGAGGCATAGCGTTTCTATTATAGCCGTATACGCAACAGCCACGTCAGCTATGCGTTTATTTTTGTGCGTGCGCCGTTACAAATACCGCAAGGCTCTGAAAAAGCATTACTCGCTTCTCTGTAAACTAAAACAAGGCCTAAATTGGCGCACCGCTTTAAAGTCTTTTTTCTTTTCTTTTTAAAGAGACAACTTTCGCACTATGTATATCCTGTGTCGCGGGGGAATTTACACACATACTTAAAAACGGACACAAAGACTTGGAACAACAATTTGTGAATCACACAAGTGTTGTCCCATGTGGGGATCGAACCCTCAACATTCAGCGTAGTAGGATGCGGCGAGGTGACCAAAACCATTACGCTATCCGTGCAGTCCGAATGTTTGTTTGTAAGTCAATTCTGCTAATCTTTTAAAAAATAAATAGCTCAAGCATGTAAAATAAAGTAAATAAAATAAAACAGTAAGTTACTCACCTGAAACACTGGATCCCACAGTCCTCGGCCCTTTCAGCTGCGGTTTGGTCTCCGACTTGATGGAAGCCGAGGGCTCCAACAGGTGGTGTGCAGGCGCCATCGAGATATCCGCTGTCGCGTCCATCGACGGCTTCGTGACCCGGTACGATGGTGACCTGCGCGGGCAGCAGTTTGACCTAAAGTGAGAGTTTTTGATGTGAGATGTAATGAGATGACATGAGATGGATGGAATAGCAGATACGAGCAGATCCCAATAATTAAGCAATGCATTATTACAATAATGAGTTTAAATGAGGTGGTCGTAGCCTACTTTTTATAATTTATCTAGTCTAAAGTACCGTTTGACAGTTCCGACCACAGAAATCGTAATAATAAGACACTAGTAATGAATTAGCGCTCGATTACTTCCAAAACCGATGTCGCCACATCTTAACATATACACAAAATACAAACAAATAGATATGACTCGCACACACGTGCAAAACAACGGTGAAATGTATAGGGCACACACTATAATGGCCCTTAATCTCCAGAATTACATTGCATTTTACTCCAATGTATTATGTGGCACCACTACAATCTCTTTCAATGTATGAGAACCCCTGTAAACAATGCTAGGGATTGACTAAATTTTTCGAAAGTGTCGATATTTTTCTTGTATACATGAAAATAAAATGGGTTACAAATAGCAATGAAAACAATTGATATACTTTTTTTTTGATAAAAATATTAAAAAAAGGAAATTGAAATAATAAGCTACTACTGAACAAATAGGTCTTTCACGTAACAATTGCATTTATGTTAACGTAGTTTCCTTTTTTATACTTACATAGTCATCAACTGTGTAATGCCCCTTATTCCTACCATTATGTTTGAAAAAATAATTAATTATATAAACAATTATCTTTAGCAGTTGATATTATGAGCAACTCCACGAAATGAATTTATGGACCGGTAAAATTTATTTAAAAAAAATCTTTAACATCTACAACAACAGGATCTTTCGGAATCTAGAAATTTATTATAATTATGTGATAATACATAAAAATAGAATTATTTAAGCTTCCTAAAAAGGTAAGATTTTATTTACATTCATCAGCATGCGGACCATTTATAGACTTTAATAAGTAAAGTTAAACAAATAATTAAATTCCTTAAGAAATTATTGTATAATTAATATTAAGAATATAAATCTTTCTAAATTTATTTTTTTACGTTGGAAAATCTGAAATATGCCTTTATATTAACATCGATATAAACTGTACTTTCATTCAAATGAATGGGACGGTTACATCACTAACACGCGACCGATGCCTGCAGTCGTATTATAAACATACGCAATACGTTGTCTTTTGTTTCGTTTTGAAAAGTATAAAACGTCAAACGTCTTAAATTGAATGGACTCTAATTTTGATTATTCTTCACGTAAATCAAGCAAATGGAAACAAACAACCAACTTGAAGGGTCTTTGAACAAGTTCCAATTCTCAAATAATTTAAACATTTATTCAGTTATTAATGATAATGGGCCATGAATTAAGGTTTCATAGTAGTCAAATCAATATATTACGTAGCTTTAAGCTTTTGTTTAAATAAACAACGTTAGCTTGCTATACTAATTCAAATACATTATTATGAATTACGATTATTACATATACAACGAACAAAAGAGGTAATAGGCTTTAAAGTTTTACAAATAATTTAAACAAAACCTAAAATCCGTAATGGTTAGTATTTAAAATTACAGGTTTGGTTTGCGAGGTAATAGGGAATATGCATGTATTTTTTTTATTTTTTTAAACGATTCTACTAGTTATTACATTACCAAAAATAAATATAACACATCCGAAATATAAACCGTTAAGCAAATAAAAATTTATAAAAATCACTATCATTTTGGGGCAATTTGAACACGTCCATTTTGGCGCGCTTTTTTTGTGACGTCCGATTACACTTTCAGACGAATTCGATGTCAACAACGGAGTGAAGTTCACAAAGTTCGTGAAAGTTAAAAAAGTGAGTGATAAAAATTAACTTATTACGACGGAAAAGCCAATAAAAACTTATTATAAATATTGTGCCGTTCCTTTGTGCCCAAATAATATCAAAACTGCACCTGACAAAGTATATTCAGTCATTGTGTTGAGTCTTTCTAAACGGGAATTTAATAATTTAACACTGACACACAACTTGTTGACACTCTTGACAGTGTAGGTTGACGTCACGTTTTATTCAACCAATAGCGTTGCGTTTTAGAAATTTGCGAGGGAATCTTAAAAAAGCCATTTTTGATGATTAAATTTCATTATTAAATTATAATAAATTTCAAAAATAATTGTATGGGTATCTTTTTTAGCAATAAAAATTACAAATAAAAATATTTTGCCCATTTTGGTGTCACGTGCATATTCCCTATTTTAAAATGACCCAAATATGTCGTTGTAGGCAGCCTACGATAGCTACGAGGCTACGCCACGTAGTACATACGTAGCACTAATTTAATTATGTATATTTATCTTTGGTGGTGGACATACGGACGATCGATCGTCCCTTCTCCAAATACAGGATGTTATAAACAGGCGTGGTCACATTTTAGGAAAATTCATGATATTGACGTATAAATTGTATTTACATCATCACACATCACATCAACAGCCTTTAATAGTCCACTGCTTGACATAGGCCTCTCCTAAGAAAGGAGGTTTTGGCCTACTATACCACGCTGGCCAGACGGGTTGGTATAGAGTTTGTGTCAAGTTTTCCTTCTCTCTGCGGTGCTCTTTTTCTGCATAGTTTTCTCCCCTAGTCCGCTCTTATGACACCCACGGGATGAATAGGGGTGGTGGCACTCCATATTCTTAATCCGCCACCACACTTCTTTTGATCAAATGAACTAATGGATACACATAACGGTCACATGATGTTTTAATAGAGAGTTACAAGAAAACAGTCTTTTTTTGCGTTGAGTTGAATCTTATACGATGCTCTTCTTGTGTTACACGAAGTGTTTCGTGCCAAGTGGCCGGTTTTTTTAATCAAAATATCGTATCAAAACAATCACTGGTTACTTTATCAAAAGAATAAATTACTCTAAATATTATACTTTCGAATTAAAGGATTACAAGCTTATTATTAGAATTTAAAAGTAATCATGTTCGTATATGTCAAGTTTCCATTTAAATCCCGAACGTCATCAAAACCATAGACAACCCCAAAAGTTATGGATTCCGATTCCAAACGTACACATCTACAGACCATATTATTTGTTAATTGTCAGCGGTAATAAATAAGTTACTTATAACTAGCAGAATTATTGATAATGACAACACACGCCCCTATTTACGCGAAGCTTCTGTTATACATCTCGCTGTGTATGTATTACGTAGCAAGGCGAGGCGTGGCAGGGGGAGGTGGCTCTGACGTCACGCGGATGACGTCAGCGTGACGCGCAACCCGACCTAGTTATTGTACGTGCGTTTCCGAACGGAGCTTTAAAGCAAAGATATTTTTATATTATGCCTTGTTGCGTTGATTCGGCAATGTTGTGGCGCTTTGTTGTGAATTTATTGTTCGTTTGTGCGTTAATTTTATTTACGAATAAAGTTTTTTAATTTTATGGCGTCTTTTGTTGTGCTTTTTAACACAGAGTTATTTATGGTATATTTTTATACAAGGAGGTAGTCTAGCTAATATTACTAGAGCTTACACTTTATTACTATAAATCACGTCTACCTTTTATAGCAAAACTTTTTATTTAATAATATTATTTTGCACAACAACGGATAGCATAAAATTCATTTCGCAGAAAATCGTTTGGCAGACACTCATTTATCACACAATCCAAACTCATAATTTTGTACGTCATAATCATCTTTAGGCATAAACTTTATATCCATAATAATTAATAAGTAGAACCATTATATCGCCGAAAGTTCATAGTCAGAATCGCCTTTGAGCATAAATTTCATATCGATAATCATTAAAAGGCAGAACTACCAAATTTGTACCAAATAATCGTCGTTCTAATTAAACGTTATGCACGAAATTTGCGGAATTTTAATTCTGCCAAATGCATTATGCCAAATATCTAATAATATATTTATCTACAAATATGTACCACTAGAAGTTTAACTGTCACCATAAGTTAAGATGTTTTTTCCAATTCAAAAGTTTTCTTTTCGAGTTGAATTACTTTAGACCTTGTACTTGTAGGAAGAAAATGGAAGCAACGCGAAACGAGGCGTCGTCGTCTACTTATCGAAATTAAGTTAACATAATTTCTAAAATATTTGAAATTTTCTTCTGGTAATTGAAGTTAAGGTGTTTTGAAATTTATTTCGTCTGATAATTTTAATATGTGTTTAAGTTTACAAACACTACCTGCAGATTTAGTAATACAAAGTAAAAAAAGTTAATTTATTTTTAATAAGTATTGCCGTCTTCAATGCGCCTACATCACGATCAATTGGAATAAACTGTATTTTTTCATTCCTTAATTTCCATTTCCTTAGGGGTAGAGTTTTTCTCTAAAATTTGAAAAATTAATATTCGGGCAAATTCGAAAAAAATACGAATTGTTAATAATAATTTTATTTAATTCTTAATAAGAGTAAAAAAAATTGAAATACATAATTTTATACTTTCTGGTAAGGTCTCGCAAAATTTCAGCTGGAGATTGTATGTAAACAGTAAAAGTGAAAACAAAAAAATACCTACTCTTTTCTTAAATGATTGAACCCGCTTACACTCAGTGATACATAAAATATTGTCGTTTCATGACAGAGACCGGTGTAGGGTAATTACCCAGGCTAAGAGGGCATGTGCCTGGAGCGCAGGCCCTTAGAGACAGCAGTCTAGTTGTTTGTAGGAAGAGTTTTTTCCTTCTCTTGTGAAGAGATGTCTTACATGTCTATAAAAAGTATAAAACAATCTGCGTCTCGTCTCATCGTATCACTTTAGCTAGCCTTAATATTGATGGAGCAACGGGCTTTATAAAGCCTTTGATGTCATAATTTACGTGACGAAAATGTTATTGTGCCCAGGGCGACAAATTTTTTAAAGAGAAGCTACTAAATTCGTAATTATTTTCTTGACCTTGTCC